CGTTTGAGAAGTATGAAAGAGAACTATTTACAGCCATTTATTTTTACATGCAGGCCTAGTTCACAATGAAATGTTATGATACAATCGAGGCTGCTGTCTATGAACGTGTTTTTTTGTAATTTGTGCCGGAATATATAAAGTCCTAAAAAAATTTAGTTTAAAGTTTGGCTATCATCGTTCAGTGTGTTAAAAAGTGTAACCTGACGACGAAATATTCAATTTTTAGTTTATAAAGTTAGACTTTTTAAGAACTGGATTCTAAAACTATCAAGTTCTGGTATGTTAATGTTTCAATAAAACTTGACGACCGAAAATACCGTCCCAATAGTTTTTCGTTGGTTGGATGAAATGAGCCCGCGGCGAAGATGAAATTAGACCTGGTGTCAAAATCATGATCCCGTCTGCTAACAGTTTTGGCGGCTGTTGACTGCATGTGTTGGTGTTGTTGGTTGCGGTCGACTTTGTTGACAAACATTGGCCGGACATAGCCGCGTCAGGACCGTGGGGCCAGGGATTTGAAGCAGACGTCACGCATAAGATGGAACTTTTCAAACCACGGGACAGACGAGACATGATTTGAAGAAAGTCAAAGATTTTTTTCTTTGCTGTTTTTTTTTCTTGTGGAAATTTTAATCTTGACGAAATGCAGAGTGAAATTATGTCGCATTTCAATGGGCTCTTCCACGGCAAAAACAGACGCAAGGATAAAGGATTATCCCACGCTTCCAGCATGGATAACTTATCCATCAATGGATTACTGGGTGAGAAATTTCGTCGTAAATCTGAGGCGGTGCTTGAGGTGGAGAGGAAGAGCAAGAATAAACTCAACTCGACCAACTGGAACAGCGGGCTAAACCTGCTTCGTCAGGCAAAGATGGACATAAGTAAGTTGGACTGTTTGACTGGTTAAACCTGAGTAGGTTCAACTGTTTCACTGGTTAAGTAGGTTCAACTGTAGGTTCAACTGTAGGTTCAACTGTTTCACTGGTTAAACTGTGGCCTGATTAGGTTAAGCCGTGTGGTTAATTAAGTTCAACTGTGCGACTTGTTTGTTAATTAGAAGCTACAGGGTTCGTGTGTACACCATATTAAACCCCAGGGTTCGTGTGTACACCATGTTTAAAACCCATTGAAAATACACATTTGACAGAAATGTGACGTTATTTTATCGGGGGGGGGGTCGTCAGACATTTTTGTGATGATGGGGAGTCGGGCAGGTAAAAGTCGTACGAAACAGCTTGACGTCATTATATTTACTCAGTGGAAGACCTTAGTCCGAAACGTCTTCTAAATGGACAGTCTATTATAGACAGTCTATTATAGACAGTCTATAAATAGAGTATAATAGACAGTCTATAAATATAGTCTATAATAGACAATCCATTATAGACAGTCTATTATAGACTGTCTATATTACTGGTATTGACAAGTGACGTGGCAACAATCTAAAGCTTAACGTGACTTGTAGCCCCACATCTTCAAGGATTGGTGGCTGTTTTTGTCATTTAGATTGGTGGCTGTTTTCGTCATTTATATTAATGGCTGTTTTGGTCATTTAGATTGGTGGCTGTTTTCGTCATTTAGACTGGTGGCTGTTTTCGTCATTTAGATTGGTGGCTGTTTTTGTCATTTAGATTGGTGGCTGTTTTCGTCATTTAGATTGGTGGCTGTTTTCGTCATTTAGATCATTTCAGTTGAATCCAACTTTGAACCTGTGATGCTGGGCCTGCTAACGAATGTCTAATGCTGATCAGTTTAATCCGTGCCATTTAAAGGACCCCATCTTTTCGCGTGAACTCGTTGGTCGGGGCCTACATTTGATCTAGCAGACGATGAGCTGGAAATGTTTGCAGCGTTACCTTAAGTCGTCTGATAAATAATGACGTGAAGAAACAGCAGACGGCTCAGAGCAGGAGTCAGGCGAATGCGCCTTAGCAAACATGCCAGATAAATAAGTGCCAAACAAAGCTAATCGCACTATTCTCTGAACTGTCACGTATTTGCTATAGCGGCGAGTCTGATGTTTAGAGGATTTTGATGATTGTGATGAATGAAGTGATTGCTGGTTTGTAATACTTAATTACATATCACGTTAATATGTTCTATATTTGTATATATATATATATATATATATATATATATATATATATATATATATAAATATATATAGGCCCCTATATATATATATATATATATATATATATATATATATATATATATATATATATATACATATATATATGCCTATATATATATATATATATATATATATATATATATATATATATATATATATATATATATATATATATATATATATATGCGTGTGTGACCAAATGTTTTGAGTGATTTATGTGTATATGCCTATATTATTGTTATTTCTCTGCCGATGTGTATATGTGTATATGCCTATATTTTTGTTATTTCTCTGCCGATGTGTATATGTGTACCTTTCCGAGTGTGTCCGACAGTTTCCTGTCTATCAAACAACTACACACATGATCACGTGTCTCCCGTCGCGTTAACATACCTGCCAACGCCGCAGGTGAGACGGTGTAAGCCACCAGCACACCATCTCACCTTCCCTCAACACACCTGAAGTTCCTGGTCGAGCCCCTGATCGACTGGTTATTGATGAGCATGTTGAAACCAATCAGCAGACGACCGCCAGTCTGCTAAACTTCCAACAATTGTCTGTCACTTCTGCTCAGCGTGTGTTACTATAAAATACAGCGGCAGTGATTTGAACAGTGGTTTGCAAAAATTTCACGACCAAATTTTTAATTGAACAATTTAATTTGAACTCTTTTTATTCAACACCAAAATATTTGATTTTTATTGAAAGGCATTGACTTTTTAGCGCTTTCTGAAAATAAAAAAAAATGAATTTTAACTTTTTAAATAGCAAGGCCTACTTTTTAAATAATTGAAAATGGCTAACATTTCAACATATTTTTACAATCAATTTAGTTTGTGCACCCAGTTATCTTTCTTGAAATGAAAACCATTTAAAAACTCAGCCCCTGAGGGCTTATGACGGAGAGTAACTCGCAAAGGGAAGTAACTATGAAACAGAAATCAACTGTGTTGGGCTGGTGAAGTTATTTGCTTGAAGATTTTCTAGCCGGCTAAAGGGCGACAATTAGATCTCGATTTGACGCTACTGCGTGAACTATTGGCCTGTGTTTGGGACTGGACAATTCCTTTTGTGTTGTGGACTGGACAATTCCTTTTATGTTGGGGACTGGACAATTCCTCTTGTGTTGGGGACTTGACAATTCCTTCTGTGTTCGGGACTGGACAATTCCTTTTGTGTTGGGGACTGGACAGTTCGTGATATGAAACTATCTGCTCCGTCAAATGGTGATTGTGATATTTTTGTGATGTTTTTACGGCAGTGATCTGCTATTGGTTGAAACAACTATGACGTATTCAGTATAAAAAATATGTTTACGATCCACATAGGGTCTTCTCAACTCAAGTATATTAATTTGTAATGTTTAGATCTGGATCAAATCCTTTAATCTAAGATCTAGTCCTAATAAACTTTAGTTCTAGATCCAAGTTAGTGATCCATGATCTAATCCCTATGGGGTCATCCATAAATGACGTCACGCTTTTTTTGGCGATTCTTACCTTCCCCCCCCCCCCTTTACCTCCGTCACACGTCGTTAAAGAAAGGCAGACCCAATTTCCTAAAATGACGTCACACGTCAGCCTACAAATCTTGTCTAAACTCTCTCAACATAGAGTATTTACATCAATTTCTATTACAATTTATTAAAACAGTTTTCTAAAGCGCGAAATAACGGCTAAAATTCATTCTCTAACATTGCTTTTTTTTTAAATACAAAAGTGTGACGTCACACCATCTGAACCCCCCACCCCCTCCTTCTCATCACACAACGGCACAAAATTATGTACCCACCCCCCCCCCCCCCAAACTACGAGTCTGACGTTATTTATGACGACCCCAAGGACGTTTAACTTTAGTTCTAGATCTAAGTTTGTGATCCAAGATCTAACTCGTATGATCTTTTATTCCAGAACTGAACCTGAAGAAGCTGAGCGGGGCAAATGACAGCCCGCCGGCACTTCCTGTCCGGCACTTTATGCCGGACACGGCTGAGGAGCTGCCACCACCCATACCGGAGCGGAAAAATTCTCTGGACCTTATTCTGGACAATGGTGAGCACTTCAACCGACAGACGGTCTGTGGGGAGGGGGGGGGGTTACCTCAGATAAGGGTCAAAGGTCGAGGGTTGTAACAAGGATATGTCATTAGCATGCAGGGGACAGGGTGTAGCGGTGATTCCGTTATCAACTTACTCACAGACTAATTAACAAATGGTCTACTAGGCACATAGAAAGACAGCAAGACAGACTGACTAGCTAACAGACTGAGTGGATGACTCGCTGAGAAACAGACTGCCTGACCAACAGACTGTCTGACCGACAGACTGGACCAGCAAACTGCCTGACCAACAGACTGACTGACCAACAAACTGCCTGACCAACAGACTGCCTGACCAACAAACTGTCTGACCAACAGACTGCCTGACCAACAGACTGCCTGACAGACTGACTGACCAACAGACTGTCTGACCAACAGACTGCCTGACCAACAGACAGACTGACCAACAGATTGCCTGACCAACAAACTGTCTGACCAACAGACTGCCTGACCAACAAACTGTCTGACCAACAGACTGCCTGACCAACAGACTGCCTGACAGACTGACTGACCAACAGACTGTCTGACCAACAGACTGCCTGACCAACAGACTGCCTGACAGACTGACTGACCAACAGACTGCCTGACCAACAGACTGCCTGACCAACAGACTGCCTGACAGACTGCCTGACCAACAGACTGTCTGACCAACAGACTGACTGACCAACAGACTGCCTGACCAACAGACTGCCTGACAGACTGACTGACCAACAGACTGCCTGACCAACAGACTGACTGACCAACAGACTGCCTGACAGACTGCCTGACCAACAGACTGCCTGACAGACTGACTGACCAACAGACTGACTGACCAACAGACTGCCTGACAGACTGACTGACCAACAGACTGACTGACCAACAGACTGCCTGACAGACTGACTGACCAACAGACTGCCTGACCAACAGACTGACTGACCAACAGACTGCCTGACCAACAGACTGACTGACCAACAGACTGCCTGACCAACAGACTGCCTGACCAACAGACTGACTGACCAACAGACTGCCTGACCAACAGACTGCCTGACCAACAGGCTGACTGACCAACAGACTGCCTGACTGCCTGACCAACAGACTGCCTGACCAACAGGCTGACTGACCAACAGACTGCCTGACCAACAGGCTGACTGACCAACAGACTGACTGAGAGATTGCCTGACCAACAGACTGACTGACCAACAGACTGCCTGACCAACAGGCTGACTGACCAACAGACTGCCTGACTGCCTGACCAACAGACTGACTGACCAACAGACTGCCTGACCAACAGACTGACTGACCAACAGACTGACTGACCGACAGACTGTCTGACCAACAGATTGCCTGACCAACAGACTGCCTGACAGACTGACTGACCAACAGACTGACTGACCAACAGACTGCCTGACCAACAGACTGACTGACCAACAGACTGCCTGACCAACAGACTGTCTGACCAACAGACTGTCTGACCAAAAGACTGACTGACCAACAGACTGACTGACCAACAGACTGCCTGACCAACAGACTGACTGACCAACAGACTGCCTGACCAACAAACTGCCTGACCAACAAACTGTCTGACCAACAGACTGCCTGACCAACAGACTGACCAACAGACTGCCTGACCAACAGACTGCCTGACAGACTGACCGACCAACAGACTGCCTGACCAACAGACTGCCTGACCAACAGACTGACTGACCAACAGACTGCCTGACCAACAGACTGACTGACCAACAGACTGACTGACCGACAGACTGTCTGACCAACAGATTGCCTGACCAACAGACTGCCTGACAGACTGACTGACCAACAGACTGCCTGACCAACAGACTGCCTGACCAACAGACTGCCTGACCAACAGACTGTCTGACCAACAGACTGCCTGACCTGTCTATCCAGCCCATGAAAGCCCCACTTCCTGTGTTTGCCAGACTTCCAGAGCCGCTTCACCTTCAAGCCCATCTCCACGGTGCCACTGCCAGAGGAGTTCACGGGCTGTAAGAAGATCTACCCCAGCAAGACCCCACGTCGTCACGGTAGGTCAATCTGTGAACACACGTGACATGATAGGTCAATCTGTGAACACGTGACATGATAGGTCAATCTGTGAACACGTGACATGATAGGTCAATCTGTGAACATGTGACATGATAGGTCAATCTGTGAACACGTGACATGATAGGTCAATCTGTGAACACACACGTGACATGATAGGTCAATCTGTGAACACGTGACATGATAGGTCAATCTGTGAACACGTGACATGATAGGTCAATCTGTGAACATGTGACATGATAGGTCAATCCGTGAACACGTGACATGATAGGTCAATCTGTGAACACACACGTGACATGATAGGTCAATCTGTGAACACACACGTGACATGATAGGTCAATCTGTGAACACACACTTGACATGATAGGTCAATCTGTGAACACGTGACATGATAGGTCAATCTGTGAACACACGTGACATGATAGGTCAATCCGTGAACACACACGTGACATGATAGGTTAATCTGAACACACTGCTGACAGTTGGTGCAGTTTATGACAAAATACATTCATGGGTCTCAGTATGAGTTATGGGTGTCAGTATGTTACAGCTTGCTTTACAGTCATTATGTGTGTGTGTGTGTGTGTCAGTGGATGTTTGTAGGTGTCAATGTGTTGTATGCATCAGTTTGTGTCTGTGTATGACATTATGTATCTGTACGTGTTAAGATATGTTTTTATGTCGCAGTATCTGTACATAATAATCTATATATATATATATATATATATATATATATATATATATATATATATATATATATATATATATAATGCAGTCCCCTCTCTTCCTCTCTATGAAGTCTGGTGAGCTGTGGTTCACGATAAATGTTTACAATCGTAGAGCCGGGTTTAGTGACGGCTTTTAGGGGCAGATAATTTAGTTTGAAACGATTTTAAACTTAGGGGAGGTAGCTAAGAGGAGGCTGCTTTCACGGGTGGGGGGGGGGGGGTTGGGGGAAAGGAGGGTGGGAGTCCTTAACGTTGTCCTTAACGGCTTACTGATAGTGTTTTAAAGCAAATATTTTCAGTGGCAGCAGTGTTACTGTCGAATTCACAAATTATGAATTACTGAAAAGTCGAAAAGAAAACAACTAAATAGCGACCGGCGTATGATACGCAGCGGGTTGGCTCGTATGGCATATTTGTCTTATGTAGTGGTGTTTATTAGTATGTGTTTATGAGAAAGATATTTATGTGTGTATCTGGGTTAACATGGTTTTGTGTGTTCCTATTTGCTTGTGTATCAGGTGTTTAAAAAAAACACTTCGCAATTATGTGTTTAGCTGTAGCAGTCTTTAAATCATTTGACTATCCATATATTGATGTTTTAAAAAATATAATTTGATAAATTTTTAACTTAGTATAACATTCCTTATTTTTTTCAGCAATCCGCCCCCCAACTCAACCCCCACCCCCGCCACCCCCACCTGCAGACGACACGCCCACATTCCACCTGTACCGCGCCGAGTCCTGGGACTCACGCTACGACTTTGAAGACGACGAGGACGAGTTCCCTTTAGCTCCGCCCCCGCCAGCCAAAGACGCGCGAAGAGCGAGCGTCGACAGCAGACGTGAAGACCCCTCGCCATCGAATGTTCCAGACTCAAGACAAAAACTACTCACCATTTCTCCGCCCCTGCCGCTACCTCCTCGGCCACCAGCCAAACCGAAACCAGTCCTGAAAAGTTTTTCGCCGCCATCGGCCGAGAAACTCAAGTTGCCAGATAAACCTTCTAAAACAAACGCCAAAAAACAAAACCAAATACCTAAGCCATTAGTTCTAAAGACAACAAAATCAGAACCGAATTTAGATTTAAATTCACCAACATCCCCACCTCCCCTCCCCGCACGACCAGAACACCTGATGAAGCAGACGACTACGCAGAGTTACCCAAAACTGCCCCTCAAACCCAAAAACGGCAGGCCTGTTCCCCCTGCCCAGATGAGACGTAGCCAACAATCACAGCCTGACCCGCGGGCTAAGGGCCAGCCTGACCCTCGGGCTAAGGGCAAGCCGGCCAACAGGAACAGGCCACTGCCGTCTGTTCCCAGACCGACGTCACAAAATGGCGCTGGCAGACCGAAGAACGGGTGGGCGGGGCAGGAGTATGATCCACGGGAAGAGGAAGGCGATTTGTATGACGTCATGGACAGCACACAGATGTGACTATGCAGCTTCTACAGATATTTCTAGAGGAAAACCGTAGGGTTAAGAGTCAAGCCATATCATTGGCTTTTTGACACGTAGTTCAAGTTGGAAGTAATGCTACTTACTCTAGTTAAAGTTCAATATTGGAGTATATTTGTGTATGGGGAGAAATGGCCAGCTATATGGAGTGTTTAAATCTCGCGAGAACGGACATTGAATGCTGAATTCTCGCGAGGTTATTTTCCCCTCAAGCTCTTGGGAAAGCAAAAAAATAAACTTTAAATTGACGGTGTTTTGACAAAAACAATCGTGCGTGAGTTAGACGAATGAAAGCCGATGGCTGAAGTTAATTTCATAAACTAGGTCTTGTCCTGGCATAAATATGCAGCAACCATTTTTCTGTGTGCGCAAATTTTTGTTTGCGCTTTTTTCTGTGTGCTCATAATTGTCTGTTTGCGCTTTTTTCTGTGTGCGCATATTTCTGTGTGCACAATTTTCTGTTTGCGCATTTTTCTCTTTGAGCATTTTTCTGTGTGCGCAATTTTCTGTTTGCGCTTTTTTCCGTTGCGCTTCTTTCTGGAAACCAACTGCATCGTATCATTCTCTTGTTTGGTCCACTCAATGTTCAACTGTTGAACGAACACGGTGTCTAATCAAGTAGTTCACAACAAGACTAGTTGAAGCTGCCCCAGGACAAGTCTATAACCTGCCACACTATTTACCCAGTCCTACAACTACTTCTGGCATACAATTCCAAATGTTTTGAACTCTTACACCAGCTGGGTGCCGGCTGTTTTCCTCTACCCACCCAACTTCTGATGACGTGTACCATCGTGTACATCACAGCAGACAGGCAGCTTTCTGATAGCAACAGCACTATAGTAGGCACAGTTTGTAGGCACAAATCTAGGACTAACAGGACAAACAGCACAAATCTAGGACTAACAGGACTTTTGTAGGCACAGTTTGTAGGCAGAAATCTAGGACTAACAGGACAAACAGCACAAATCTAGGACTAACAGGACTTTTGTAGGCAGTTTGTAGGCACAAATCTAGGACTAACAGGACAAACAGGACAAATCTAGGACTAACAGGACTTTTGTAGGCACAAATCTAGAACTAACAGGACAAACATAGCACAAAATCTAGGACTAACAGGACAAACATAGCACAAATCTAGGAATAATAGGACATTTGTAGGCACAAATCTAGGACTAGCAGGACAAACATAGCACAAATCTAGGACTAATAGGACATTTGTAGGCACAAATCTAGGACTAACAGAGCATTTGTAGGCACAAATCTAAGACATGTAACAAGAGTCAGAATAAATTATATTTATTGTACAAGTGAATCAGAAAAATAAATGACATGAATAATGTGATAAACACCAAATGAATTATGACATTAAAGTTCAAATACTTGTAACATGCAGATGTTTATCATTGTAATTTTGTTACAACTTTGAGAACAGGCATAGTTAGCACATCAAAGTAACATCACATCAGTAGTGTTAACAAACATCTATAACATCACACTAGATGTTAACACATCTCAGAGAACCACATCCTTAACTCGCACATCTCAGCCAGATGCTGCGATCTCGGAAAAAATTCCCTTTGGCTTGGCTTGTGAGGCGTCGTCTTCTCCCACACTGTCCAGCGCTAACTGCTCAAAGATAAAAGTCAGATATTCAAGATACAGGTCAGATATTCAAGATACAGGTCAGATATTGAAGATACAGGTCAGATATTGAAGATACAGGTCAGATATTGAAGATACAGGTCAGATATTGAAGATACAGGTCAGATATTCAAGATACAGGTCAGATATTGAAGATACAGGTCAGATATTGAAGATACAGGTCAGATATTGAAGATACAGGTCAGATATTCAAGATACAGGTCAGATATTCAAGATACAGGTCAGATATTGAAGATACAGGTCAGATATTGAAGATACAGGTCAGATATTCAAGATACAGGTCAGATATTCAAGATACAGGTCAGATATTGAAGATACAGGTCAGATATTCAAGATACAGGTCAGATATTCAAGATACAGGTCAGATATTCAAGATACAGGTCAGATATTCAAGATACAGGTCAGATATTCAATCCAAATAAATGTAAAAACTAATAAATGGACTGTGTCAATTTCAAACATAGGCTAGAGCAAGAGAAAAAATATGTCTAAATCACAGAATAGAATTTTATGTCTAAGGCTACATGGTTATTTTTGGATAGAATTTTATTAATTTATTGTGCATTGGCAAAAATTAAAGATTTGTGATAATTATACCTGTGTGAAATAATGTTTGTGTAAGTTTTATATCTGTGTAAAAATAAAGTTTGAGTAAGTTTTATACCTGTGTGAAATAATGTTTTACACCTGTGTGAAATAATGTTTTACACCTGTGTAAAAAAAAGGATGACCTTACCTGTCTGGCGTCAGACCTGCTGATGTCACCACGACATAAAATTAAATTAACCAGTTGTTCCAGCCTTATGTCTGGATACTTTTTAGCAAATCCCTGAAATATTAAGTTATAGAACTGTTTAGCAAATCCCTGAAAAATTAAGTTATAGAACTTTTTAGCAATTACTCAAACATTAAGTTAATAACTTTTTAGCAATTACTCAAACATTAAGTTAATAACTTTTTAGCAATTACTCAAACATTAAGTTAATAACTTTTTAGCAATTACTCAAACATTAAGTTAATAACTTTTTAGCAATTACTCAAACATTAAGTTAATAACGTTTTAGCAATTACTCAAACATTAAGTTAATAACTTTTTAGCAATTACTCAAACATTAAGTTAATAACTTTTTAGAAACCACTGCAATATAGAGGACTGAAGCAAGACTTACAGTAATTTGAAACCACTGCAATATAGAGGACTGAAGCAAGACTTACAGTAATTAGAAACCACTGCAATATAGAGGACTGAAGCAAGACTTACAGTAATTTGAAACCACTGCAATATAGAGGACTGAAGCAAGACTTACAGTAATTTGAAACCACTGCAATATAGAGGACTGAAGCAAGACTTACAGTAATTTGAAACCACTGCAATATAGAGGACTGAAGCAAGACTTACAGTAATTTGAAACCACTGCAATATAGAGGACTGAAGCAAGACTTACAGTAATTTGAAACCACTGCAATATAGAGGACTGAAGCAAGACTTACAGTAATTTGAAACCACTGCAATATAGAGGACTGAAGCAAGACTTACAGTAATTTGAAACCACTGCAATATAGAGGACTGAAGCAAGACTTACAGTAATTTGAAACCACTGCAATATAGAGGACTGAAGCAAGACTTACAGTAATTTGAAACCACTGCAATATAGAGGACTGAAGCAAGACTTACAGTAATTTGAAACCACTGCAATATAGAGGACTTACAGTAACTTCCAGAGAGAGCATAGAGCTGTCTTTGAGTTTAACAACCTCCGCCAGGGCAGGTAGCACATCAAACATTGAAGCATCCTGAAACAGGTGCAATAACTAGATTATATTTGTCAGGTAACAGGTTACCTTTTAGGCTTCTTTTAGGTTACAGGTGAAACACATGCACATATTTGTGACAGGTAAACACACATCACATATTTGGGACAGGTAAACACACATCACATATTTGTGACAGGTAAACACACATCACATATTTGTGACAGGTAAACACACATCACATATTTGTGACAGGTAAAACACACATCACATATTTGTGACAGGTAAAACACACATGGCACATATTTGTACGGTACGAACAATATGAAAACATGATGACGTGTGAGTTCAATACAGAGATGCAAGGGTTTGAGCTACAAAAACTGCTAGAGACTTGATAAAAAAAATTGTTGTAAAACTGATATAACAATATCTAGGTTAAACGTTTCTTTCGATGAGTTACAGAGGTGTAGCGAGGGGGGGGGGGGGGGGGTACATATGTCCCTGGGTGCCGACCTTCAGGCGAGCCAAAATGGGTTGGAAAAACAAATTAAAATGTCATTTTAGCTGCATTTTTGCATTATAAATAGTTTGAGGGGGGGGGGGGGGCTGCAAATCGAACAAAAGTTTGAGGGGGGGTGCAAATCAAAACTTTGCTCCCAAGGGGGGAACCAAATTGAAAGTTTGTCCCCGGGCGCCGGTATAATGCATTTCCACAATTAAGGATTTTGATTGTTCAATCATATGATGATATGAACAAATGGACAAGACACTAACCAGTTTAGGGGACATCTCCATGAACTGAGCCTTGATCTGCTCAGCTTCAGAAATTATTTTCTCTGACGACTGTTTTCTCTCGTCGTAGTTCTTGAAGGAGAGTTTCCTGCAACACACACCAAACTCAAACCTTTCATCCACTCATTCAAATATTCCCATTTAAATTATTTTAATTTAATATTAATTGCTTATGGTTCTATGCTGTAATTAAATTAATAAGATGTAAACTCCCGCCCCCCCCCCCCCCCCAACCCAGCAGAATAAAATTTGAAACTGAATTAAATGGAGGGTGATACACGTATAACAATGAATGAAACAGATATGCTTTCAGTTACAACAGTCATTGAAATGGTAGCAGCATTAAGTCTTCGTGATTTACAAGCTATGTACAGTTGGTTAAACTATTGTTTTTATGTAAGGGGAGAGCATTCTATCTTACTCAAGCCTGAACCAACAAGGGGAGAGCATGCTACAACAGTGATCAGATAATAATACAGAGTTAACTACCTGGATAGCAAAGCTTTGACGTATTCCTTAATGATTTTTTTCTGGCCTTTTGCCAGTAAAATCTCATACATCATGGGCTTGAGGTGTAGAAAGTCTTGGTGGTAGTCGGCCCATGTTGCTATAATGGTCTCCACGCCACTCGAATTGGCCATCCTAGAACATTCAATCATGTTGCTCAATAGAGGCCATACATTCAATCATGTTGCTTAATAGAGTTCATTCATTCAATCATGTTGCTCAATAGAGGCCATACATTCAATCATGTTGCTCAATAGAGTTGATACATTCAATCATGTTGCTCAATAGAGTTCATACATTCAATCATGTTGCTCAATCTCAATAGAGTTGATACATTCAATCATGTTGCTCAATCTCAATAGAGTTGATACATTCAATCATGTTGCTCAATAGAGGCCATACATTCAATCATGTTGCTCAATAGAGTTGATACATTCAATCATGTTGCTCAATAGAGTTCATTCAATCATGTTGCTCAATAGAGTTCATACATTCAATCATGTTGCTCAATAGAGTTCATTCAATCATGTTGCTCAATAGAGTTAATACATTCAATCATGTTGCTCAATAGAGTTCATACATTCAATCATGTTGCTCAATAGAGTTGATACATTCAATCATGTTGCTCAATAGAGGCCATACATTCAATCATGTTGCTCAATAGAGTTGATACATTCAATCATGTTGCTCAATAGAGTTGATACATTCAATCATGTTGCTCAATAGAGGCCATACATTCAATCATGTTGCTCAATAGAGTTCATTCAATCATGTTGCTCAATAGAGTTCATACATTCAATCATGTTGCTCAATAGAGTTGATACATTCAATCATGTTGCTCAATAGAGTTCATACATTCAATCATGTTGCTCAATAGAGTTCATACATTCAATCATGTTGCTCAATAGAGTTTATACATTCAATCATGTTGCTCAATAGAGTTTATACATTCAATCATGTTGCTCAATAGAGTTCATACATTCAATCATGTTGCTCAATAGAGTTTATACATTCAATCATGTTGCTCAATAGAGTTCATTCAATCATGTTGCTCAATAGAGTTTATACATTCAATCATGTTGCTCAATAGAGTTCATTCAATCATGTTGCTCAATAGAGTTCATTCAATCATGTTGCTCAATAGAGTTCATACATTCAATCATGTTGCTCAATAGAGTTCATTCAATCATGTTGCTCAATAGAGTTCATACATTCAATCATGTTGCTCAATAGAGTTCATACATTCAAGCTCTTTTCTTCTAACTGTCAGTTAACTATTGTAATGCAATATTGAACCCAAGGAACTTATACCACAAGCACATACTATTCATAGTCTCAACAAGCACACAGCCTAATGATTGTATCAATAAGCAGGGCCTAATGCCTTGTTGTAGACTGACAGAATACCTGTGCTTCACAATGATATTTAAATTTTTAAGAAGTTTTCAGAACGTAAAAGAAAAAAAATCAATTTGTACATAACTATTTAAACACCACAAAAACAAAAAATCAATTGTGTACATAACTAAACAACACAAAAACAAAAAATCAATTTGTACATAACTATTTAAACAACACAAAAACAAAAAATCAATTTGTACATAACTATTTACACACCACAAAAACAAAAAATCAATTGTGTACATAACTAAACAACACAAAAACAAAAAATCAATTTGTACATAACTATTTAAACAACACAAAAACAAAAAATCAATTTGTACATAACTATTTTAAAAACACAAAAACAAAAAATCAATTGTGTTTTTAACCTACCAGTTTCGTGTCATCAGATCGTTAAAACAGTTGCTGTCTCTCAGGTCAATGAACATCTCCTCCAACATGATGTCACAGCTGTGAAATTAATTAACTAATTAGTTAATTAGTAGCTTACTGGTACATGACACAAAATCTATTTTAACAACAGGCTTAGCTTTTTCAACACAAACATCAAGTGTATGTGCCACCATCAAATACTGTCTACATATTGTCTATATATTGTCTATATATTGTCTACATAATGTCTGCATATTGTCTACATATTGTCTACATATTGTCTACATATCATCTACATATTGTCTACATATTGTCTGCATATTGTCTGCATATTGTCTGCATACTGTCTTCATATCATCTACATATTGTCTACATACTGTCTACATATTGTCTACATATTGTCTACATACTGTCTGCATATTGTCTACATATTGTCTACATATTGTCTACATATTGTCTACATATTGTCTACATATTGTCTGCATATTGTCTGCATACTGTCTTCATATCATCTACATATTGTCTACATACTCTCTACATATTGTCTATATATTGTCTACATACTGTCTACATACTGTCTGCCTATTGTCTACATATTGTCTACATATTGTCTACATATCGTCTACATATCGTCTACATATCGTCTACATATCGTCTACATATCGTCTACATATCGTCTACATATCGTCTACATATCGTCTACATATTGTCTACATATTGTCTACATATTGTCTACATATTGTCTACATATTGTCTACATACTGTCTACATATTGTCTACATACTGTCTACATATTATCTACATACTGTCTACATATTGTCTACATATTGTCTGCATATTGTCTACATACTGTCTACATATTGTCTACATACTGTCTACATACTGTCTACATACTGTCTACATATTGTCTACATACTGTCTACATACTGTCTACATATTGTCTACATACTGTCTACATACTGTCTTCATACTGTCCACATACTGTCTACATATTGTCTACATACTGTTTACATATTGTCTACATATTGTCTACATATTGTCAACATATTGTCTACATATTGTCTACATACTGTCTACATATTGTCTACATATTGTCTACATACTGTCTACATACTGTCAACATACTGTCTACATATTGTCTACATATTGTCTACATATTGTCTACATATTGTCTACATATTGTCTATATATTGTCTACATAATGTCTACATATTGTCTACATATCGTCTACATATCGTCTACATATCGTCTACATATTGTCTACATATTGTCTACATATCGTCTACATATCGTCTACATATCGTCTACATATCGTCTACATATTGTCTACATATTGTCTACATATTGTCTACATATTGTCTACATATTGTCTACATATTGTCTACATATTGTCTACATATTGTCTACACCTAGAATGTGATACTGAGCAGTTCCTGTAACACTTGGACAGTTCCAGTGACTAAACTCTATCCCCACCCCACAATACAACCATATGGTAGAACCACTTGGGCACTGACTGACCTCAACCACCCCACCCTACTTATATGTCCAGTTTAATTAAACTAATACTTGACTGCAACTAATACTTGACTGCAACTAATACTTGACTGCCTCTAACACTTGGCTGTCACCATTTCTCCTCTCTTTGACCTATTTGTGACCTAAACACATAGTCTGCCCCAAAGGACCTTGAGGGATGTCTCACCTTTAACCCTTGCTACTAAATCAATTGCATGGACAATTCAAACAACAACCTTAAAAGGTTATTGATCGCTGGTTATCTAAGCAGTTCAAACAGTTATAGCTGGTGAGTGAAAGGGTTAAACTCTTCTCACCATTGTGTGGGTTAAAGGGTTAAACTCTTCTCACCATTGTTTAGCCAAAGTGAGAAACTGATCCGTCAGCTGCTGAAATTGATCTTTCCTGATTTGCTCAGCATCGTTCGACTCCTCTTCAAACTCACTTTTCATGTATCTCTTGCGTAGCTGGTTCATGTACTCACCAAAAGAGATGCAGTTGTTGGCATTAGCTATCTGGGAATATATCAACAGAGATGTTGGCATTAGCTATCTGGGGATATATCAACAGAGATGTTGGCATTAGCTATCTGGGGAGATATCAACAGAGATGTTGGCATTAGCTATCTGGGGATATATCAACAGAGATGTTGGCATTAGCTATCTGGGGAGATATCAACAGAGATGCAGTTGTTGGCATTAGCTATCTGGGGAGATATCTACAGAGTTGCAGTTGTTGGCATTAGCTATCTGGGGAGATATCTACAGAGATGCAGTTGTTGGCATTAGCTATCTGGGGAGATATCAACAGAGATGCAGTTGTTGGCATTAGCTATCTGGGGAGATATCAACAGAGATGCAGTTGTTGGCATTAGCTATCTGGGGAGATATCTACAGAGTTGTTGGCATTAGCTATCTGGAGATATATCAACAGAGATGTTGGCATTAGCTATCTGGGGAGATATCAACAGAGATGCAGTTGTTGGCATTAGCTATCTGGGGAGATATCAACAGAGATGTTGGCATTAGCTATCTGGGGATATATCAACAGAGATGTTGGCATTAGCTATCTGGGGAGATATCAACAGAGATGTTGGCATTAGCTATCTGGGGAGATATCAACAGAGATGTTGGCATTAGCTATCTGGGGATATATCAACAGAGATGTTGGCATTAGCTATCTGGGGAGATATCAACAGAGATGTTGGCATTAGCTATCTGGGGAGATATCAACAGAGATGTTGGCATTAGCTATCTGGGGAGATATCAACAGAGATGTTGGCATTAGCTATCTGGGGAGATATCAACAGAGATGTTGGCATTAGCTATCTGGGGATATATCAACAGAGATGTTGGCATTAGCTATCTGGGGAGATATCAACAGAGATGTTGGCATTAGCTATCTGGGGAGATATCAACAGAGATGTTGGCATTAGCTATCTGGGGATATATCAACAGAGATGTTGGCATTAGCTATCTGGGGATATATCAACAGAGATGTTGGCATTAGCTATCTGGGGAGATATCAACAGAGATGTTGGCATTAGCTATCTGGGGAGATATCAACAGAGATGCAGTTGTTGGCATTAGCTATCTGGGGAGATATCAACAGAGATGCAGTTGTTGGCATTAGCTATCTGGGGAGATATCAACAGAGATGCAGTTGTTGGCATTAGCTATCTGGGGATATATCAACAGAGATGCAGTTGTTGGCATTAGCTATCTGGGGAGATATCAACATAGATGTTGGCATTAGCTATCTGGGGATATATCAACAGAGATGTTGGCATTAGCTATCTGGGGATATATCAACAGAGATGCAGTTGTTGGCATTAGCTATCTGGGGAGATATCAACAGAGATGTTGGCATTAGCTATCTGGGGATATATCAACAGAGATGTTGGCATTAGCTATCTGGGGATATATCAACAGAGATGCAGTTGTTGGCATTAGCTATCTGGGGATATATCAACAGAGATGTTGGCATTAGCTATCTGGGGATATATCAACAGAGATGCAGTTGTTGGCATTAGCTATCTGGGGATATATCAACAGAGATGTTGACATTAGCTATCTGGGGATATATCAACAGAGATGCAGTTGTTGGCATTAGCTATCTGGGGAGATATCAACAGAGATGTTGGCATTAGCTATCTGGGGAGATATCAACAGAGATGTTGGCATTAGCTATCTGGGGAGATATCAACAGAGATGTTGGCATTAGCTATCTGGGGATATATCAACAGAGATGCAGTTGTTGGCATTAGCTATCTGGGGATATATCAACAGAGATGTTGGCATTAGCTATCTGGGGATATATCAACAGAGATGCAGTTGTTGGCATTAGCTATCTGGGGATATATCAACAGAGATGTTGGCATTAGCTATCTGGGGATATATCAACAGAGATGCAGTTGTTGGCATTAGCTATCTGGGGAGATATCAACAGAGATGTTGGCATTAGCTATCTGGGGAGATATCAACAGAGATGTTGGCATTAGCTATCTGGGGAGATATCAACAGAGATGTTGGCATTAGCTATCTGGGGAGATATCAACAGAGATGCAGTTGTTGGCATTAGCTATCTGGGGATATATCAACAGAGATGTTGGCATTAGCTATCTGGGGAGATATCAACAGAGATGCAGTTGTTGGCATTAGCTATCTGGGGATATATCAACAGAGATGTTGGCATTAGCTATCTGGGGAGATATCAACAGAGATGCAGTTGTTGGCATTAGCTATCTGGGGAGATATCTACAGAGTTGTTGGCATTAGCTATCTTGGGATATATCAACAGAGATGTTGGCATTAGCTATCTGGGGAGATATCAACAGAGATGTTGGCATTAGCTATCTGGGGAGATATCAACAGAGATGTTGGCATTAGCTATCTGGGGAGATATCAACAGAGATGCAGTTGTTGGCATTAGCTATCTGGGGATATATCAACAGAGATGTTGGCATTAGCTATCTGGGGAGATATCAACAGAGATGCAGTTGTTGGCATTAGCTATCTGGGGAGATATCTACAGAGTTGTTGGCATTAGCTATCTGGGGATATATCAACAGAGATGTTGGCATTAGCTATCTGGGGAGATATCAACAGAGATGCAGTTGTTGGCATTAGCTATCTGGGGATATATCAACAGAGATGTTGGCATTAGCTATCTGGGGAGATATCAACAGAGATGCAGTTGTTGGCATTAGCTATCTGGGGATATATCAACAGAGATGTTGGCATTAGCTATCTGGGGAGATATCAACAGAGATGTTGGCATTAGCTATCTGGGGATATATCAACAGAGATGTTGGCATTAGCTATCTGGGGAGATATCAACAGAGATGTTGGCATTAGCTATCTGGGGATATATCAACAGAGATGTTGGCATTAGCTATCTGGGGATATATCAACAGAGATGTTGGCATTAGCTATCTGGGGAGATATCAACAGAGATGTTGGCATTAGCTATCTGGGGATATATCAACAGAGATGCAGTTGTTGGCATTAGCTATCTGGGGAGATATCAACAGAGATGCAGTTGTTGGCATTAGCTATCTGGGGAGATATCAACAGAGATGCAGTTGTTGGCATTAGCTATCTGGGGATATATCAACAGAGATGCAGTTGTTGGCATTAGCTATCTGGGGAGATATCAACAGAGATGTTGGCATTAGCTATCTGGGGATATATCAACAGAGATGTTGGCATTAGCTATCTGGGGATATATCAACAGAGATGCAGTTGTTGGCATTAGCTATCTGGGGAGATATCAACAGAGATGTTGGCATTAGCTATCTGGGGATATATCAACAGAGATGTTGGCATTAGCTATCTGGGGATATATCAACAGAGATGCAGTTGTTGGCATTAGCTATCTGGGGATATATCAACAGAGATGTTGGCATTAGCTATCTGGGGATATATCAACAGAGATGCAGTTGTTGGCATTAGCTATCTGGGGATATATCAACAGAGATGTTGGCATTAGCTATCTGGGGATATATCAACAGAGATGCAGTTGTTGGCATTAGCTATCTGGGGAGATATCAACAGAGATGTTGGCATTAGCTATCTGGGGAGATATCAACAGAGATGTTGGCATTAGCTATCTGGGGAGATATCAACAGAGATGCAGTTGTTGGCATTAGCTATCTGGGGATATATCAACAGAGATGTTGGCATTAGCTATCTGGGGAGATATCACCAGAGATGCAGTTGTTGGCATTAGCTATCTGGGGAGATATCTACAGAGTTGTTGGCATTAGCTATCTGGGGATATATCAACAGAGATGTTGGCATTAGCTATCTGGGGAGATATCAACAGAGATGCAGTTGTTGGCATTAGCTATCTGGGGATATATCAACAGAGATGCAGTTGTTGGCATTAGCTATCTGGGGATATATCAACAGAGATGCAGTTGTTGGCATTAGCTATCTGGGGATATATCAACAGAGATGCAGTTGTTGGCATTAGCTATCTGGGGAGATATCAACAGAGATGTTGGCATTAGCTATCTGGGGATATATCAACAGAGATGTTGGCATTAGCTATCTGGGGATATATCAACAGAGATGTTGGCATTAGCTATCTGGGGATATATCAACAGAGATGCAGTTGTTGGCATTAGCTATCTGGGGAGATATCAACAGAGATGTTGGCATTAGCTATCTGGGGATATATCAACAGAGATGCAGTTGTTGGCATTAGCTATCTGGGGATATATCAACAGAGTTGTTGGCATTAGCTATCTGGGGATATATCAACAGAGATGTTGGCATTAGCTATCTGGGGAGATATCAACAGACATGCAGTTGTTGGCATTAGCTATCTGGGGAGATATCAACAGAGATGTTGGCATTAGCTATCTGGGGATATATCAACAGAGATGTTGGCATTAGCTATCTGGGGATATATCAACAGAGATGCAGTTGTTGGCATTAGCTATCTGGGGATATATCAACAGAGATGTTGGCATTAGCTATCTGGGGATATATCAACAGAGATGTTGGCATTAGCTATCTGGGGAGATATCAACAGAGATGCAGTTGTTGGCATTAGCTATCTGGGGAGATATCAACAGAGATGTTGGCATTAGCTATCTGGGGATATATCAACAGAGATGTTGGCATTAGCTATCTGGGGATATATCAACAGAGATGCAGTTGTTGGCATTAGCTATCTGGGGATATATCAACAGAGATGTTGGCATTAGCTATCTGGGGATATATCAACAGAGATGTTGGCATTAGCTATCTGGGGATATATCAACAGAGATGTTGGCATTAGCTATCTGGGGATATATCAACAGAGATGTTGGCATTAGCTATCTGGGGAGATATCAACAGAGATGCAGTTGTTGGCATTAGCTATCTGGGGATATATCAACAGAGTTGTTGGCATTAGCTATCTGGGGATATATCAACAGAGATGCAGTTGTTGGCATTAGCTATCTGGGGATATATCAACAGAGTTGTTGGCATTAGCTATCTGGGGAGATATCAACAGAGATGCAGTTGTTGGCATTAGCTATCTGGGGATATATCAACAGAGTTGTTGGCATTAGCTATCTGGGGATATATCAACAGAGATGTTGGCATTAGCTATCTGGGGATATATCAACAGAGTTGTTGGCATTAGCTATCTGGGGATATATCAACAGAGATGTTGGCATTAGCTATCTGGGGAGATATCAACAGAGATGTTGGCATTAGCTATCTGGGGAGATATCAACAGAGATGCAGTTGTTGGCATTAGCTATCTGGGGATATATCAACAGAGATGCAGTTGTTGGCATTAGCTATCTGGGGAGATATCAACAGAGATGTTGGCATTAGCTATCTGGGGAGATATCAACAGAGATGTTGGCATTAGCTATCTGGGGAGATATCAACAGAGATGTTGGCATTAGCTATCTGGGGATATATCAACAGAGATGTTGGCATTGGCTATCTGGGGATATATCAACAGAGATGTTGGCATTAGCTATCTGGGGATATATCAACAGAGTTGTTGGCATTAGCTATCTGGGGATATATCAACAGAGATGTTGGCATTAGCTATCTGGGGAGATATCAACAGAGATGTTGGCATTAGCTATCTGGGGAGATATCAACAGAGATGCAGTTGTTGGCATTAGCTATCTGGGGATATATCAACAGAGATGTTGGCATTAGCTATCTGGGGATATATCAACAGAGTTGTTGGCATTAGCTATCTGGGGATATATCAACAGAGATGTTGGCATTAGCTATCTGGGGAGATATCAACAGAGATGTTGGCATTAGCTATCTGGGGAGATATCAACAGAGATGCAGTTGTTGGCATTAGCTATCTGGGGATATATCAACAGAGATGCAGTTGTTGGCATTAGCTATCTGGGGAGATATCAACAGAGATGTTGGCATTAGCTATCTGGGGAGATATCAACAGAGATGTTGGCATTAGCTATCTGGGGAGATATCAACAGAGATGTTGGCATTAGCTATCTGGGGATATATCAACAGAGATGCAGTTGTTGGCATTAGCTATCTGGGAAGATATCAACAGAGATGTTGGCATTAGCTATCTGGGGATATATCAACAGAGATGCAGTTGTTGGCATTAGCTATCTGGGGATATATCAACAGAGTTGTTGGCATTAGCTATCTGGGGATATATCAACAGAGATGTTGGCATTAGCTATCTGGGGATATATCAACAGAGATGTTGGCATTAGCTATCTGGGGATATATCAACAGAGATGCAGTTGTTGGCATTAGCTATCTGGGGATATATCAACAGAGATGTTGGCATTAGCTATCTGGGGATATATCAACAGAGTTGTTGGCATTAGCTATCTGGGGAGATATCAACAGAGATGTTGGCATTAGCTATCTGGGGATATATCAACAGAGATGTTGGCATTAGCTATCTGGGGATATATCAACAGAGATGCAGTTGTTGGCATTAGCTATCTGGGGATATATCAACAGAGATGTTGGCATTAGCTATCTGGGGATATATCAACAGAGATGTTGGCATTAGCTATCTGGGGATATATCAACAGAGATGTTGGCATTAGCTATCTGGGGATATATCAACAGAGATGTTGGCATTAGCTATCTGGGGAGATATCAACAGAGATGCAGTTGTTGGCATTAGCTATCTGGGGATATATCAACAGAGTTGTTGGCATTAGCTATCTGGGGATATATCAACAGAGATGCAGTTGTTGGCATTAGCTATCTGGGGAGATATCAACAGAGATGTTGGCATTAGCTATCTGGGGAGATATCAACAGAGATGCAGTTGTTGGCATTAGCTATCTGGGGATATATCAACAGAGTTGTTGGCATTAGCTATCTGGGGATATATCAACAGAGATGTTGGCATTAGCTATCTGGGGATATATCAACAGAGTTGTTGGCATTAGCTATCTGGGGATATATCAACAGAGATGTTGGCATTAGCTATCTGGGGAGATATCAACAGAGATGTTGGCATTAGCTATCTGGGGAGATATCAACAGAGATGCAGTTGTTGGCATTAGCTATCTGGGGATATATCAACAGAGATGCAGTTGTTGGCATTAGCTATCTGGGGAGATATCAACAGAGATGTTGGCATTAGCTATCTGGGGAGATATCAACAGAGATGTTGGCATTAGCTATCTGGGGAGATATCAACAGAGATGTTGGCATTAGCTATCTGGGGATATATCAACAGAGATGTTGGCATTAGCTATCTGGGGATATATCAACAGAGATGTTGGCATTAGCTATCTGGGGATATATCAACAGAGTTGTTGGCATTAGCTATCTGGGGATATATCAACAGAGATGTTGGCATTAGCTATCTGGGGAGATATCAACAGAGATGTTGGCATTAGCTATCTGGGGAGATATCAACAGAGATGCAGTTGTTGGCATTAGCTATCTGGGGATATATCAACAGAGATGTTGGCATTAGCTATCTGGGGATATATCAACAGAGTTGTTGGCATTAGCTATCTGGGGATATATCAACAGAGATGTTGGCATTAGCTATCTGGGGAGATATCAACAGAGATGTTGGCATTAGCTATCTGGGGAGATATCAACAGAGATGCAGTTGTTGGCATTAGCTATCTGGGGATATATCAACAGAGATGCAGTTGTTGGCATTAGCTATCTGGGGAGATATCAACAGAGATGTTGGCATTAGCTATCTGGGGAGATATCAACAGAGATGCAGTTGTTGGCATTAGCTATCTGGGGAGATATCAACAGAGATGTTGGCATTAGCTATCTGGGGAGATATCAACAGAGATGCAGTTGTTGGCATTAGGTATCTGGGGAGATATCAACAGAGATGTTGGCATTAGGTATCTGGGGATATATCAACAGAGAAGTTGGCATTAGCTATCTGGGGAGATATCAACAGAGAAGTTGGCATTAGCTATTTGGAACAGCAGGTTAATTGATTCTTTGGAAGACAAAAATTCTACAATAAAAATACACGCATTGCTTTGTTTTATTTTTTATCGAAAAACTAATTATTTTGTGTATTTTATTGAAGAGCAATCATTCAAATGCAAAAATAAAACAACTATCTAACACAGAGGGTACAGTTTACAAATACTAACCACATAGTGAATAAAATATTTTGGTTCCTTCCTATCTGCCAAGTGTCGCTCGTCATAAATTTGAAGCTCGTCTGAATAAATAAAATATAAATCTCATAAACATCTGAATAAATCTATATATATAAAAAGCAATGTATATGTGTGTGTGTGTCCTTTATGCTTTACTACACCTCTCATCACATCGCCGTGAAACTTTGGGAAGTTGTTGAGAATATTCCTGGGGATGTTTCTGCGAAAAAAAACATATTTCAAATTCGTAGGGGTGGCGCCCCGACAGGGCGCGATTTGTTTTTTTCTATATACGGTATATAAAAATAAAAGTCGATTTTGGTTTGGCATCGTTCATCCGATAGCCATGAGACTTTGGGATGTTGATTGGAACACTCCAGGGAAGGTTTCTGTAAAAAAAAAAATTTTATAATTTCGCAAGGGCGGCGCCACTGAATGGTGGGATTTTTCTCAATATACGGTATATAAAAATAAAAGTCGATTTTGGTTTGACACCATTTATCTGATCGCCATCAAACTTTGAGGAGTTGATTAGAACAATTCAGGGAAGGGTTCTGTAAAAAAAAAATCCTTTTTTGATTTTGCAAGGGCGGCGCCACGGGAGGCTGTGATTTTTCTCTATATACGGTTTATAAAAATAAAAGTCTATTTCGGTTTCACACCGTTCATTTGTGTCATTTTAGCGAAAAACGAAATCTGCATCATTATTAACAGGATGCTATTTGGCACGATGGCGCCTGTTAGTTTTAAGGAGCCAGGGGTCGTAAGCAGCTCCTCTGCGGTAGTGTAATCGGGGGTGGGGGCCCTGAGAGCGCCCCTCTACGTCTCTGACACAGAGGCGGTCACCGAAGTGTGTTCTAACATATTATTTCGGTGAGTGATTAATGTACACTCAATGTTTTCATGTGGTAGTGTAGGTAAACCCGTGTCCCGATATTTATGATGCAAGCGCAGGCATTGTTTACATTTGAATAACTCACTTTTATAAAATATGGTCACGCATCTAAGAACATATGATTGGTAACGCGTTGGTAAAATCCTTCTAATACATTTCGTCAAACTTTCTTCTATCCCCGCGGCAACGCGTGGGGGACGGGTACGCTAGTAAAATATAAATTTGGAGCTCATCTGAATAAATAAAATATAAATTTGGAGCTCATCTGAATAAATAAAATATAAATTTGGAGCTCATCTGAAAAAATAAAATATAAATTTGAAGCTCATCTGAATAAATAAAATATAAATTTGGAGCTCGTCTGAGTAAAAAAAATATAAATTTGGAGCTCGTCTGAATAAATAAAATAGTCTTAAATTATTCATCATCACTTTATTTGGAATTACTATTATTTATTAGAGTCTAAATTATTCTTAACTAAGCGAGTAGAATTTATTGTTAATTATGTTTGAGTTATTAAACTCATTAGCACTAATGCTAGTACATCTAAACAAAAAGAGCAAATAATTCTCAAAAAGAAATCAGACAAGTTATCTTTCGTTAGATTATATTCCCACTTACTTTTATATTCTAAAGCCAAGGCCAACTTAATATTCTAAAGCCAAGGTCAACTTACTTTTATATTCTAAAGCCAAGGTCAACTTACTTTTATATTCTAAAGCCAAGGTCAACTTACTTTTATATTCTAAAGCAAACCTATTCAGCTCCTCAGCAAACAACTCTAAGACTTTCTTGACCAACTCTTGACCAATAATTTTTGCCACTTGTAACTGGGTAAAAAGAATTCAAGCTCATAAAAACATTAAGTTCTATGCGTGGGCAATTTTCCCTAACATCAGTCAGGTACCCATTATAGCTGGGTAGACTCAGGGACATCTTACAGACTCAAACACAGGATCCCATCCCTCAGCTAAGCTTTCATGCACTCTATTGACCAACCAAAACAAAGTTACGAACAATACATTTTAAGTAAAATATTATTCAAAGTCTCAGATATTTTTTCAAAATCTAGAGAAATTTATATAAAAGCTATAAAATATGTATTCCCATAAATATGACACGCAATGTTAGACCACAAATTGACAAAGATGACCAGCCAGCCCACAAAGATGACCAGCCTGCCCACAAAGATGACCAGCCTGCCCACAAAGATGACCAGCCTGCCCACAAAGATGACCAGCCTGCCCACAAAGATGACCAGCCTGCCCACAAAGATGACCAGCCTGCCCACAAAGATGACCAGCCTGCCCACAAAGATGACCAGCCGGCCCACAAAGCTGACCAGCCAGATGACCAGCCAGCCCACAAAGATAACCAGCCAGCCCACAAAGATGACCAGCCAGCCCACAAAGATGACCAGCCTGCCCACAAAGATAACCAGCCTGCCCACAAAGATGACCAGCCTGCCCACAAAGATGACCAGCCTGCCCACAAAGATAACCAGCCTGCCCACAAAGATGACCAGCCTGCCCACAAAGATGACTAGCCTGCCCACAAAGATAACCAGCCTGCCCACAAAGATGACCAGCCAGATGACCATCCAGCTCACAAAGATGACCAGCCAGCCCACAAAGATGACCATCCAGCCCACAAAGATGACCATCCAGCCCACAAAGATGACCAGCCAGCTGACCAGTCGGCCCCAAAGATGACCAGCCAGCCCACAAAGATGACCATCCAGCCCACAAAGATGACCAGCCGGCCCACAAAGATGACCAGCCTGCCCACAAATATGACCAGCCTGCCCACAAAGATGACCAGCCTGCCCACAAAGATGACCAGCCTGCCCACAAAGATGACCAGCCTGCCCACAAAGATGACCAGCCTGCCCACAAAGATGACCAGCCTGCCCACAAAGATGACCAGCCGGCCCACAAAGCTGACCAGCCAGATGACCAGCCAGCCCACAAAGATAACCAGCCAGCCCACAAAGATGACCAGCCTGCCCACAAAGATAACCAGCCTGCCCACAAAGATGACCAGCCTGCCCACAAAGATGACCAGCCTGCCCACAAAGATAACCAGCCTGCCCACAAAGATGACCAGCCTGCCCACAAAGATGACTAGCCTGCCCACAAAGATAACCAGCCTGCCCACAAAGATGACCAGCCAGATGACCATCCAGCTCACAAAGATGACCAGCCAGCCCACAAAGATGACCATCCAGCCCACAAAGATGACCAGCCAGCCCACAAAGATGACCATCCAGCCCACAAAGATGACCATCCAGCCCACAAAGATGACCAGCCAGCCCACAAAGATGACCAGCCAGCCTACAAAGATGACCATCCAGCCCACAAAGATGACCAGCCGGCCCACAAAGATGACCAGCCTGCCCACAAATATGACCAGCCGGCCCACAAAGATGACCAGCCAGCTGACCAGCCAGCCCACAAAGATCTGATATCTTACATTCTGCTCCATCATCTGGAATATGATGACTGGCAGCTGTGTGTTGTAGAAGCCATCCCCATCCTGGTCTGGTGCCTCAGTGTTCACCCAGTCCTGCGCAGTTTAAAATTTACCAGTTAAACTTAGCTCCTTAATATTTTAACATAAAATTTTACCAGTTAAACATAGCTGTTTAATATTTTAACATGTAAAAATTTAACAGTTAAACTTAGCTGCTTAATATTTTAACATCGAAATTTACCAGTTAAACTTAGCTGTTTAATACTTTAACGTAAAAATTTAACAGTCAAACTTAGCTGCTTAATATTTTAATGTAAAAACTTAGCTGTTTAATATTTTAACATGTAAAAATTTACCAGTTAAACTTAGCTGTTTAATAATTTTACATGTAAACATAAAGTTTCCATCTCAAACCTGATGGTCCATGGCGCAAGTGAAGTCAAGTTCACATGTTTCTTTTGATATGTAACCTAGGCTAAAATTCTGATGGCCCAATTTTTCCTCTATCTAAGTATGATCCTGAGAAATCTTAGTTGAGCACAAAAATTGTACAATGTGTATCTAACTGAGGCCTACCCTGATGTCTGAACGCAGTGTGTTTCTGCTCCATTCTGTGATGTTTTGCTTCATGTTCTTCAAATATCTGAAACAATAGTAAGATAAGTTTTACACTTGACTAAACAGAGTACATTTTAATATCTGAAACATTAACAACAAAAGTTTTACACTTGACAAAACAGAGCACATTTTAATATCTGAAACATTAATAACAAAGGTTTTACACTTGACAAAACAGAGTACATTTTAATATCTGAAATAATAGTAAGATAAGTTTTACACTTGACAAAACAGAGCACATTTTAATATCTGAAACAATAGTAACATAAGTTTTACACTTGACAAAAAAGAGTACATTTTAATATCTGAAATAATAATAACAAAAGTTTTACACTTGACAAAACAGAGCACATTTTAATATCTGAAACAATAATAACAAAAGTTTTACACTTGACAAAACAGACCACATTTTAGTATCTGAAACAATAATAACAAAAGTTTTACACTTGACAAAACAGATCACATCTTAACACATTTTTAATAACATCTTGAAAAATCTATTTTAGTTTGTCAAATCTCAGTTTTTTTTTTCAACTAGCAGTGAAGACACCGAACACATTTGATAAGGTCTGAAAAATAGACACACCGCTGGAATCTAAACCTCAAAGATATAATGGTCAGCCAGTTCAAATCTAAATCCCAAAGATATAATGGTCAGCCAGTTCAAATCTAAACCTCAAAGATATAATGGTCAGCCAGTTCAAATCTAAATCCCAGGTAAGTGACTTAATGGTCATTCTGCTAAAAAAAGTAAAGAAATAGGTGACCAAAAACAGTGATGGTGGTAATCTCTAGACAAGCTTGAACCTGGTGGTAATCTCTAGACAAGCTTGAACCTGGTGGTAATGTCTAGACAAGCTTGAACCTGGTGGTAATGTCTATACAAGCTTGAACCTGGTGGTAATGTCTAGACACATTTCTCTTTAGAACTGACAAATATAGTCAACTGCGTTCGTTGAATAATTTAAATAAATTATTTTTAAAATTCTGCTTCCATGGTTAATATTGCAGAAAAATTGGCCAGAGGTTGTAGGTCAGTTTGTGATATTTGGAGAGATGAATTCATGTCCAACTTTCTGTGCTTTATTTTAAGATAACAGTATTACAGCTAGCCATGAGAGACACAGCTAGCAAACAGAGATACGTACTGGTTCTGGAGGTAGAGGATGATGTTGTTCTCTAGAAGAGGTCCCAGCTCCTTGACATCAATGTTTAGCTCAGGGTGTCTCAGGAGTTCTGGTGAGCTGCAACAAATGGTTTCAACATCACTCACACACATCTCACAAACATCTCACAAACACACAAATCTCACACACAAGCTAACACAAATCTCACACACAAGCTAACACACACATCTCACACACAAACACACAAATCTCACACACAAGCTAACACAAATCTCACACATAAGCTAACACAAATCTCACACACAAGCTAACACACACATCTCACACACAAACACACACATCTCACACACAAGCTAACACACAAATCTCACACACAAGCTAACACAAATCTCACACACAAGCTAACACACACATCTCACACACAAACACACAAATCTCACACACAAGCTAACACAAATCTCACACATAAGCTAACACAAATCTCACACACAAGCTAACACACACATCTCACACACAAACACACACATCTCACACACAAGCTAACACACACAAGCTAACACACACATCTCACACACAAGCTAACACACACAAGCTAACACACACATCTCACACACAAGCTAACACACACATCTCACACACAACCTAACACACACATCTCACACACAAGCTAACACACACATCTCACACATAAGCTAACACAAAGGCAATAGTTTCATGCACATCTCATACAAATACCAGAGTTAAATTATTCCCAGATGAATGTCATAAATAGCTTTATAAGTGCTATATTAATAATACCAGAGCTGAATGATTTCAGACAACCAACATAAACATAAACATAAACATAAACATAAACCTGTACTCACTCATAAGCCTTTACCCACTGAAGTAATGAGACGACCTCGTTTCCTTCCAACTCTTGTTGAATTAATTCTTTCAGCTGAAAACATACAATATACATTTGTTGAATTAATTCTTTCAGCTGAAAACATACAATATACATTTGTTGAATTAATTCTTTCAGCTGAAAACATACAATATACATTTGTTGAATTAATTCTTTCAGCTGAAAACATACAATATATATTTGTTGAATTAATTCTTTCAGCTGAAAACATACAATATATATTTGTTTCATCAATTCAAGTGAAAGACACTTTTTTAACAGTTATGTTGCTGTAATGGATAGATTCAGATTAGGATATACCAGATCCTTTTACTCCATGGGGAAAACTGTTGAAAGACAATCCTTTACAAGAAATGTGAAGTGAATTATTAATTTATATGAAGTGTGATGTGAATTAGTTACTTACATTAAATGAATTATTTACTTAATAGAAATGTGAAGTGAATTTTTTATTTACATGAAGTGGATTATTTACTTAATAGAAATGTAAAGTGAATTATTTACATTTGTGAAGTGAATTATTTACTTAAGTGAATTATTTACTAACGTGAAGTGACTAGTTGACTCACATGAAGGGATAGAGCTGTGTGATACATCTTTTGGTAGCGTCGGACGACATTGTATTCAGGTGGGAACACAGGGGGCAGCAAAGTCTGTTAAAAAATATTTTTTTTTAATGCATGAAATTTTACATAATCTTAAATTTTTATTTTTTTTAATGCATGAATTTTTACAAAATGATAAAAAAAATTTTAATACATGAATTTTTACAAAATCTTTGATATTTATTTTTAATGCATGAATTTTTACAAAATCATAAAAAAAATTTTAATGCATGAATTTTTACAAAATCTTTGATATTTATTTTTAATGCATGAAAATTCACTAAATCATAAATATTTCTTTAATGCATTAATTTTTACAAAATCATAAATTTATTGATAATGTAAATAGACAAGAGGTACAGCTAATACTACCATAATGAAATTTTTTTTTATCATTACAAGCAAATTTTATTTATAAACAACAAATTAATGAAATAAAAAGTTTTAAGTTGCATAAAGAAAAAATATGTTATAAACAACACATTCATGGAAATAAAAGTTTTAAGTCACATGATTTACCTTGACAACTTTCAAGTCATCAATCATGGATTGTCTGGTGATCTCTAAATGGCGCACCAGCCACATCTTGTCCTGGTCTCTGGTCTCTAGCTGTGTGCCTTCAATCCTAGGACAATACAACATTTGTTGGGGTCAATACAATCCTAGGACAATACAACATTTGTTGGGGTCAACACAATCCTAGGACAATACAACATTTGTTGGGGTCAACACAATCCTAGGACAATACAACATTTGTTGGGGTCAACACAATCCTAGGACAATACAACATTTGTTGGGGTCAACACAATCCTAGGACAATACAACATTTGTTGGGGTCAACACAATCCTAGGACAATACAACATTTGTTGGAGTCAACACAATCCTAGGACAATACAACATTTGTTGGGGTCAACACAATCCTAGGACAATACAACATTTGTTGGGGTCAACACAATCCTAGGACAATACAACATTTGTTGGAGTCAACACAATCCTAGGACAATACAACATTTGTTGGGGTCAACACAATCCTAGGACAATACAACATTTGTTGGGGTCAACACAATCCTAGGATACATTTGTTGGGGTCAACACAATCCTAGGACAATACAACATTTGTTGGAGTCAACACAATCCTAGGATACATTTGTTGGGGTCAACACAATCATAGGACAATACAACATTTGTTGGAGTCAACACAATCCTAGGATACATTTGTTGGGGTCAACACAATCCTAGGACAATACAACATTAGTTAAGATCAACACAATCCTAGGACAATACAACATTTGTTGGGGTCAACACAATCCTAGGACAATACAACATTTGTTGGAGTCAACACAATCCTAGGACAATACAACATTTGTTGGGGTCAACACAATCCTAGGATACATTTGTTGGGGTCAACACAATCCTAGGACAATACAACATTTGTTGGAGTCAACACAATCCTAGGACAATACAACATTTGTTGGGGTCAACACAATCCTAGGATACATTTGTTGGGGTCAACACAATCCTAGGACAATACAACATTTGTTGGGGTCAACACAATCATAGGACAATACAACATTTGTTGGGGTCAACACAATCCTAGGATACATTTGTTGGGGTCAACCCAATCCTAGGACAATACAACATTTGTTGGGTCAACACAATCCTAGGACAATACAACATTTGTTGGAGTCAACACAATCCTAGGACAATACAACATTTGTTGGGGTCAACACAATCCTAGGATACATTTGTTGGGGTCAACACAATCCTAGGACAATACAACATTTGTTGGGGTCAACACAATCCTAGGACAATACAACACAATCCTACGATTATAAAAGATTAATGTGATTTTCAACATAATAGAGCATCATCAATATTATCCTAAAAGAATTTTCTCTTAGTTTCTTTCGTTCAAGATTTAATGTAGACAAATATTTTTTTTACACTTTTATGATTTTAAAAATTACTTTTAAACCCATAGTAAAGATTGGAACACTAGATTTGAATGAGGTGATTTATAACCAGCAGTAACAATTAATATGGCTGTACATTAGAGTACACAACAGATGACAAAAACCTGAGTCAGCATTAAACTAGACTAGACATTACACACCAGAGCATAAAACTAGACTAGACATTACACACCAGAGCATAAAACTAGACTAGACATTACACACCAGAGCATAAAACTAGACTAGACATTACACACCAGAGCATAAAACTAGACTAGACATTACACACCAGAGCATAAAACTAGACTAGACATTACACACCAGAGCATAAAACTAGACTAGACATTACACACCAGAGCATAAAACTAGACTAGACATTACACACCAGAGCATAAAACTAGACTAGACATTACACACCAGAGCATAAAACTAGACTAGACATTACACACCAGAGCATAAAACTAGACTAGACATTACACACCAGAGCATAAAACTAGACTAGACATTACACACCAGAGCATAAAACTAGACTAGACATTACACACCAGAGCATAAAACTAGACTAGACATTACACACCAGAGCATAAAACTAGACTAGACATTACACACCAGAGCATAAAACTAGACTAGACATTACACACCAGAGCATAAAACTAGACTAGACATTACACACCAGAGCATAAAACTAGACTAGACATTACACACCAGAGCATAAAACTAGACTAGACATTACACACCAGAGCATAAAACTAGACTAGACATTACACACCAGAGCATAAAACTAGACTAGACATTACACACCAGAGCATAAAACTAGACTAGACATTACACACCAGAGCATAAAACTAGACTAGACATTACACACCAGAGCATAAAACTAGACTAGACATTACACACCAGAGCATAAAACTAGACTAGACATTACACACCAGAGCATAAAACTAGACTAGACATTACACACCAGAGCATAAAACTAGACTAGACATTACACACCAGAGCATAAAACTAGACTAGACATTACACACCAGAGCATAAAACTAGACTAGACATTACACACCAGAGCATAAAACTAGACTAGACATTACACACCAGAGCATAAAACTAGACTAGACATTACACACCAGAGCATAAAACTAGACTAGACATTACACACCAGAGCATTAAACTAGACTAGACATTACACACCAGAGCATAAAACTAGACTAGACATTACACACCAGAGCATAAAACTAGACTAGACATTACACACCAGAGCATAAAACTAGACTAGACGGTACTCACCAGAGTGAGCATAAAACTAGACTAGACATTACTCACCTGAGTGAGCATAAAACTAGACTAGACATTACTCACCTGAGTGAGCATAAAACTAGACTAGACATTACACACCAGAGCATAAAACTAGACTAGACATTACTCACCTGAGTGAGCATAAAACTAGACTAGACATTAGTCACCTGAGTGAGCATAAAACTAGACTAGACATTACTCACCTGAGTGAGCATAAAACTAGACTAGACATTACTCACCTGAGTGAGCATAAAACTAGACTAGACATTAGTCACCTGAGTGAGCATAAAACTAGACTAGACGCTACTCACCAGAGTGAGCATAAAACTAGACTAGACATTAGTCACCTGAGTGAGCATAAAACTAGACTAGACATTACTCACCTGAGTGAGCATAAAACTAGACTAGACGCTACTCACCAGAGTGAGCATAAAACTAGACTAGACATTAGTCACCTGAGTGAGCATAAAACTAGACTAGACGCTACTCACCTGAGTGAGCATAAAACTAGACTAGACATTAGTCACCTGAGTGAGCATAAAACTAGACTAGACGCTACTCACCTGGGTGAGCATAAAACTAGACTAACTACTCACCTGGCTGCTATAGAAGACTGCAGGACTTCCAAACATTTTTCTTTCCACTTTTTTGGTCGGCCAGGGGGCATAAATCCTGTCTGATCATATTTCTTATACCAAGCAGCATCCATCCTGACGATAATTTTAAAAATTTCTCCCATTTTTGTTTCGTATTTTATGTTATCATCTCATAACTAAACCTACTCATACTTATGTTGATGTTCAACTACCATACTAGCCTCTAACAAAATAGAGAGAATAAAGAATAACAAATAATATTAAATAAAATTAACTGATTAATTTTTACTTAATTTTGTTGAGAAATGTTTAAAATTCAAGTGCTTCAATAAGACATTTCATTACTAGTTTTAATCCTAGATAGCTAGCTGGATTGGCCGGTCATTTACTTAGGGAGGAATCAAAATAAACAGGTGTCAACAAACAAAGTTGGACAGGTCAGGTTATTCAGGTGGGTGTCATGGGGAGGGGTAGACAAAGGTAATATAGCAGCTTTATTGACAGTCAGCAGCTGTATGACAGCAGATGTACAACAGCAGCTGTATGACAGCAACAGTCTGAGGCTTTATAAATTACTGGGGGAAATATTTAGGCAAAAGTCTTTTAAGTAATCCTCTAATCAAACATTCTTCCGCAGCAACTAAGGGAAGTAATGCTAACCTTTCCTCCCTTTCTATAATTCTCAAGGCAGTGCAGATGAGAGTAGGCTCCCTTCTAACAGACAGCAGAGTCCTCTGTATGATGACCCACAACTGCTTGCCCAACTCAACAGAAAGTGTTTGGACCTCTGAGAAGTAGTTGGTCAGCGTCTGGTGAGGACATGGTCAAAGTAATGGCATTATCACTAGGTCTGGAAGCTAAATGTGTGTGTGTAAATTAGCACAGAAATTTTAAAATGTTTGTAAAACGTGAAGACATTTTATCAAAAGAAGATATAATGATACCTAAAAACCGTTTGTAAAGTGTTTTTTTTATTTCGTTAATGTATTAAAGTCAAGTAATTATTTAGATTATAATTTTTAAAAATTAGTTATAAAGAAATTATAAATAAAAATATAAGGTATATTTAGAAAAGCAATTATCTTTAAGTGATTTATCTAAAATAGGAGTTAAAATGAGAAGAAATATAACATTAGATTATAATTGTGTAGGCAGGACTGTTGTTGAGCTGTTTGTATTAAAGTACAACTATATCATGACCAGTAGGAAATGATGAATGAAAAAATGTTACTAACAATTTTATCTGTGGGACTTTGGTTTGGCTGTTTGTGTAGGGCCAACAGAAGGTCGTCTCTGGACATCTCAAGGTCAGTCAGGCTGGACAAAATAGATGTTAGAATTCAATGAAAGAAAGATGCTGTGAAAACATTAGCCAATAATTTTAACCTCCTAGTTGTATATGCTGTAAAGATCTCTGGCCACAGTATCAGCTGTAATCAACGTTTTTTTTTAACCTCAAGTTTTAAAAAAATCAAGGGAACTTACTGTTTATGAGCCTGGAGTAGCTTCCCTTCATTGATGAGTTCACTTGTTTTCTTGACACTCTCTGGCACAGTAAAAATATGTTTCAGGTTTTCTTGGGCTGCTGACAGCTGAAAAATTGAGGAAACAATTTGTGGATAAATGGTGGGGGTTGAAAAATATTTGTTTTGTTGGTGTAAGAAAACATGTTATTAACACAGTCAAATATATATTGCTGGTTTTCTAATGCTGCTAATAGCTGAAGAATTGAGAATGTGTTCCACTAGCTATTTTACAAACTAGTATTGTTATAGTTCTTAGCATATTACTAATGTAGGTTGTTAATAATTCTATTTTAAAGATTTGTTAGAGAAATAGCTGTCAGGAGTTTGTTACAAACTGCTTAAGACTACAGGTATCACAACTGACCAGAGAGAATTTGTTACAAACTGACCAAGACTACAGGAACTGACCTGACAGAATTTGTTGTTCTCTTCCTTCAGATCCTTGAGTTTCTGGTGCAGAGGTTCAATGATCCTGTAGTTTTCTTCTATCTCATCTAGGCTGAAACAAGTTTTTAACTGCTACAACACCATGGTAAACATCTACTCATTGATTTAAGAGTTATTTTTTAATGAGTTCATGCTGTGAGAAAGTCTAAATCTTAAGCGAGGCTTATCTGGCAACACAGTACCCCAATATTTGAAAACAGAGAGATCAAACAAAGACTAGAGAGTCTCAGATTCAAAGTTGGGTTTAGAAAACTTCTGTATATTAGTTACAATATCAAGTCAACTTGGCAACTAAGCTGATAGTCAGCAATATGTACAACCAAATATCTCCCCTGGATCTGGTACAACATACAACTCCATACCTCTACTGGTACAACTCCATACCTCTGTTGATACAACATACAACTCTATACCTCTGCTGGTACAACATACAACTCTATACATCTGCTGGTACAACATACAACTCCATACCTCAGCTGGTACAACATACAACTCCATACCTCTGCTGGTACAACATACAACTCCATATCTCTGCTGGTACAACATACAACTCCATACCTCAGCTGGTACAACATACAACTATATACCTCTGCTGGTACAACATACAACTCCATACCTCTGCTGGTACAACATACAACTCCATATATTCTACTGGTACAACATGCAACGTTATACATCTGCTGGTACAACATACAACTCTATACCTCTGCTGGTACAACATACAACTCCATACCTCTACTGGTACAACATACAACTCCATACCTCAGCTGGTACAACATACAACTCCATACCTCTGCTGGTACAACATACAACTCCATATGTTCTACTGGTACAACATGCAACGTTATACATCTGCTGGTACAACATACAACTCTATACCTCAGCTGGTACAACATACAACTCCATACCTCTACTGGTACAACATACAACTCCATACCTCAGCTGGTACAACATACAACTCCATACCTCTGCTGGTACAACATACAACTCCATATGTTCTACTGGTACAACATACAACTCTATACCTCTGCTGGTACAACATACAACTCTATACATCTGCTGGTACAACATACAACTCCATACCTCAGCTGGTACAACATACAACTCCATACCTCTGCTGGTACAACATACAACTCCATATCTCTGCTGGTACAACATACAACTCCATACCTCAGCTGGTACAACATACAACTATATACCTCTGCTGGTACAACATACAACTCCATACCTCAGCTGGTACAACATACAACTCCATACCTCTGCTGGTACAACATACAACTCCATATGTTCTACTGGTACAACATACAACTCTATACCTCTGCTGGTACAACATACAACTCTATACATCTGCTGGTACAACATACAACTCCATACCTCAGCTGGTACAACATACAACTCCATACCTCTGCTGGTACAACATACAACTCCATATCTCTGCTGGTACAACATACAACTCCATACCTCAGCTGGTACAACATACAACTATATACCTCTGCTGGTACAACATACAACTCCATACCTCTGCTGGTACAACATACAACTCCATATATTCTACTGGTACAACATGCAACGTTATACATCTGCTGGTACAACATACAACTCTATACCTCTGCTGGTACAACATACAACTCCATACCTCTACTGGTACAACATACAACTCCATACCTCAGCTGGTACAACATACAACTCCATACCTCTGCTGGTACAACATACAACTCCATATGTTCTACTGGTACAACATGCAACGTTATACATCTGCTGGTACAACATACAACTCTATACCTCAGCTGGTACAACATACAACTCCATACCTCTACTGGTACAACATACAACTCCATACCTCAGCTGGTACAACATACAACTCCATACCTCTGCTGGTACAACATACAACTCCATATGTTCTACTGGTACAACATACAACTCTATACCTCTGCTGGTACAACATACAACTCTATACATCTGCTGGTACAACATACAACTCCATACCTCAGCTGGTACAACATACAACTCCATACCTCTGCTGGTACAACATACAACTCCATATCTCTGCTGGTACAACATACAACTCCATACCTCAGCTGGTACAACATACAACTATATACCTCTGCTGGTACAACATACAACTCCATACCTCTGCTGGTACAACATACAACTCCATATATTCTACTGGTACAACATGCAACGTTATACATCTGCTGGTACAACATACAACTCTATACCTCTGCTGGTACAACATACAACTCCATACCTCTACTGGTACAACATACAACTCCATACCTCAGCTGGTACAACATACAACTCCATACCTCTGCTGGTACAACATACAACTCCATATGTTCTACTGGTACAACATGCAACGTTATACATCTGCTGGTACAACATACAACTCTATACCTCAGCTGGTACAACATACAACTCCATACCACTGCTGGTACAACATACAACTCCATATATTCTACTGGTACAACATGCAACGTTATACATCTGCTGGTACAACATACAACTCTATACCTCTGCTGGTACAACATACAACTCTATACCTCTGCTGGTACAACATACAACTCCATACCTCTACTGGTACAACATACAACTCCATACCTCAGCTGGTACAACATACAACTCTATACCTCTGCTGGTACAACATACAACTCCATACCTCAGCTGGTACAACATACAACTCTATACCTCAGCTGGTACAACATACAACTCCATATATTCTGCTGGTACAACATACAACTCCATACCTCAGCTGGTACAACATACAACTCCATATATTCTGCTGGTACAACATACAACTCCATATAGTCTGCTGGTACAACATACAACTCCATACCTCTGCTGGTACAACATACAACTCCATACCTCTACTGGTACAACATACAACTCCATACATCTACTGGTACAACATACAACGCCATACCTCTGCTGGTACAACATACAACTCCATACCTCAGCTGGTACAACATACAACTCTATACCTCTACTGGTACAACATACAACTCCATACCTCTACTGGTACAACATACAACTCTATACCTCTACTGGTACAACATACAACTCTATACATCTGCTGGTACAACATACAACTCTATACATCTGATGGTACAACATACAACTCCATATATTCTGCTGGTACAATATACAACTCTATACCTCAGCTGGTACAACATACAACTCTATACCTCTGCTGGTACAACATACAACTCTATACCACTGCTGGTACAACATACAACTCTATACCTCTGCTGGTACAACATACAACTCCATACCTCAGCTGGTACAACATACAACTCTATACCTCTGCTGGTACAACATACAACTCCATACCTCAGCTGGTACAACATACCTCTGTTTGATCTGATAGACATCCTGTAGAGCACTCTGCAACTGGTTCAGTCCCGTCCTAACCCCATCAAGTTGTGACTGTACCGCTGTTTTCAACATGGCTTCCACTGAAGCCTGGACGATTCAAAACAAAACTGGTCAGAATGTTTCAACACAGAGAAATATTGACATTGTATAAATTTTTTACATAAGGAAATCTTAGAAGACAAACCTTTTTTCTGGCAACACGTCTTTTATACTGGTCCACTTTATCCAATTGGTCTGGTCTCTGAAAGATATCAACACTAAAACAATTGAATCCCTTTAAAGAAAACATCAACACTAAAACAATTGAATCCCTTTAAAAGAAAACATAACACTAAACAATTGAATCCCTCACAGATTTTCTCCACTTTATCTACACCATTTGGCAATGAGGGACCTATCGAACAATATTATCCCAGAGAGATTTCTCCTTAGTATTCATAAGAATTCATAAGACCCTATTTATTGTATTTTGAATGTAGGTTAGAAAGTCTAGCCATTTGACCATGAACCTTCCAATACAAAATTAAACTTTAAAATAAAGCTGCTTCACCATTCTGAATTTGTTATAACATAAATTGAAGAAAATATTTCATTCATATTTTAGAAAAATGTAGCTACAGGCTAACTCTACCCTACCAGATTGTCTAAACAAATCCACATTTTACTGCAGATCAAATTAAAAGTGGGTGCTGAAGAAGATTCAGAAAAATGACAAGTGGGTGCTGAAGAAGATTCAGAAAAATGACTAACTTGTAGCAAACTGGCAACATGTTTTGCCGCTGCTTGTCTGGCTTCTACTTCCAGGCGTCCAAGGTCTAGGGGAGCGGGTGCTGGACCTTGGGAGTGCTCAGGATCTTCATCATCGTCAATACTTCCACTCATCTTAACAAACCTGTGGTCATTAAAACCTCTTCAGTCAGTTGGGATCTTAAACATGATTTTTTTATTTATAAATAAAAATAATAATATGATAAAAAATTAGAAAATTGCAGTGTGGTAGTCAGTATTTACTATTTACTTCCCACTAGTGTCACTTGGTAGGCTATTAAATTGTCTTTAGGCCCTATTTACTTTACAAAAATCAAACATTTCCACTTTTTAATTTCCAGATAATATCCACTGCTTTATTGTGAGATTACCCTTCATCTAGCTCTAAATCTAGATCTAACTTCAACTGTTGATTCAGGATACTGATAATAGTCTCTTATGGAAATAGGTGTGTTAGGCAGTGTTAGTAGGTAGTCTAGGTAGAATTGTAATCTCATCTTAGATCTACTTTTATGGTAAGAAATGGTTAGGTGTATGGGTAAAATCACGATATAGCGTCGGAAATTATTGGGTAATGTTCGTTGAGTTTCGGTAACATTCGTTACTGTAAACCATAGTTTATTTGACCGGTGAAATAAAAATAGAGTCAGGTGCATTAAATTATTGTTTTAACGTAATTTAATGTTTAACTGACAAAAAAATAGCAATAATTAGTAAATCTAAATATTATTAATAAAGTCGAGTGTAGTAATTAATGTTGTTTTTTTTAAGAAACAGAAAAAACCTGCAGAAGATTTGCGACAACCAGCTCTAGTTCTGTTAGTAAATAAGACGATTAGATTAACTGAAGTTAAAAGTAGTAAGAATATCTAGAATAATGTTTAGTAGCAGCAATAATTAGCACATACACTTAAAATAATTAGAAATACAAAATAATTAGCAAAACAGTATTTAAAATGCAACTAAAATCAATCCTTGCACATTTTTAAACATTATGTATTAAAAATAATATGGCGGCAAATAAATTATGGTTTACAGTATTTCCAGTGGTTTCCGGAACGGCTCGACAGACTACGCCATAGTTTTACTGTTTTATACTGCTGTACAGTTCCGGAATAATAACCGACGCTATATCGTGATTTTACCGGTGTATGATGGTAGGAGAGTTAGGGATAGCAGATATATAACAAAGACAAAATTTAAATTAAAAAATCATCATAGACTAATCGTTGTAGAATAATTTAATAAAAAATCACAAAATCTAACTCACTGCAGTCTGCAGGTATTTTAGGCCCAATTCTTGCAACCAGCCGCCTGAGTCCAAACTCTCCTGGTTAAGTAATAAATATCAATTTTATTTATTATTTAGTTGGCCCTAGATCTAGGCCTATAATATTTTATTTAAAAGGCACTGTCCGTTGTATTTATTTTTATTTTGGCCTAGGCTGAAGAAGCCTATACAAAACAAATTTACTTGATTACAAATGCAATACATCCCACCGGAACTTCCTACTGGGCGTATAGACCTAGACAAGGTATAGTGAATTGAAAAATGATCTATGTTCTTAAAACATTTTAAGGCCTGCATCGATCTGTTTATACATTTTATTCTATAGTAAATATATTGATCTAGATCTACGTTATGGAAAATAAACTATAAACAGAAATTATACAACAGTTCACTTGCAATGTGTGTGTATAATAAAGTATCAAAAGTAAATAATTAATGATCCCTTTTGATTAATTTTGTTTTTTTATTTTGAAGAGCTTTTTTGTTTTCATGCATATGCATGTTATGTAAAAATGAATGTATTAAGATCTACAAGGACAAACATTTTATCAAATGCAAAATTGTTACATGTCTGTAGTTTTATCGAATTTGTCGCTCCATACGTTATTTTTTTTACATCTTAATGGCTAGATTTAATAGGCACAGCATATAGATTCTAGATCTAGATCTACGTTATTTTAATATTTTGCCTAGAGTAAAGTTCCAGGCGCGGTTAAAACACCGGTGCGGTCATCGCCTGTTTATCGCTTCGTACAATATTTGTTTTGATGTTTTATACGAAACTACCGATATCTGCTGTAAACCTGTCCATTTCTAAATATATCCAGGTCAAATTCTTTTGTTTTTCTCCTTCTGGAAGTCGAGTTTTTAAATTTTAAAGTTTCGAGGTATGACGTCGAAGGCGATTCTAGTTCCCCGTATGAAAAACACTAGGTCCCGGATGAGATGAATAAACCAACCAATCAAAGCTTTTTATAACTAGGTTAACTATAAATAGCTTCTACAATATGTGCGGGACACGTTACATACGATAGATTAGGCTAATAAAGCAACCTGATAGGTGAATAGGGGTGGCCGCAGCTTGGGTGTCGATTTGGGTGGTTTCACCGCGCTGCGTAACCAACGACTTGAGCTAGACTAGCCTAGTTCTAGATGCTCTACATTTCAAGCTAAGCCTAGAATCTGTATAATTTCTATTTTTTTCTGCTGTTTTAAATTATTTCGATCATCTACTTCTTCTAAATCTAGTTTGTGTCTCTACATACAAGCATATCTAAGCAAATGTTACGTTATGTCTTGTCAGTGGTTGTTACGTCCCTTTGTTATGATTATTATAGTTGCGTCCCTTGAGTCATCACTGGGTCAACTTTTAATGTCGTTAATTAATTTAATTAACATGTTTTTAATTTGGTTTTGAAATCTATTAATTAATAATACAATCAACAACACGTTTAAAAGTGTAAAATATTTATTTTATTTATTAAACTAGGATTAAAACGTATAAAACACGATCGTTACGCAAGCCGGTTCAGATGGCCGCAGGGAAAAAAAAAGAGGGGAAAAAAAAATCGCAAGTAGCACGTCACTAAAACAGGAATATCTCAAATTCAATGCGTAGGAATATAAAATGATTGATACATATTAAGAGTAGAAAGGCAGAGGAATAATATAGTACTTTGGGTTTGTTTCTGTGTTAAACGGTTACAAAATAGCGCCCGATGAAAGTCGGGAGTTTGCTATGTGTGACCGCGCGTGGAACTTTACTCTACCACCGTGGCATTTGTGTGTGTTTGGTGCGGTTTTGTTTAGAGTTTAGAGTTTCAGTTTCAGTGAGTTTAGATCTAGATCTAGAGTCTAGTAACTTTTATAATTTATATAAATATATAGATCTAGGAATTTAGGTAAAAAACACTAATCATCATATAAAAATTACATATTCTTGTAGAGCTCAACTAGATCTATTTGAAAACAAAACAAAAAAGATTTTCTGTCTAGATCTAGTATCTAGCTCAAATAGTTTATTTTTAGCGAATTTTTTTGTGAGGGGTGGAATCCCCTTGTTGTTTTTGCATTGGCCAATTTTGAATTGTGACAAGTCATGGTAGATCTATATCATATCTGAATAAATTTAGCATAGTTATTTTACTTGCAGTAGTATTTTGTTCATATTTGCAGAGTTTAGCTAGAATGATATATAGAACTTGTAAATGCTATTGAAATGAATAAAAATAATACAGAAGTATACTTTTGTGTTGGCTTCCTCCCATAACCCCAAAAAACTGTGTATGAAAATGTTTCTAAAGGAATGTTTTATATAAATACAGTGAATGAAATAGTCAAAAATCTTAAGTAAATGACTTGAACACTGTAATGTGAATATAACTGCCTCATTATTTTGGGCAGGTGAAGTAGAGTCCATCTTTAAGCCATTTTGTTATAAATGAACTAAAGTTATCAGATCAATGTTTTTATATGTATGAATTCTGATTTTCAGCATATGACTATAAATAAGGGTATCATGTCATGTTTGCCTGTCGTCCCTACTGGGACATAGGCCGCTGACAAGAGCTTTCCAGACGTCTCTGTCCAGGGCTAGTCTCTCCAACTGTCCCCAGGTGTATCCAATCTTCTTGGTGTCTTCTTCCAGGTCACGTCTCCAGGTCTTTCTTGGTCTGCCTCTCTTCCTCCTGCCTTGTGGATTCCAGGTGAGGGCCTGTCTTGTTATGCTGGATACAGGCTTCCTGAGTGTGTGGCCAATCCATTTCCATTTTCTCTGGAGGATCTCTACCTCCACTGGCAGTTGATTTGTCCATTGCCATAGAACATCATTTCTGATGGTTTTAGGCCAGCGAATTCGCAGGATCTTTCTGAGACATGCGTTTATAAATGATTGTATTTTCTTCTTATTTATAGCAGTTATTCTCCATGTCTCGGCTCCATAGAGTAAAACAGGTTTTACTAGTGTGTTGAAGATCCGGAATTTTATTCTAAGGGTTAAATCTCCCGAACCCCAAACATTTTTTAGTTGGTTGAAGACTGCTCTTGCCTTACCCGTCCTTATTTTTATGTCTGCTTCTGTCCCAACCTGCTTATCAACAATACTTCCAAGGTAGGTGAATCTATCCACTTCTTCTAGGGCTTCTTCTGCCAGTGTTATAGGGTTGTTGTTTGATGCATTGACTTTGAGAACTTTACTTTTCCCTCTGTGGATGTTCAGACCCAGGCTTGTAGAAAAATTTGCAACCCTGTTGGTTTTATCCTGCATTTGCTGTTGTGTGTGAGAAAGGAGGGCCAGGTCGTCAGCAAAGTCCAGGTCATCCAGCTGGCTCCACAATGTCCACTGTATACCGTTTCGCGTTTTCTCTGTTGACATCTTCATAACCCAGTCTATGGCCAGTAGGAACAGGAATGGTGAAAGTAGGCAACCCTGCCTTACTCCGGTCCGTATTGGGAAGGCCTCTGTAGTCTGTTGGCCATGCACTACTCTACATTTGAGACCTTCATATGAAGACATAATAATGTTGACTATTTTCTGTGGCACCCCGTAGTGTCTCAACAATTTCCACATTGACTGCCTATCCAGGCTATCAAAGGCCTTCTCATAGTCTATGAAATTAATATAGAGAGATGAGTTCCACTCTTGGGTCTGTTCAATGATGATGCGCAGGGTAGCAATTTGGTCTATGCATGACCTTTCCTTCCTAAAGCCCGCCTGTTGATCTCGAAGCTGGGGATCTATGGCTTCCTTCATTCTGTTTAATAATATTCTGTTGAAGACTTTGCCTGGGATGGACAAAAGTGTTATCCCTCTATAGTTAGAGCATGCACTAAGATCGCCTTTCTTTGGAAGCTTTATGAGTAGTCCCTCCTTCCACTCCTCTGGTATTTGTTCATCTTCCCAGATTTTCTTGAAGAGTGTGTATAGTAGTGTGGTGCTAGTTTCTATATCTGCTGTCAGTGCTTCTGCCGGTATACCATCTATTCCTGGAGCCTTCCAATTTTTCAGCTGCTTTATAGCTCTATGTATCTCTTCTTTTGAAGGTGGGTTGCAGTCTATAGGGAGGTCACTTTCAGCTGGTGGTATGTCTTGCGTGCACTCTGGTGTTGGTCTATTCAGTAGTTCTTCAAAATGTTCTACCCATCTCTTCATCTGTCCTTCCGCATCAGGTATTGTCTTTCCATCTTTGGTTTTCACTGGCCTCTCTGGCTTACTGTACTTACCAGATATCTTCTTAATTGTATTGTACACGTCCCTAATATTACCATGGTACAGTGCTTCTTCCGCTTCTCTTGCCAGCAGTTCCAAATAGCTCCGTTAAATAAGGGTAGGTCCTAAGTAAAACTTCAAAAACTTAAAGTTACAGTTTTTTTATGTCAAAAGTATTGGTACGACTATTGTCTGGTCACTGTTAATAGATCTAGTAGTGGAGTAGTAGTATCATACTGGTAGTCAGAGGCGTAGTGAGGGGGGGGGGGGGGCGGGGTGCGGACCGCACCAGGTGACACCATTTAGGGGGGTGACACCAAGGCAAAAAATAGCAAAATATATAGAGAGCGGGGGGTGTGCAAATCAAAAGTTTGAGGGGGGTGCAAATCGAAAGTTTGAGAGGGGGGGTGCAAATCAAAAATTTGAAAGTTTGTCCCTGGGAAGGGTCACTACGCCTCTGGGGGGGGGGGTGACACCATTAAGTGCCGCACCGGAAATCCGACCTCGCTACGCCACTGCTGGTAGTAGTAATACTAGGTCATAGATCTAGTACTAGAACTAGATTCTAAGTACTTATACTATTACTTATCACTTTTTAAAGTGTTTAGTTAGAGTTTAGACCTAGTATTAAAAATGAAATAAGAATAATTTTATCGTAGGCCTAGAACTTAGAACTAGAATATTTAAACAATCTTTTTTAAATTTTATTTACTGTAGTGTTAATGCAAAAGTCCCCACTGAAGGGAAATTTGACTTTTTAAAACTTTTTTTTTGAGTGGAGACAGGTTCAGGAGAAAATTTCAAAATACTTAAAATTTCAGAAAATTAAATATAGATCTCGATTTCTAAATAAAAAAAGGAGTTGGGATAGCCTAAAACCCTAAATGTTTAAGCAATACTATACTAGGATTTGGCTTCATCCAACATGGGCCAATGACACATGCTAGGGGGAGCAGGTTGCTGGATGATTCCATTGTTGGACATCAATATCACAGCCCAAAAGTGGAGAGCCAATGGACACACAAGCCAGGCCAATGACACAGATTGTAACAAACAATTTTAATAAAATTTTTGCTACATTTTTTCCAGTCGAATGATAAAATTATTTATATATATAACGAATCTTAACAACCACTATAGGGCAGGGGTTGTCACACTAAGTCAAAAATGACACTTTGATCCAGATTTGTACCACCACTTCCTGCACACAACCACCATTGAACAAATTGTTTAAATATGTTACCTAGTATTATCATCAGTATCATGTTTTATTTACAGCCTATAAAAATATTACTCTCATCTTCGTATCAAAATGTCCTTCCTGCTGCATCTTGTATTCACTGCGGTGCTGCTTTCAATCATGTGACAAGTTTTTCTTCAACTAACATATGGCATCACCAGCAGGTAGTGTCTGTTTACAGCATCCAACTAGGCATCATTCTTAAAGTGTACAGGCATATACATATATATATGTATACATATATATATATGGATATATATATATGTATACATATATGGATATATATAAATGTATATATATATGTATATATATATATATATATATATATATATATATATATATATATATATATATATATATATATATATATATATATATATAAACAATACAATGGCTACTATTCTGCGTGGTTTATTTATTTATCAATTATGTTGATTTTTCATAAAAGCTGAAATACATTTACTTCTGGCTTGTTAAAAGCAAGTTGTGTAAGCCTCCTAAAATTCCAGGTCTTGGAAAACATGAAATTTTTTAAATTGTAAAAATATCCTGGAATTTTACTGATATTGTTTTAAATCTTAGAAAATTTTGTGAACTGCAAAAATCGAGTTATTTCGCAAGTTATAGGCAAACGAGCCGGCCCGCGGCATAACATACGCCGCTATTTAGTTGTTTCTAATTTTCAATAATTCATAATTTGTGAATTCGACAGTACCAACGCTGACACTGAAAATATTTCTTTAAAACACTATAAGTAGCTCGTTAAGGACCATAACCCCCCCCCCTTCCTTCCCTCCCCCCTCCTCCCCCCTCTCCCCCCCCTCCTCCTCCCCCCCCCCCCCTACGTTTAAAATCGTTGGCTCTGCTTGTAAACATTTAGAGTGAACACAGCTCACTAAAACCATGTAGGGGTGGGGAGGTAGGAAGAGCGTTTGCAGCTTGTTTTCTAACGGCTCGAAGAAGAGAATTATATATATAGATGAACGCAACACATTTTTTAAAATCTCTTCTTGAGCTTTTAAAAAAAAAATTTGCAAATCATGCTGAACGTAGATCATTTGAAGCATGTGTCATTAATTGGCAACTCTAGAAAAATAAGTTATGGATTATTCAAAGGTTGCTTCAAAACAAAAACAGTAGGTTAACATTTTAGGCAAAAAATTTTCTATAGTTTAACATTTTAGGCAAGAAATAGTCTGCTATTGAAGCTTGATATGAAGATTAATCTGGCATGTTTATCTGGCAGAGGCAGCAACACACTGGCAGCACAGAGTTTTTAAAAGACATGTCATCTTGGCAGAGGATCAAATGGAACATGGGCTTCTCTGGCACTTTGAGAGTCCCAAAGAGAGTGAGTACTGTAGAAAAAACAGCCAGCGCTTCTGACCAAACATGAACAAATATTTTAAAACATCCAGCGCTTCTCACTTCTGACTAAACGTGGACAAATATTTTAGTTGATTCAGTAAAAATTTAGAGGGATGTATTAAATGTGTGTAAATTGTTTCATCTCACAAAGGTTGATGATAGAGGGATGTTATTAAATGTGTGTAAATTGTTTTCCTCTCACAGAGGTTGATGATAGAGGGATGTTATTAAATGTGTGTGTTTTCCTCTCACAGAGGTTGATGATAGAGGGATGTATTAAATGTGTGTGTTTTCCTCTCACAGAGGTTGATGATAGAGGGATGTATTAAATGTGTGTGTTTCCTCTCACAGAGGTTGATGATGTCAGGTTTAAACTTGTATGTGTGCTGCACAGATTTCTTAGACTTTAAGGACTATGTTGAAGGTAGGTCCCTCGTCACTTGTGTTTGTTGCATGGTTTAATCCACTGTTTTGTACTTTTTTATTCTGTACTAACACAGAATTGTTGGGCAGCCTAAGACATTGGGCTTATCCTTGCTCAGTTGCATGGTTAGTTTAAAAGTCTCCTGTTTCTTGTATTGATGAGCTAACCTGTGTATTATATTGATGAGCTAACCTGTGTATTATATTGATGAGCTAAGCTGTGTATTGTATTGATGAGCTAAGCTGTGTATTATATTGATGAGCTAAGCTGTGTATTATATTGATGAGCTAACCTGTGTATTACTCCCCAGCCTTCAGTATACCAGACACGTTTACATCTTGGTTTCTACTCTTACAGTTACATTTATGGTAGGTTACTTCCCTTTATCAGTCTCATTTATGGTAGGTTACTTCCCATTATCAGTTACATTTATGGTAGGTTACTTCCCATTATCAGTTACATTTATGGTAGGTTACTTCCCATTATCAGTTATATTTATGATAGTTTGCTTCCCTTTATCAGTTACATTTATGGTAGGTTACTTCTCATTATCAGTTACATTTATGGTAGGTTACTTCCCATTATCAGTTACATTTATGGTAGGTTACTTCCCATTATCAGTTACATTTATGGTAGGTTACTTCCCTTGATCAATCACATTTATGGTAGCTTATTACCCTTGATCAATCGCATCTTTTGGGGAGAAAAGTTAAACATAGTCTACTATATTTTTTTAATTCTCTAAACAAAAGCTTGGTCTACCAACATTGCTGTATTTTTAAAACTCCAGCTCTAGAGAAATATATGATCAACATCTGCCCTATTCACCATCCATGTACACATACTAACACACATCACAGCGTGTGATACCCTCAGAAATTATAGCCAATGCTGTTTTTAGTAATAACATTTTTTAAAACAATTTTAACTTGAGATAATTATAGACTAAAACAATTTTAACTTGAGATAATTATAGACTAAAACAATTTTAACTTGAGATAATTATAGACTAAAACAATTTTAACTTGAGATAATTATAGACTAAAACAATTTTAACTTGAGATAATTATAGACTAAAACAATTTTAACTTGAGATAAATATAGACTAAAACAATTTTAACTTGAGATAATTATAGACTAAAACAATTTTAACTTGAGATAAATATAGACTAAAATGAATAAAAATGTGAGCTCAAATTTTTCCCTTGCTGGCCAGGATGGTGAATGTGAAGGTCACGCAACTGGGTAAAGAAGGTTTCATCTTAAAAGAAAGTATGTACAGGGCCATGTGGATTGATGTGGAGAAGAGACTTAATACATTTAAGGTTGGTTTAAAATTAGGTCTACAGGTTTATCTTTTGATTGTTGCACAACATTTAACCATTGACAGACCTATGGCCTATGTGCCTGAACTCACCTACTCTATGAAGGCTGTTTTTGTTGCCACATAGAAACTGTGTTGCTGCTAGCTAGAACTGGTTAAATCCGGAAATCTTGCAGCAAAGTTTCTAATGTTGTTCAATGGCTTTTCAATTTATGGATGGCATTTTAAATGAAATATGCGGACTGTCTACCTTTAATTTGGATGATTCGGACAATGAATCAGACAATGATGTTAGTGTAGTAATAGCAATACAGAACAGAGTGGGGAAAGTTTGAATAATGATGATGATGAGCAAACAATTGAAGAAAATCTATGGACTGACAATTGCACTGATATAAATATTTTCCCTTTTACTGAGAGCCAGGGTCCAAATGTAATCCTAGATGAGGATAGCAAAGTCTTTAGTTACTTTTCCTTGTTCATTATGGAAGGTTTATATCAGCTAATTGATGAACAAACTAACATTTATGCCACACAATTTGGGGAAAAAATGGAAAGATAGGCACTGGCCCCCAGTCTTTAAAAATGAAATAAAGAAGTAGGGCCTACTTTTATATAAATTTTATGGTTGTTTTACACAGTAGTTCATTCATCTAGTGATTCTGTGCCAATTAGGATCAATTAGAAACGATTGCTATTGTGTATTGATTGTATGCTTATACTAAAGAGATGATTTCTATCGTATATTGATTTTATACTTATACTAAAGAGATAATTGCTATTGTGTATTGATTGTATACTTATACTAAAGAGATGATTGCTATTGTGTATTGATTGTGTACTTATACTAAAGAGATGATTGCTATTGTGTATTGATTGTATACTTGTAATAAAGAGATGATTGCTATTGTGTATTGATTGTGTACTTATACTAAAGAGATGATTTCTATTGTGTATTGATTGTGTACTTATACTACAGAGATGATTTCTATTGTGTATTGATTGTGTACTTATACTAAAGAGATGATTGCTGTTGTGTATTGATTGTATACTTGTAATAAAGAGATGATTGCTATTGTGTATTGATTGTGTACTTATACTAAAGAGATGATTGCTATTGTGTATTGATTGTGTACTTATACTAAAGAGATGATTGCTGTTGTGTATTGATTGTGTACTTATACTAAAGAGATGATTGCTATTGTGTATTGATTGTGTACTTATACTAAAGAGATGATTGCTATTGTGTATTGATTGTATACTTGTAATAAAGAGATGATTGCTATTGTGTATTGATTGTGTACTTATACTAAAGAGATGATTGCTGTTGTGTATTGATTGTATACTTATACTAAAGAGATGATTGCTATTGTGTATTGATTGTGTACTTATACTAAAGAGATGATTGCTGTTGTGTATTGATTGTGTATTGATTGTGTACTTATACTAAAGAGATGATTGTGTATTGATTGTGTACTTATACTAAAGAGATTATTGTGTATTGATTGTGTACTTATACTAAAGAGATGATTGTGTATTGATTGTGTACTTATACTAAAGAGATGATTGTGTATTGATTGTGTACTTATAATAAAGAGATGATTGTGTATTGATTGTACATTTGTGTGGCAGGATCTAACAGGTGGAGAGAAAAGAAAAGCTATGGATGACTACTACAGCTTTATGATAGCTTCTATCTTGTACTATGATAAGGTAGGCTTTGTGTTGATTTTATGATAGCTTCTATCTTGTACTATGATAAGTTAGGCTTTGTGTTGATTTCATGATAGCTTCTATCTTGTACTATGATAAGGTAGGCTTTGTGTTGATTTTATGATAGCTTCTATCTTGTACTATGATAAGGTAGGCTTTGTGTTGATTTCATGATAGCTTCTATCTTGTACTATGATAAGGTAGGCTTTGTGTTGATTTCATGATAGCTTCTATCTTGTACTATGATAAGGTAGGCTTTGTGTTGATTTCATGATAGCCTCTATCTTGTACTATGATAAGGTAGGCCTTGTGTTGATTTCATGATAGCTTCTATCTTGTACTATGATAAGGTAGGCTTTGTGTTGATTTCATGATAGCCTCTATCTTGTACTATGATAAGGTAGGCTTTGTGTTGATTTTATGATAGCTTCTATCTTGTACTATGATAAGGTAGATGATAGCCTCTATCTTGTACTATGATAAGGTAGGCCTTGTGTTGATTTCATGATAGCTTCTATCTTGTACTATGATAAGGTAGGCCTTGTGTTGATTTCATGATAGCTTCTATCTTGTACTATGATAAGGTAGGCTTTGTGTTGATTTTATGATAGCTTCTATCTTGTACTATGATAAGGTAGGCTTTGTGTTGATTTCATGATAGCCTCTATCTTGTACTATGATAAGGTAGGCTTTGTGTTGATTTCATGATAGCTTCTATCTTGTACTATGATAAGGTAGATGATAGCCTCTATCTTGTACTATGATAAGGTAGGCCTTGTGTTGATTTCATGATAGCTTCTATCTTGTACTATGATAAGGTATGCTTTGTGTTGATTTTATGATAGCCTTTATCTTGTACTATAATAAGGTGGTGTTAATTTGATTAAAATCATCCTGCCAGTATTGTAGGTTGAAATTTTTTTTTTAAATTTAAAATATTTTGTTAAATTGCCAGGGCATCATGGGATCTGACAAAGTGCTGGCCAACTCCCTGTGGATACAGCTGTACGGACAGGACCCCGGGGTCAAGTTTGACAAGTTGCAGCTGGTCGTGGACTACGTCAGGAAACAGGTGGGCTTTGAACTGGTCAGTTTAGACCAGTCAGATTGCTTTTATTTTAAACTGGTCAGTTTAGACCAATCAGATTGCTTTTTTTTTTAACTGATCAGTTTAGACCAATCAGATTGCTTTTATTTTTAACTGGTCAGTTTAGACCAATCAGATGGAAACAACTTTTAACTGGTCAGTTTAGACCAATCAGATGGAAACAACTTTTAACTGGTCAGTTTAGACCAGTCAGATTGAAACAACTTTTAACTGGTCAGTTTAGACCAATCAGATTGCTTTTATTTTTAACTGGTCAGTTTAGACCAATCAGATGGAAACAACTTTTAACTGGTCAGTTTAGACCAATCAGATGGAAACAACTTTTAACTGGTCAGTTTAGACCAGTCAGATTGAAATAACTTTTAACTGGTCAGTTTAGACCAATCAGATGGAAACAACTTTTAACTGGTCAGTTTAGACCAATCAGATTGCTTTTATTTTTAACTGGTCAGTTTAGACCAATCAGATTGCTTTTATTTTTAACTGGTCAGTTTAGACCAATCAGATTGCTTTTATTTTTAACTGGTCAGTTTAGACCAATCAGATGGAAACAACTTTTAACTGGTCAGTTTAGACCAGTCAGATTGAAACAACTTTTAACTGGTCAGTTTAGACCAATCAGATTGCTTTTATTTTTAACTGGTCTGTTTAGACCAATCAGATGGAAACAACTTTTAACTGGTCAGTTTAGACCAATCAGATTGCTTTTATTTTTAACTGGTCAGTTTAGACCAATCAGATTGAAACAATCGTTTGATTAAATAACTCATTTTTAGCAACTAGAAATAAGGGCTTTGGTATCATATCACAATACTAGTGAATTTGTTGTATAGGGCTGTGGTATCATATCACAATACTAGTGAATTTGTTGTATAGGGCTGTGGTATCATATCACAATACTAGTGAATTTGTTGTATAGGGCTGTGGTATCATATCACAATACTAGTGAATTTGTTGTATCCTGCTGTGGTATCATATCACAATACTAGTGAATTTGTTGTATGGGTCTGTGGTATCATATCACAATACTAGTGAATTTGTTGTATAGGGCTGTGGTATCATATCACAATACTAGTGAATTTGTTGTATGGGGTTGTGGTATCATATCACAATACTAGTGAATTTGTTGTATGGGTCTGTGGTATCATATCACAATACTAGTGAATTTGTTGTATGGGGCTGTGGTATCATATCACAATACTAGTGAATTTGTTGTATGGGGTTGTGGTATCATATCACAATACTAGTGAATTTGTTGTATGGGGTTGTGGTATCATATCACAATACTAGTGAATTTGTTGTATGGGGCTAATTAGTAGTAAGGGGTTGTGGTATCATTATGACAATATTAATAAATTAGTAGGACATGACAAATGAACAGGAAACCAATATAAACCATGATTTTATGTCATGCACCAAGTATATCACCATAACCATATAATTTTATATCATGTACCAGGTATATCACCATGACCTATATAATTTTATATCATGTACCAGGTATATCACCTTGACCTATATAATTTTATATCATGTACCAGGTATATCACCATGACCTATATAATTTTATATCATGTACCAGGTATATCACCATGACCTATATAATTTTATATTATGTACCAGGTATATCACCATGACGTATATTATTTTATATTGTACACCAGGTATATCACCATGACCACCTGGACCCCCAGCCCATCCTGCACCCCGGTCACATCCCCTTCCTGCCTGTTGTTGGTGACAAACTGGATGAAAGCAAATCACTGAAGAATTATCAAATGTTGCTGTCAGTGTGACACTTCAGTGATTAGGTCATTGTCTGGATGATGTGACACATCACCAGTTAGGTCACTGTCTGGATGATGTGACACATCAGTGATTAGGTCACTGGATGATGTGACACATCAGTGATTAGGTCACTGTCTGGATGATGTGACACATCAGTGATTAGGTCACTGTCTGGATGATGTGACACATCAGTGATTAGGTCACTGTCTGGATGATGTGACACATCAGTGATTAGGTCACTGGCTGGATGATGTGACACATCAGTGATTAGGTCACTGGCTGGATGATGTGACACATCAGTGATTAGGTCACTGGCTGGATGATGTGACACATCAGTGATTAGGTCACTGTCTGGATGATGTGACACATCACCAGTTAGGTCACTGTCTGGATGATGTGACACATCAGTGATTAGGTCACTGGATGATGTGACACATCAGTGATTAGGTCACTGGATGATGTGACACATCACCAGTTAGATCACTGTCTGGATGATGTGACACGTCACCAGTTAGGTCACTGTCTGGATGATGTGACACATCAGTGATTAGGTCACTGGATGATGTGACACATCAGTGATTAGGTCACTGGATGATGTGACACATCACCAGTTAGATCACTGTCTGGATGATGTGACACATCAATGATTAGATCACTGTCTGGATGATGTGACACATCAATGATTAGATCACTGTCTGGATGATGTGACACGTCAGGGATTAGGTCACTGTCTGGATGATGTGACACATCAGTGATTAGGTCACTGTCTGGATGATGTGACACATCACCAGTTAGGTCACTGTCTGGATGATTCAGTAGGTTGTAACATAATTTGTAACAAGTTTGTTTTAGATTTACTCAAATGTTAACAAATGCTTGATGTGCGATACAATTCTGGTTAAATGTGATGTTTAAGATGTTAACATCGGTTGAAATGTGTGAAGGATGTGTGAATGATGTACATATTTACAGTCAGCTGTTGTGATTTCCTAAATGAAATTTGAATTTTTGTAAACCAGATTGTAAGAATTAATTTATTCGTTTTGTTTGTTTCATAAAGCTGTCTGTGAATATATTTGTGTACAGAATAAAATAACTACCAGTAAACTGATTTGTTGTTTAAGTACATTCAATGTCTGCCGCAGGTTTGGACATTTTACCAAGATGCATCTAAACAAGCCTTTAACCTCACCACAGTCATGTAGCCTTACAGCAATCATGTAGCCTTACAACTATCATGTAGCCTTACAACTATCATGTAGCCTTACAACTATCATAGCCATACCACAATCCTACAAGCAATTTCGCCCAGAATTCTAGATACCTAACTTAAATAAATCTTAAACTAGCACATCCGCACATTGACCAAATTTGATACATTTGATTGTGTCAATATTTTCTAAAAGATCAGTCTACAACTACAATACATTTATTTAATTCTAATTAAATTAAATAAACAAAAATACTCTGTACTTTTGTAAATATGAATTTTTATTGAATGTATTGCTTTACATCTCATTAGCACCAGGCAATGGTGTAGCTAAAGCATTGCTGTGGTGGGTCGTCTAAATAAATGTATTAATCCAGAGCTAGCCCATTCAATATTTAGAATATTATCACTGTATGTAACTTGTGAGACAAACCTACATCACTTAACTAAATACAGTATTTAACCAGTCATGGTAATACATCAAATAATTTTCATGTAATTTTTACTTTCTCGTATATACGAAGTATAGAGAAAGTCTTGTAATCGTGCAAAAAAAAAAAATCGAGATTTTTACAAATCTCGACGTTTCACACCTCACTGATACGGAAAAACATAATTTTGCAATCTTGTCCGTATGTCTGTGTGTCTGTCTGTGTGTCTGTCTGTCCGTGTGTAAACACGATAACTTGAGAACCGTTACAGCTAGGTTGATGAAATTTCATATATAAGTATTTTATTAAAATCGTAGATCCGTATCAACTTTTGAGCGATTTCCGATAACCGGAAGTGGTACTTTTCCTACTTTGAATTTTTCAAAAGCCTATAACTTGAGTACTATTTCAGATAGATAAATGAAATTTCATTTGTAAGTAAAAGATCTAATTCTCTACCTTCTATCAAATTTTGAGTCATTTCCGTTGTCTGGAAGTAGTACTTTACGCTACTTCCGATTTCTCAAAAAACTAATGTAAATTTTAAAAGTAATAATAATATTGCGCACCATTATGCGCTTTTTTATTTGGCGTTCACTTGGTGTGCAATTAATTTGTCTACGAGATTTTATTCTATTTTTAAAACTTTAAGTATTTAAAATGGATTAAAAATCATGTCTATAGCCCGAGTTCCCATCCCCTGTTATTTTATATAAGAATATTCGAGAAAGTTTAGGGGAGATCACTCCCGGTTTATTTGTGGTCTGTAGTGCACAGCGTTTTCTGTGGAGAAATGTCTGGGTTAACGCTCACATTTGGTTGGTTAACTTTTGGTTACATGGTGCACTTGACAGCACTCAACCAATATCTCTCTGGAACTAGGTAGTCCAAACTGGCGAAAAAGTGCGTTTTATGGTCAGTTTTTGCGGTTTTCAAAAAAAAAATTTCACTACTTCTAGTTGTCCTATAAGAATAAAAATTATATGTAAATAAAGTTTAAGTCTTTATCTGTCGTAATCTGGTATTTTTATATCTGTAACACATGTTTGAATGTGTTTTATATTTGTTTGAAAAGTATCAGTTACGTCAACAAATTTCACCGTTTTGCGCGTACCGATCGACCCAACACTGTTTCTTTTGGTTGCGGCTTCGCGACGAAGCATCGTAGAAGCATAATCTTAATGTCCTTTTAAAGAGCGAATTCTAGTCTATCGTTTAATGTATAAATTGAAAAAATAACTTGCTTATTTCATTTTAAAAAATCAGTTTTTAAAATTTAAATGCCAATATATACACGAAAACAAACTAATTCTGTTTCAATTTTTACACCGATGTAAAGCTCACTTTTATAACTACTTTGTGTTGTAAATTCAAGTATTTCTGATTTACGGTCGCGAAGCCGTGCCCTCAATAAGCATGTAACCCTCGAGTCAACTTTTAGCCCGGGGTGAGTTGCTCGCCGAAAGGTTTTAAAGCTTGACGACCGATGATGCTAAACGGATTTTACCCTTGCTAGAGCCTTCAAACAAGTTGTAAGTATCATTTTTAAAGTTTCATTTCCATTTTAATAAATGAATTTTAAGTTTGAATGTCAGTTTGATTTAATTAGTACACGTTATTAATGTAAATTTGAACGCTACTAGTCCACGGTTTTGGCGTGTGAACTACGCTTGTACACATGCTGTGTTTAAACGTGAAGCTATTTAATTCAGGACATTCTAGGGACTTAAAATATGGATGCACTTAACTATTAGATGCTAGTGTTTACTAATTCTTTAAAATCTATCGACTGGGATCAATGATAGGATCGTATTACTACAGTTTATCTGGACTATCACGTCAAAATTATGAATCGACAAATTCAAAATGGCCACCAGACTATCCTGGTTACTATGTGGACGAACTCAATTATTTACAGGGAACGAAGGTTTAAATACTTATAATATATTAATGAAACACAAAAGAAATTTATAATTATAATAACTATACATTTTTATCGATTTATTTAAAACAAAAGACACTAAATTTTAAGGACTAATGTGATTAATTTTTTTATTTTCTGTTGTGCACTCTGATTCTGATTCCCCTGCTGAATAATGTGAAATGGTCTGCGCCAGTCTCCTTAATAAAATGTACCAGATCAATTTTTAGATGGTGGTGCAATTTATTAAGATTGTACATGTTGTGACTTAGTTTTAAATGTTATATTAGTTGTAAGTGTAAGTGTAAGCAGTACTAGTAGTATTTCTCATTATTTATTTATTTTATATGCATATACTAACAATGAAGGACTGTTAAGTTGTCCTATAGGATGTTGAGAACCACAGTATGGCACCTTCATCATTGGATATCTCAACCATTGTAGCACAAGCAACGAATATTTCATTCAATAGAATTAATATTAAAAATATACTATCAAGTATAAATTACTTTTAACAAAAAGGTGTTTTCAGGCTTTTTCATCTTTCCAGCTACAGTCATTGGACAAATAGTAGGCCTACACAATAGGCTAGTAGTAAGTTTAATTATATTTTATTAATCACTAAATAAATTATTTATTCCATAGCTGGAGACATTTATGGTGGCTTATCCAGAACTTTCCTTACAAGGGAAGGGAAGGAGGCCAAGCCCCCCCCCTACAGTTCCCAAAAGATATCACTGACTCTTGATGCTCCACAAGATCAAGGCTGAGGGAAACAAGACATACAAAGATGTGGAGTTGTGGTTTTAAAAACTGTTCCCCCAAAGCAGTTATCAACCCGATAGGTTTGAATGTAGCATCAACTGCTACATCACTTGTAGGCATCACGTCTTTATTAGATTACATTACATTACTCCACTAAATTTTGATTCTGTTTCTCCTGCACTATATAACTGTGGCATTTTTTGAAAATAATATTTTAACTCATGTGATTTTTGAAAATAATGAACACATTCTTCCTGTTAATGTTACCAACACAATAGTTTTAGAGTTATTCTATGTCCAAAGCAAAAAAAAAAAAAAAAAATTAGAATTTTTTTTTGTATGAAAATAAAAGTGACCAAAACGCATTTTTGTCATTTTCAATTATTTTTTTACCTTAGAAAGACTCATTTTAGATGACTGAAAAAAATTGGGCATATATATTACAAACTTTGCAGTAACTTTACCAATTTCTACACTTCTATGTTATCTAGTTTAGAAAATATGGGTTCTCAAAAATGGCTCTTTTTGAAAATCAGTTTTTTACCAAATTTTACTTTTTTAAAAATCGCATAACTTTTTTATTTATTGAAATATTTTTATAAAATTTGTGGCATAGAGCTTACAATTAAAAGTTCTTTCATGACATACTCACTCCAGAAGTCTGCAATCAATAGTTAATTTCAGTTTGGACTACCTACTGGAACCCAATGGTTGAAGTTTCTACACTACACTAACATAGGCACTCTACAACCCAATATTTGAAGGGCCTAATTTTCTACGCTAACCTAACAAAAGAAGGACAAATTTAAATTCTACCAACAAAAATGCTGAGCTGGAATTCTGTTACTAAATCTAAAGTGAGTACCTTTATTTATTCTGTAACTAAATCTAAAGTTAGTACCTTTATTTATTCTGTAACTAAATCTAAAGTTAGTCCCTTTATTTAAGGCAGAGCCTGGCCTACATACATACACCTGCTAGTTCTAGTGTCAGCTTACACCACCTGAATTTATTACCACAGCAACACAGACTGCCAGATGAACTGGGTCCTTGAATGGGACCAGCCCATACACATCAAGATATTATGGGACTAAACACATCAAGATATTATAACATAGGACTAAACATACTAAGATACTATAGGACTAAACACATTAACACATTATAGGACTACACTAAGATATTATACTATAGGAGTAAAACATCAAAACATATTTTTGTTCAGCCCTACTTTTGTATCATCTGATTTGAAGCCTAGAAATAATGATTAAAATAGCTGTAGCGTATGTGTACATATGAACAAATACTGAACACCTTATTTAAAATTTAGTTCATTTAAGCCTATTTCTTTATAAACCGTCAAAATTTACATTCTAATAGACCAAAATTGTTGCATAAATTTAAACAAAGTGTTCTTGTACACAATATCAATGGTGTGAATCAAAAGGTCATCTTTAATTTGTGTGGAGCTGATCGGAAGAATGAAGTGCGATAGTTTGGGTGCTCAGGGTAGGGAGTGAGAGTTTTTTGAGAACCACGGTAGACTGTCTCCGTAAATCGCCTGACCCCTGGGGGACCCCTGGGGGCCTTAACTCCACGTGTTTTCACTGTCCGATCTCTTGACACGACGACCGTTGCTTGGAGTGACCTCCCCTCTATTACCTAACCTTTGTGGTTCAGACGATTGCGTCCCTTTGGCTGTAGACCAAGGGAGATGATCGCCGTAAACCACGCCCCCATTTTCCGATACATAGCCGACTTTGTTTGAGCTATGGCGAGAATCGGAATACTGGCGAGTATAACACGGGCTGGGGTTAAACTGGTGGAAATAATTGGAAGAGTGGGGGTAATTATTGTGGGGTTGTGGGAAATTATTGTGGGGTTGTGGGAAATTATTGTGAGGCTGATACACGGAGGGGTGGGCGTCAAAGAGCGACCAAAAGGGATCCGGGTTGTATGGAGTGAACGGAAAGTAATCCATGTTAGCTGTGTCGCTGGTTTTTTCCGATCGTCGGTGTCGTCTGCGAGAGTGTTGCTTCCCCTGGCCGTCTGCTGATCTTTTCCTTCTGCCATGTTCTCCCGCAGGGGTCGTGCTAGTAGAGGAGGGTGGGGGCGGCGTGGGTGGGTTGGGGATAAAGGGGTCGGTGAGGTCGGGGAGTTGCTGGGTGTGGGCGCTTGGGGGTGGGAGTATGAAGGGGTCGATGGGCTGTCTGGGTACTGGGGGTGTCGGGGGTCTCGGGGGTGGGGTTGTTGGAGGGGTCGGTGGGTCGGGCCGCTGCTGTTGTCGCTGGTGGCTGTTGAAGTTGTTGAAAAAGTTGGAGTTGTGGAGGCTGTAGGATGGTGAGGGTTGTGCGAACTGCGTGTGGGGGACGTGGGGTTGGGCTAGCTGAGTGTGGGGCACGTAGGGTTGGGTTGGGGTTTTTGAGGGCTGAGAATATTTTCTGGGATTGCCGGACGTGGGGTTCTGATGTTGCCGGTTCCGGTTCCTCATTAGTGTGTGGTAGAGCTCGGTAATATGCCTGGAGGCGTATCGTGCCGGCATTTGCCGGTCGCCGTAGTACTGCTGGTTCCCGCGGAAACTCCGCGTCTGTCGCTGACTGTGTTGGTCAAACGTGTACTCACGCTTGTACTCACGCTTGTACTCACCCGCGCTGCTGTCGCCTGACGTGTATGCCGGCGTGTCGCCTGACGTGTATGCCGGCGTGTCGCCTGACGTGTATGCCGGCGTGTCGCCCGGCAAGTCCGCCGGCTTGAAAAACTCTATTGGAATCGTCAAGTCCCCGATTGTAATGACGTCAGTACTGCCGCCATCAGACCCGCTTGCGGACCGTCTTTTTCTTTTCCCGGGGAAGGCGTCGCCATAGTAACCATCCCGGTTACGCTGCTGTTGGTGGTGGTACGTCTTGGGGATGTAGTTGTAGCTGCCGTGTGGGTGGGGGCTGTAGAACCGGGGCTGCGGGCTCATGCTCCGCTGCAGGCGTGAGTAGTACCAGAGTGGCGCCATGTTTTTCACGAAGTCTGCTGGCTCCTTGCCCGGGGGAGGCTGGGCGCTGAACGGAAGTGTCGAGACAAACTGGTTGACCATCATGTTCTTCATGGCGTCTCCACCAAACTCCAGCGGCTTGCCGGTGTTGGGGTCGCGCGCGGTGCCGGACATGATGCTAAAAATACTCGGCCCGGGGGTCGGGGTCTCGGCGTCAAACATGGACAACAGGAACCGCTTCCTCCTGGACAAGCCACGCGCCACCGCGTGCAGCAGACTTCCGGCTTCGCGTTTCTTCCGGCCCGGGTACTGCTCGCCGTACATGCCGCTCCCGATAGGAGGTTTTTCGCCGCCAGACGAACTTCCGCCGGAAATCCTACCAGTCCTCATCTCGTGTGTGAGTCGTGTTTTCTGATAGTTGCTCAACATCAACATGGCTTTCATCATCTGCTCGGCCTCCGTCACCTCCCTGGCCGGAGAGGCGGGGTCCGCTATACCCGATCCGAAAGTTCCCGTGCCATAATCAGCCGGAGTGCCGGTGTAGATGATGAACCGTTTCTGGCGAGAAAGTTCCGGATCTACGGCGTTAATGACGTCATCGAAATGTGTGTTCGACTGGGATGTGTCCCGCCTTCGCTTTGACGTCAGGCTTGTGGTGTAGACGGACCCCGAGGGTCCTAAGGTCCCCAGAGGACCCCCGCTATCCAGGGTGGACGAGGGGTTGAATTTTGACAAACCGGAAGTTGTGTTTTTGGAGCAGTGTGCGGGCAGCGACGACTCCACCCACATGGTGAGGAGGTCCTTCAGATAGTGGGCGGGGATGGTCTTGTCGTAGGCTTGGCGGAAGTTCTGTGCTATTTGCAACCTATGAAGACACAAAAACATTTTTAAGCTTATTCTTTTTTAACGTTATTCTTTGATAATGTCATTACTTTTTCAAGTCATATTTTGTTAAATTACTTTTGTTGAAATCATACTCTGCTAAACGACCTTGTCATAACGTGGAAGATTAATGAGTCTGGAGCCAGTCAGGAAACAATTAGACTGATGAGTTGTACAATTCATGAATTAAATGGCGCTACAAAGGGCGCAACACGCCACTACATGGGAGGGAAAGCTGTTGTTTCCATTACAGCATGAATGGTGCAAGGTGTCTTTATCAGACGTCTAGACAAGTTGGGAAATTCAAACACTGAAATAGATTTATAGTGCTGCTCGGTGTTGCAAAAAACGGTGTTGTGTTCACGCACCTTGTTCGCGCACCGTGTTCACGCACCGTGTTCACAACACCAGAGTCGACTGTCTATGTGTCCCGGATGTGTCATTTAATGACACGGAAATCTCCGGCAGAGAAAGATATACAACGGTGAGGACAAGGGCAGACAACCTTAAAGGAAAATACAGGCAATAATGCCGGCAAATACAGGCAATTATGCCGGCAAATACACTTTCTTGAGAGTAAAATGAACAAGAGAACAAATGTAACATGCGAGTGAACGGACGCGGTGGCGAAGCACAATAGGGGGAGGGGAGGAGGGGAAATTGGGACACATTTTTTTATTTGGTGAGTAAAACCTTAACCCCACGCTAAAGAATGCCTGTGGCACTGGTTGCTTTAAAAGTTTACCCACCATATTTCAAATTCTATTTAACGACACAATTCTCACAGGTTTCATATTTGTGGGTCCAGTTTATATGCCAGTTAAATAAGGTAACTCATTTTTAAACCCGTGACAAGTCTAGTGACCTCGGCAGTCACGTGATTTGTCATGTCAGCTTGTCACAAAACCCAGTTTGTGACAACAGGAGTGTACTGGCGCGTTCCAAACTGCCGAGCAGACAAAACAAACATGGCGGCCAGATTAGCGAGGTGTCGTCACGCTCAGCTGAGCAGCCGTCCCGCGCGAGTTATGGCCCTTTGTGTTCCGCTTCACTGGTCAGGGGCAGGCAGACGTGGTTTTGGCGGTCATTTTGTGAGTGACAGGTTAATGAACGCCACGTGACAAGCTGAAGTGGGAGGAGCTAACGATGGCCGGAAGTCGCCTCAAAACGCACACAGTGAAACTAAAAATCTGTTTCCTAAGTCAGAGACTAGTTCTACACACAGGAACTCAAATATTGGCTCATCTGGCAAGTCATCCCACTAGTACCCGTATGTCGTGGAGGTTTAGTGTCAGTGTGGCCGAGAGGGAGAGCGCATGGCTGCTAACCCGAAAAGTTCCGAGTTTAAACCCCGGGCAGATGAGGCTCGTTAGCTGGGGACAGCACAGCGGACAATCTAAGAGAGAACATTCCCAGCTCACACAGGAGTTAAGGCCCTTTGACGATAGGATCACCAACTCTGGTTTACTTTAGACAGCTCCTGCGACACACCTGATGTCAAGTTGTACAGGCGATGCCTCTTCCTGGGGTCCATCAGCTCTGAGAAGAGGGGGGGGGTCTGATACAAGAGCAACATCTGGCCCTTCTCAACGTGCTGCCTGACTTCTCGCCTTGATTCCCAAGACAATCATCCAAACGTCTGTAAGACTTCATGGCAATATATTGTGTATATCGTATCCTCTACCAAAACTTTAAACTAAATTCATAATTTTCCTATAATTCCTTTCTTTAACAAAGTACGTTTCGCTCACAATAAACAATATTATTTATTTATCTCTAAACTCTTTAATTTCTTTAAAATGCGCCATTAAAAATTATTTTAAAGATTATTTTATACTGTCCCCAAAATGCTAGGTCATCGCGACCTAACAAAACTCTGGGAGTGGAGAGGTCAGAACACAGACCAACCCCAGACAGATGGTTAAATGTGTTGAGCTTTCACTTTCATAAAACACGAAACGAAAAAACGAAAGACAAGGATAAATTAGCTTAAAAACAATGACGTAACGGTAATTTAGCATACAATCAAAATTTTAATTAAACCTGCCGAGAGGAGCCCGGTGGCCCCGGCGTGGGGAACATGTTTCAAATGTGACAATTTACAATTTAAATCTCCGGTGTTTTAGCCATGGTGACATCGTATTTATCTGGCCAGGTGGAAGATTTAAACCATCAACTTCAACTTCAGAAGATGTTCGTTTGGGCGGCTTGTAATAGAGGCTAAAAATAGCTCAACCACGTGATACTTGTGTTTCCGGTGTCAAAGCGGGAATCTATTTTTGTCAAAGCGAGAGCAGGAGTTAATTAATTAGGAAAAAAAACTGTTTGGGAGAACTGTTGTAGAGTGCAAAAAATCGAAATAGAAATAGAATTTTTTTTTTACACCAAGTCGGAAAACCCAGTTTTGCAATATTGTCTGTCTGTCTGTCTGTCTGTCAGTCTGTCTGTCTGTCTGTCTGTCTGTCTGTCAGTCTGTCTGTCTGTCTGTCTGTCTGTCTGTCTGTCTGTCTGTCTGTCTGTCTGTCTGTCTGTCTGTCTGTCTGTCTGTCTGTCTGTCTGTCTGTCTGTCTGTCTGTCTGTCTGTCTGTCTGTCTGTCTGTCTGTCTGTCTGTCTGTCTGTCTGTCTGTCTGTCTGTCTGTCTGTCTGTCTGTCTGTCTGTCTGTCTGTCTGTCTGTCTGTCTGTCTGTCTGTCTGTCTGTCTGTCTGTCTGTCTGTCTGTCTGTCTGTCTGTCTGTCTGTCTGTCTGTCTGTCTGTCTGTCTGTCTGTCTGTCTGTCTGTCTGTCTGTCTGTCTGTCTGTCTGTCTGTCTGTCTGTCTGTCTGTCTGTCTGTCTGTCTGTCTGTCTGTCTGTCTGTCTGTCTGTCTGTCTGTCTGTCTGTCTGTCTGTCTGTAAACGCTATAACTCACGTATCTTGTGAAACAAACTTGTTTGTCATAAGCTTACGTGGTCTCTTTATCTTGTCAAGCAAACTTTTTTTAAAAATTTAATTTGTAGACAACTAGCCACAACACGAAGTGGCGTAGCTAGGGTAGGCGGGTGGGCCGCCCCGGGCTCCGACCCTAAGGGGGCGTCAAAAGGGGTAGAAAAATTAATTTAAAAGCTCGTTTTAAGCTGAAGTATTGAATTATACTAAGTCAAAGTTACGAAACTAAACGACTACAAGGTTTTACACACTGAGGTAACTGTTTTCTATATCCAATTGAGGCACCTAAATAGAAAACATTACGAGATAGTAACTGGTAAGAAGCACTACAAACCTTTCCAACTGGGGGAGGCTTTTTCACAGACATGAATAACTATATAGAAATGGGAGGGAGGGGGCTCAAAGTTGATGGTCTGACCCAGGCGCCGGAATAGGTCGCTACGCCCCTGCCTACACTGAATGTTGTGCTGCTGGATAACAGACTTCATTAAACACGACAAAGGCATACAACATATGGTTAAGTAACGTCGAATGATGATATAGCTCTGTTCTGACGATGGTTGAAGCTCATTAAGCTTGAGCTACCGCCAGGTGCCTGAGCTTATCACGTGATCGTGGAACGGTAATCGGAGCTAAAAACACAAGTCCGGTGGATGTTTAGCTTAGCGTGTTTCACATGAGATTAAGATTTGCAGTAAAGTACAAAGGGACATAATTCACTTTGACGGGGGAGAACAAAAGTCTAAATCAGCTAAATTAATTCTCGCGACATGTCAGCAGAATAAAAGTACCAGGGGGTTTGAAATGTGAGCTAGCTCTCATTCATACAGCACGTTATTTGATTCATAGCTGATCGACCAATTGACGGGCAGACGAACAGAAATACAGACGTATAGACAAAGAGACAGACGTTGAAAAAGACGGGTGTATCGTGACGCTGCCCATGTTTTCAATCACCCGCTAACACCTACTTTAAGACCACATTAAACTTCTAGTGTTGAGGACAAAATAAACCGCAGATAAAATTTGTTTCAGCCGAATGTACAGCGTAAAATAAAATGGCAGGTGTAGGTAGGAGATTTTGTCAACACACTAGGCATGTACTAGGAAAACTCCGCGAAAAATGTTCGAAATTTTTAACATTAATTTACACGACCATTAGCATACACACACAAAAGAGTATATTTGTAATTTGTTGAATACCCCCCTCCCTCAATCCAATCTCTCCTAAATATTGTTGTACCATACCTGAGCTGGTCACATGACTCCTCACCCCCGGGCCCAACAAGTTGGGCTCCCGTGGTGGGGCTGATGCAGACCGTCATGACGGTGAGCACGAGAAGACAAGACAAGAGTTTGGTGTCTGCACGCTGGGCCATCTTCGACATCACAGGCTGTCTTCACGGTCTCTTGCCAGAATATCTTCGGGCACTGTGTCTTGCTAGGCTGTCACCAGACACTGTGTCTTGCTAGTCTGTCTTCACTGTCTCGCTAGACTGTCTCCAGGCACTGTCTTGCTAGATGTCTACAGACACTGTGTCTTGCTGGCAAATCTCAGCAAATACCGACAGATGAATTTAGCTACTAGCAGCTGACAACTAGACCAACTACCGAAAAGCTACTATACACTGTCTAAAGCTGCTGACCACTGTCTAAAGCTGCTGACCACTGTCTGCTGCTACTGACCACTGTCTAAAGCTGCTGACCACTGTCTGATGCTGCTGACCACTGTCTAAAGCTGCTGACCACTGTCTAAAGCTGCTGACCACTGTCTAAAGCTACTGACCACTGTCTTAAACTGCTGACCACTGTCTCAAACTGCTGACCACTGTCTAAAGCTACTGACCACTGTCTGATGCTGCTGACCACTGTCTAAAGCTACTGACCACTGTCTAAAGCTACTGACCACTGTCTAAAGCTGCTGACCACTGTCTGATGCTACTGACCACTGTCTGATGCTACTGACCACTGTCTAGCGCTACGGCCTGAAGAATATCCAAACTGATGTCTAGAACCATTAGCAAATCTAAGCACCGTCTAGCACTTGGTGTGTCTAGCACCGTCTAGCACCTGATATTTCTAGCACCGTTTAGCACTCATGTTTCTAGCACTGTCTAGCACCTGACGTATCCCCTAAGACTCCAGCTACTGACTCCAGCCACTGACTCCAGCTACTGACTCCAGCTACTGACTCTAGCGCCCAGCTGCCACTACAAAACTGGCAGCCTTTCCGTTGTATGTGTCCAGATATAGTATCAGCCCGACCCAGTTTCTGGAAACTTCCTGAGCTCGTCTTTTGGGCTGTCAGTCATCTCCTCAGCTGTCAGTCAACTCCGCCCACATTTCTTTTCACCCCCAACCCCCCACCCCACACTGTCCAACTCCGCACAACCCCACACAACTCTTGTCATTAAAGACAGGGGAGGGTGGGGGAAAGATGATCCTTGGCTGCCAACACTTATGTTTTGATATAACAAGGGATGTTTGTTAAATTAAAGGCACAACACTTAGCTAGAGTTTGGTAAATAGTTACATTTTCAGAGGAGGGGGGGGCTAAAATTTCCAGGGGGGGGGGGGAGGACGGACACTGGTAACATATATTTTCTATGTAAATTCTATTTCGTTCTAGGGGGGTAAAAGTTTTTCCTGGAAGCGCCACCGCCCCCCCCCCCCACCCAAGAGATGCCTGGAAGAAACTCTGATCACGGGTACCGACACACATGTGTATATAGGTCTGGGCATACAAAGTCTGACCTCTCAACAGAAAACATATGACCAACAGAAAACATTTGACCAACAGAAAACATATGACCAACAGAAAACATTTGACCAACAGAAAACATTTGACCAACAGAAAACATTTGACCAACAGAAATAATTGGACCAACAGAAAACATTTGGTCAATAGAAAACATTTGACCAACAGAAAACATTTGACCAACAGAAAACATTTGACCAACAGGAAACATTTGGTCAACTAAAAACATTTGACCAACAGAAAACATTTGACCAACAGAAAACATTTGACCAACAGAAAACATTTGGTCAATAGAAAACATTTGACCAACAGAAAACATTTGACCAACAGAAAACATTTGACCAACAGGAAACATTTGACCAACAGAAAACATTTGACCAACAGAAAACATTTGGTCAATAGAAAACATTTGACCAACTAAAAACATTTGGTCAATAGAAAACATTTGACCAACAGAAAACATTTGACCAACAGAAAACATTTGGTCAACAGGAAACATTTGACCAACAGAAAACATTTGGTGAATAGAAAACATTTGACCAACAGGAAACATTTGACCAACAGAAAACATTTGACCAACAGAAAACATTTGGTCAATAGAAAACATTTGACCAACAGAAAACATTTGGTCAATAGAAAACATTTGACCAACAGAAAACATTTGACCAACAGAAAACATTTGGTCAACTAAAAACATTTGACCAACTAAAAACATTTGACCAACAGAAAACATTTGGTCAATAGAAAACATTTGGTCAATAGAAAACATTTGACCAACAGAAAACATTTGACCAACAGAAAACATTTGACCAACAGAAAACATTTGGTCAACAAAAAACATTTGACCAACAGAAAACATTTGGTCAACTAAAAACATTTGACCAACTAAAAACATTTGACCAACAGAAAACATTTGACCAACAGAAAACATTTGACCAACAGAAAACATTTGACCAACAGAAAACATTTGACCAACAGAAAACATTTGACCAACTAAAAACATTTGACCAACAGAAAACATTTGACCAACAGATAACATTTGGTCAACTAAAAACATTTGACCAACTAAAAACATTTGACCAACAGAAAACATTTGGTCAACTAAAAACATTTGACCAACAGAAAACATTTGACCAACAGAAAACATTTGACCAACAGAAAACCTTTGGTCAACTAAAAACATTTGACCAACTAAAAACTTTTGACCAACAGAAAACATTTGACCAACAGAAAACATTTGACCATCACAAATTAAGACGTTGATAATTAAACAAGTGTACCGTCTTGCCTACTGCGTTCTGCAAATGGCTTTGTCGGTTAATTGGCTTTAAAAAAATGACCGCAGTCAACAATATGATAGACTAATTAACTTTTACAGCCATTGTTCGGTGATTGCTCCAAAACCTCCAGCCATTTCTACACCTGGCAAAAAGTAAACTTTTTTAACGAGAGGCGACACGATCTTAAGTTAAACACAACTGACGTCCTCCATGTCATGACGTCCATTCAACCTGTGGCTTACACACTCCTTACATGTCCTTGTAATGATGTAATGATGTAATGACAAGCCCTAGAAGAGTCCCATCTGTCTTTACACTGTCGCTCAGTTTTATGGCGATGTTTGATTTGCTATGTTTCACGGACAGCTGTCTGGTAATGTTGTCTTGTGATGTTGCCGTGATGTTGTCTTGTGATGTTGCCGTGATGTTGTCATGTGATATTTGTTGACAATGTCTACTCTCTAGTATTTAGTTGGGACGGTGTGGTCGAACAGTAGAGCGTTCTATCGCTAACCCGAAAGTCAGGAGTACGAGTCCCTGGCTAGTCTTAGAACGTCCCTGAGTCCACCCAACTTTGATTGGGAACCTGACATGCGTTGACCGTCAGGTTCGAAAGGGAACTTTACTTTACTGGTATTTAGAAATAAATATACAGTACGAGCCGACCCGCTGCGTATCATACGCCGCTATTCAGTCGTTGTTTTTTCTACTTTTCAGTAATTCATAATTTGTGAATTCGACAGTACCAATGCTGCCACTGAAAATATTTGCTTAAAAACCCTAAAACCCCCTCCCCCCCCCCTCCCCCACGTGAAAGCAGCCTCCTCTTAGGGTGGGGGTGTTGGCGATAGAGAGGAAGAGAGGGGCTGTAAGGCGCGCTTGCAGCTTGTTTTCTAACGTCTCCCAGAAGAGAATTATATATATAGATGTATTCATTTATGGTTTTAAAAAAACTAGATCTACTATGCCGCATTGCCGTCATATTATTCTTTTCAAACGATCGTCCTAAAGTCAACAACCGTCTCCCTCCCGACCTAAACCATTAGCTGCAGCCAACTTAGGGTAACCAAAACAATAGCTGCAGCCAAGTTGGGTAAATCAAAGCAAAGGACACGACCATTGAAAGCTCGCAGATTCATACTTTGCTTTAGACCAGCTAAGCTGCCGATACAATAAGAGTTAACTGGGCACGGGTAGACAAAGGTTAAGCTCAAGGTAAGAACAGACACACATAGACTAAGCTCAGGGTAAATCTCAATGGCCTCCGACAAACATTCGGCCATGTTTGATTAGCTCCCACGTGACCGTCCTCTGTTAGATCAATCTGTCGTCTGCTGGGATAACTCTTCGCCATGTCGGTACGTACTGATGCAAGTTTACTTTTATATTTTTAAGGCAGCCACCAACAGATAAATAAAAGTTTAGGATGATATAAGTTTGTTTTCTCTGCAATTTCCCAAATTAAAAATTAGTTGTAGTGAAGTGTTGTATTATTTTGGTATCCCGAACTAACACGAACACAAACACGAACACGGGACGAAATGTTTTGAGTGTTGTTAACCCGTGTAAAATCTAGCTCTAACCAATAAGCGTTTGTTGTTTGTCATACATGATCATATGCTATAACCTAAACATTTCAATCTGTTGTATTAATGCATGTAATATTACATCTAACTCCGTCAAAAAAATTGCATGTGTGCTCTATAGCCAAGACTAAAAAAATTGAACCTAACCAAAATCCTAACCAGAAAACTAACCAAACCAGAAACTTAACCACAAACCAAACCAGAAACCTAACCATAAACCTAACCACAAACCTAACCGCTATGCGCCACAAGGCCGTTGACTCCGATTTCTACGCTCTGTATAATGTATTGACCTAACGTATCCAAATCCACTGGCTTGTATCATACAAGTGACTTGTATCATACAAGTGACTTGTATCATACAAGTGACATGTATCATACAAGTGACTTGTATCATTCAAAGGGAGGGGGTGAATCAGGTATCTTTCATGGGGCTCTCACACTTCTCAGAACCCCACGGGTGGGGGTGGGGAGGTGTGTGTTTGTGTGAGTGTCTGTGTGTGTGTCTTTCTCTGTGTATGTGTATTTATGTACAACTGTGAGTTTCTAGCATCGTCTCTAGTAGTTATGTTTAACTGTGACTTTTCCCCCTAAAATCTTAATTAAAGTGCAACAGGGACGTAACTCAGGTAGTACGACACTCGAGCTCTTCAGCGCACGCAAATGATACGTGTCAAAACGGCCTTTATTCAGGCTAAAAATAGCTATTATTTAAAACGGCGATGTAATAAAAGCTTTCATTTCCTGGGTCAATTCGACATTTGCTGAATGACAACTTTTGTGATAACTACATGTTTGTGGTCACCACACATCCCCCGCACACCTAAATATTTTTTCACACACACCTCACACGCCAAAGTATTTTTTCACACACCCCTCACATTAGTCTATAAGCTGCACCCACACCCACACCCACACCCACACCCACACACCTTCAGCATGATTCAGTCTTGTATAAGCCTAGTCGCTGATTGTTATAGCATCTGTCTGTCTTATACGAGCAACCTACGACCAACCTACAACCGTCAGTACGACCAACCTACGACCAACCTACGACCAACCTACGACCAACCTACGACCAACCTACAACCGTCAGTACGACCAACCTACGACCAACCTACGACCAACCTACGACCAACCTACGACCAATCTACGACCAACCTACGACCGTCAGTACGACCAACCTACGACCAACCTACGACCAACCTACGACCAACCTACGACCAATCTACGACCAACCTACGACCAACCTACGACCAACCTACGACCAATCTACGACCAACCTACGACCAATCTACGACCAACCTAGGACCAACCTACAACCAACCTACGACCAACCTACGACCAACCTACGACCAACCTACGACCGTCAGTACGACCAACCTACGACCGTCAGTACGACCAACCTACGACCAATCTACGACCAACCTACGACCAATCTACGACCAACCTAGGACCAACCTACAACCAACCTACGACCAACCTACGACCAACCTACGACCAACCTACGACCCAACCTACGACCAACCTACGACCCAACCTACGTCCCAACCTACGACCCAACCTACGACCCAACCTACGACCCAACCTACGACCAACCTACGACCAACCTACGACCAACCTACGACCAACCTACGACCGTCAGTACGACCAACCTACGACCGTCAGTACGACCAACCTACGACCGTCCTACGACCAACCTACGACCCAACCTACGACAAACCTACGACCAACCTACGACCAACCTACGACCAACCTACGACCAATCTACGACCAACCTACGACCAACCTACGACCAACCTACGACCAGCCTACTACCAACCTAGGACCAACCTACGACCAACCTACAACCAACCTAGGACCAACCTACAACCAACCTAGGACCAACCTACAACCAACCTACGGCCAACCTACGACCAACCTACGACCCAACCTACGACCCAACCTACGACCCAACCTACGACCCAACCTACGACCAACCTACGACCAACCTACGACCCAACCTACGACCCAACCTACGACAAACCTACGACCGACCTACGACCGTCAGTACGACCGACCTACGACCAACCTACGACCGACCTACGACCAACCTACGACCGACCTACGACCAACCTACGACAAACCTACGACCGACCTACGACCGTCAGTACGACCAACCTACGACCAAACTACGACCAACCTTGCAGTAAAGTGTTAGTCTCACATCAGAGCGGATTAACGAAAACAAATGCGGTCACTGTAAAATAAATTTGGATGTCTAGAAAAATTAGTTTAAAAATTATCCTTAATCCTGAGGATTGTTTTGGATTAAAATAAAGCTGAAATCCTCACGAACTGAGACTTTTTAATGAGACAATTTTATTGCTAAAAATAGATTGACCTGAAAAGAACGTGCAGCAGTCCGAGTTAATTCCCCTGATTTATCTGCCCTTGTTGTTTTGAGTTGTACGCCAGCCATAGGCAGAAGTCCCGCAGTAAATAGTCCGACTACAGCTGGTTAGTTGGTAATGTACTGGGATTAGCTGAAATACATCAGCATACGTCACTTCCTGTTCGCGGTGTCAAGCAGACGGCAGTCGTGTTAGCATGTTCTAGAATAACTCGGTCAACTAGATCAACTCTATTTTGGCGGCTGTAGGGTTGCCCTAATTAACAGGCATCTCCCCGGGTGGGGAAGAGGGGGGGGGGGGGGGTGATCCTAAGCACGTCCATTGTCCTGTGGACGACGTAGAACAAAAATAAAACTGGAGTCCCTGAGCCCACCCAGCTTCAATGGGTACCTGACTCAAGTCAAGGAAATAAAGGCGGCTGGGCATAAAGCTGACCACACTACCCTTCATGTGCCGTGGTCACAAGGTGGACTCTACTTCATTCGTAGACTAACTCTGTCCTGAGATTTTGCAAGCAGATTCACGTTAAATACCTGCACAGGTGAGTTGACCGTGAAATTAGCGTCATTTTAATTTCGTTTTTAACGCAAAGAGCGGCAACTCCTGTCCTGTGCTATATCCACGGCCTTTGTCTTTCGTTTCTCGTGGGGGGGGGTGGAATGACATGTTTTTCTCTGTACATTTATATCAAATTTTGTGACTTTTGACTGGCCATCGCGTCGTCTTAAGTCATTCAGTAAAAGTTCATACAAACATTAGTCACAAAGTCATAAGTCATACAGCCATAAGTCAAAGAGTTGCCGTGAAAGTTGTTAAGACGACGATCTAATGGGGAGATGCACTGGTCGTGACAAAACGTGGTGGAGGGGTGGATGTGTTTGGTGGATGGGTTGGTGGAGGTGTGGATGTGTTTGGTGGAGGGGTGGATGTGTTTGGTGGATGGGTTGGTGGAGGTGTGGATGTTTGGATGTGTTTGGTGGAGGGGTGGATGTGTTTGGTGGATGTGTTTGGTGGAGGGGTGGATGTGTTTGGTGGAGGGGTGGATGTGTTTGGTGGAGGGGTGGATGTGTTTGGTGGAGGGGTGGATGTGTTTGGTGGAGGGGTGGATGTGTTTGGTGGATGTGTTTGGTGGAGGGGTGGATGTGTTTGGTGGAGGGGTGGATGTTTGGTGGAGGGGTGGATGTGTTTGGTGGAGGGGTGGATGTGTTTGGTGGAGGGGTGGATGTGTTTGGTGGATGTGTTTGGTGGAGGGGTGGATGTGTTTGGTAGAGGGGTGGATGTGTTTAGTGGAGTGGTGGATGTTTGGTGGAGGGGTGGATGTGTCTGGTTGAGGGGTGGATGTGTTTGGTGGAGGGGTGGATGTGTTTAGTGGAGTGGTGGATGTTTGGTGGAGGGGTGGATGTGTTTGGTGGAGGGGAGCAAGCGGGTTGAAACGGTTTGCTGTCTAATTGGGGAGCGTCTGGTGGACAATTTAAATTCTGCCCTAGGTTCGTGAAATGACAAAATTATGACATGTAATGTCAGGCTGTCATTTCAGCCGGATTACCTCAGAGTTAGATGTTAGAAGTGACGTCAGAAGGATGACATTAGTTGTCATCGTTGGATGGGATTGTTGGATGGGATTGTTGGATGGGATTGTTGGATAAGCGAGTCAAGTCAGATTGGGATTTGACTGCACGGCCAGGTGCGCTGAATGTCAATGTCTGCAAGTCGTCATGCTGGAGGTCAATGTCCTCATGTTGTTGTCTCGTCAAGCGATGCCCGAGGATATCTACGTCATCACCTGAATCTAGAATCTTCTACCGGTGCTTGAACCCCTGTCCGCCATAGAAGCACCGACCCTCATGTGTTTAGTGTTGACGTCTGCCCAGGTGTTGACGTCTGCCCAGGTGTTGATGCCCCCCCCCCCCCCGCCCATGAATGCCACGAGTTGACGTCTGCTGGAGTGAGTCGGCCGAGTTACCGTCTGCTCGTAAATTGTCACCAAAATTGTCACCGCTGGTAGTAATTTTGTCACAAGTCATGACATCACTGACAGACGGCACGCCATATTTCATAACCTGACTGTCCGGCTGTCAGTCCCAGGTGTTTCCTGGTGTTGCCTTCCCATTTCCCATGCACATGGTGAACCCATCTTCATAAATTTACACGAGACCAGTTTTGGTAATTTTCTGACAGTAAAGTTAAATAACTCGCTATAAAATTATTACGTAAGTGCAACCTAAAAGGTCAACAAAAATCTATAAATAGATACCTAGAGCAATGTGTTTGTAAACATGAAAATATGAGCTTGTAGAGAATAAAGCCAATTATGTCACCAATTTGCTCAAACTCATCAACAGATTAATTTGTGAAGTCTTGGCTACTTCAGGTGTCGTTAAGACTTTCTAGCAAGATGCGATACTGTGAATTCACAATATTAACCAGTTGGTACTTTACAATATACAAGGTAGTTGATACTTTATTCTACCTGTTTGGTACTTTACTATATATAAGGTATTTGATACTTTATTCTAGCTGTTTTGAACTTTACAATATACCAGCTTATTGCTACTTTACAGTGCCATTTTCCAATCTCAGATTGACTCCGCCCCGCCCCCCCCCCCCCCCCCCCCCCCCGCCCATGTCTTGCGAGGCAGCCTCCACAGTAAATCAAACTAGGTTAGAAGCTGGCTTATGGAATACGTTCAGTTCATGTGACAAAACGTCTTTCATTGGATACAAATGAAGTGTTCACTGAATAAACTCTCGCACCCACAAACTATCACACCCACAAATTAACACACCCACAAACTAACACACCCACAAACTATCACACCCACAAACTAACACACCCACAAACTCTAGCACCCACAAACTATCATCTTATTTAACTCAACCCATTCCAAAAATTGAAAAAAAATATTATCGTATTCAAATACTGTCTCGCAGCTAAGCTGACTTCTTACCCGACATTGTATGTCATCGTATATGTCATCACATCTGTCAGCACATCTGACAACTCACCTGACATGTCAACTAAATGACATGTTACCTGACAACTCACCTGACATGTCAACTAAATGACATGTTACCTGACAACTCACCTGACATGTCAACTAAATGACATGTTACCTGACAACTCACCTGACATGTCAACTAAATGACATGTTACCTGACAACTCACCTCACATGTCAACTAAATGACATGTTACCTGACAACTCACCTGACATGTCAACTAAATGACATGTTACCTGACAACTCACCTGACATGTCAACTAAATGACATGTTACCTGACAACTCACCTGACATGTCAACTAAATGACATGTTACCTGACAACTCACCTGACATGTCAACTAAATGACATGTTACCTGACAACTCACCTCACATGTCAACTAAATGACATGTTACCTGACAACTCACCTGACATGTCAACTAAATGACATGTTACCTGACAACTCACCTGACATGTCAACTAAATGACATGTTACCTGACAACTCACCTGACATGTCAACTAAATGACATGTTACCTGACAACTCACCTGACATGTCAACTAAATGACATGTTACCTGACAACTCACCTCACATGTCAACTAAATGACATGTTACCTGACAACTCACCTGACATGTCAACTAAATGACATGTTACCTGACAACTCACCTGACATGTCAACTAAATGACATGTTACCTGACAACTCACCTGACATGTCAACTAAATGACATGTTACCTGACAACTCACCTGACATGTCAACTAAATGACATGTTACCTGACAACTCACCTCACATGTCAACTAAATGACATGTTACCTGACAACTCACCTGACATGTCAACTAAATGACATGTTACCTGACAACTCACCTGACATGTCAACTAAATGACATGTTACCTGACAACTCACCTCACATGTCAACTAAATGACATGTTACCTGACAACTCACCTGACATGTCAACTAAATGACATGTTACCTGACAACTCACCTGACATGTCAACTAAATGACATGTTACCTGACAACTCACCTGACATGTCAACTAAATGACATGTTACCTGACAACTCACCTGACATGTCAACTAAATGACATGTTACCTGACAACTCACCTGACATGTCAACTAAATGACATGTTACCTGACAACTCACCTGACATGTCAACTAAATGACATGTTACCTGACAACTCACCTCACATGTCAACTAAATGACATGTTACCTGACAACTCACCTGACATGTCAACTAAATGACATGTTACCTGACAACTCACCTCACATGTCAACTAAATGACATGTTACCTGACAACTCACCTGACATGTCAACTAAATGACATGTTACCTGACAACTCACCTGACATCCATCTGGACAACCAACCAACCATTTAAGCCCCACCCCCCACCCCCCCCCCCACCCCCCAGGACCTGATTCCCCACGCCCTGACCATATGAGGTGTTGACCGACGAGTTAACGCCCCTGGGGTCACACAGCAGATTACCGGCCCTAAGACTAGGAGACAGACGAGGTGAACGGACGTGGATCTGCCGGCTGTATCTGGCAGATTTACGAGAGTTGCCATCCGTTGGATGAACCTGTTTATACATTAGCAGTCACTGGAATATTCTGTGACTTATTTAATGTATGTAACTTAGCAGTGGGGAGGGGGGGGGGTCTTTAGAGTTAAAAAAAACCACTTTAAAAGACTTTTCTTAAGATAAAATAAACACCTAATTTTAACAAATAAAGAACAAATTCTTGTAATTTAACAATAATGTTTATTCAGGAACCCGTGATGTCAAACTAGCCGACTGATGTCATTTGTTTTCCCATCTTTCGTACTTCTTTAAAACCAGCGAAATTCATTTCATTAAATTGATTTCATCAAATTGATTGCAGCAAATTGATTTTATAAATCGATCTCATCAAATTAACAAAACAAAGGGTAATGTTTTTTTCCCATTTTCTTGCAGAATTCACGTTTTGTGTGGCCGTTGGTGACGTCATCCCTACTTGTGCTCCTCCTCCTGCCGGCTGCCGGCCAGAAAAAACTCTTCTGCTACTACGGCAGCGAGTCACAGTACCGGACGTACCCGGGTAGATTCATGCCGGACAACATTGACGTCACACTTTGCACGCACGTCATTTTCGCTTTTGCTGACATCAGGGACAACAAGCTGACGTCACAGAACTGGAATGATCTGGGCACTACAGGTCAGTTTTTGGATGTTGGACCGGTCAGTTATTGGATGTTGGACAGGTCAGTTGTTGAATGTTCGACAGGTCAGTTGTTGGATGTTGGACAGGTCAGTTGTTGAATGTTGGACCGGTCAGTTATTGGATGTTGGACAGGTCAGTTGTTGAATGTTCGACAGGTCAGTTGTTGGATGTTGGACAGGTCAGTTGTTGAATGTTGGACAGGTCAGTTGTTGGATGTTGGACAGGTCAGTTGTTGGATGCTGGACAGGTCAGTTGTTGGATGTTGGACAGGTCAGTTGTTGTATGTCGGACAGGTCAGTTGTTGGATGTTGGACAGGTAAGTTGTTGCATGTTGGACAGGTCAGTTGTTGGATGTTGGACAGGTCAGTTGTTGGATGTTGGACCGGTCACTTGTTGGATGCTGGACAGGTCAGTTGTTGAATGTTGGACATGTCAGTTGTTGAATGTTGGACCGGTCAGTTGTTGGATGCTGGACAGGTCAGTTGTTGAATGTTGGACTGGTCAGTTGTTGGACAGGTCAGTTGCTGGATGTTGGACAGGTCAGTTGTTGGATGTGGGACAGGTCAGTTGTTGGATGTTGGACAGGTCAGTTGTTGAATGTTGGACAGGTCAGTTGTTGGATGTTGGACAGGTCAGTTGTTGAATGTTGGACAGGTCAGTTGTTGGATGTTGGACAGGTCAGTTGTTGAATGTTGGACAGGTCAGTTGTTGGATGTTGGACAGGTCAGTTGTTGGATGCTGGACAGGTCAGTTGTTGGATGTTGGACAGGTCAGTTGTTGGATGTTGGACAGGTCAGTTGTTGGATGTTGGACAGGTCAGTTATTGGATGTTGGACAGGTCAGTTGTTGGATGTTGGACCGGTCAGTTGTTGGACAGGTCAGTTGTTGGATGTTGGACAGGTCAGTTGTTGGATGTTGGACAGGTCAGTTGTATGATGTTGGACAGGCCAGTTGTTGGATGCTGGACAGGTCAGTTGTTGGATGTTGGACAGGTCAGTTGTTGGATGTTGGACCGGTCACTTGTTGGATGCTGGACAGGTCAGTTGTTGAATGTTGGACAGGTCAGTTGTTGGATGTTGGACAGGTCAGTTGTTGGATGTTAGACTGGTCAGTTGTTGGACAGGTCAGTTGCTGGATGTTGGACAGGTCAGTTGTTGGATGTTGGACCGGTCAGTTGTTGGATATGTTGGACTGGCCAGTTGTTGGATGTTGGACCGGTCAGTTGTTGGATGTTGGACAGGTCAGTTGTTGGATGTTGGACAGGTCAGTTGTTGGATGTTGGACAGGTCAGTTGTTGGATGTTGGACAGGTCAGTTGCTGGATGTTGGACAGGTCAGTTGTTGGATGTTGGACCGGTCAGTTGTTGGATGTTGGACAGGTCAGTTGTTGGACTGTGCCGGTCAGGTGTTGAATGTTGGACCGGTCAGTTGTTGAATGTTGGACTGGTCAGTTGTTGGATGTTGGACTGGTCAGTTGTTGGGTGTTGGACAGGTCAGTTGTTGGATGTTGGACCGGTCAGTTGTTGGATGTTGGACAGGTCAGTTGTTGGATGTTGGACCGGTCAGTTGTTGGATGTTGGACAGGTCAGTTGTTGAATGTTGGACTGGTCAGTTGTTGAATGTTGGACAGGTCAGTTGTTGGATGTTGGACAGGTCAGTTGTTGAATGTTGGACAGGTCAGTTGTTGGATGTTGGACAGGTCAGTTGTAGAATGTTGGACTGGTCAGTTGTTGAATGTTGGACTGGTCAGTTGTTGGATGTTGGACAGGTCAGTTGTTGGATGTTGGACAGGTCAGTTGTTGGATGTTGGACAGGTCAGTTGTTGGATGTTGGACAGGTCAGTTGTTGAATGTTGGACAGGTCAGTTGTTGAATGTTGGACAGGTCAGTTGTTGGATGTTGGACAGTATTGGTCAGTGGTTGGATGTTGGACAGGTCAGTTGTTGGATGTTGGACTGGTCAGTTGTTGGATGTTGGACAGGTCAGTTGTTGGATGTTGGACAGGTCAGTTGTTGGATGTTGGACAGGTCAGTTGTTGGATGTTGGACAGGTCAGTTTTTTGATGTTGGACCGGTCAGTTGTTGGATGTTGGACAGGTCAGTTGTTGGATGTTGGACAGTATTGGTCAGTGGTTGGATGTTGGACAGGTCAGTTGTTGAATGTTGGACAGGTCAGTTGTTGGATGTTGGACAGGTCAGTGGTTGGATGTTGGACAGGTCAGTTGTTGGATGTTGGACCGGTCAGTTGTTGGATGTTGGACAGGTCAGTTGTTGGACTGTGCCGGTCAGGTGTTGAATGTTGGACCGGTCAGTTGTTGAATGTTGGACTGGTCAGTTGTTGGATGTTGGACTGGTCAGTTGTTGGGTGTTGGACAGGTCAGTTGTTGGATGTTGGACAGGTCAGTGGTTGGATGTTGGACCGGTCACTTGTTGGATGCTGGACAGGTCAGTTGTTGGATGTTGGACAGGTCAGTTGTTGAATGTTGGACAGGTCAGTTGTTGGATGTTGGACAGGTCAGTTGTTGGATGTTGGACAGGTCAGTTGTTGAATGTTGGACAGGTCAGTTGTTGGATGTTGGACAGGTCAGTTGTTGGATGTTGGACAGGTCAGTTGTTGGATGTTGGACCGGTCAGTTGTTGGATGTTGGACAGGTCAGTTGTTGGATGTTGGACCGGTCAGTTGTTGGATGTTGGACCGGTCAGTTGTTGGACTGTGCCGGTCAGTTTATCTCTGGTCGGGGACGGTGTGGTCGGGCCAAGGATATCGTAGCGTAGGTTCGAGTCTGGTCTGCACCCACTCCAGATACAACTCAGCTTAAATGGATACCTGGCTATGCCACAGAAAGGCAACTGAACCGTTAACTTGCCAATCACCTGACATACCATGTCCATACACCAGCATTGTTTTACCTACACCACTGGAACGTTCCACCACAATCACGTGACATGGTTCGAATCTTCTGGCCAGGTCTGTATACCCAAGTGACAAGGCTCAAAACCACCCGACCCTCCCTGAAGATCCTGCTGGCCGTGGGAGGGTGGGTGGCGGGGTACAGGCCCTTTGCCCCGGCCGTCAGGACCAACAAGAGCATGACGGAGTTTGTCGACAACGTCATCAGCTACCTGAGGGGGTACGGCTTTGACGGGTTGGACATGGACTGGGAGTTCCCGGGGGTCAGGGGCAGCCCCCCGGCCGACAAACACGCCTTCACGAGGCTGATGAAGGTAGGGATTGTCACGTGATCGTTCATCTAAAGCTGAGACCTGGTGGGGGACCTTTGGGTGTACACAGTTTTAACAGAAGTCAGGTTGTACAATGACTCAATACTAACGAGACCATATACTTTACAACGGGAGTCAGAATCTCTCCCCCCCCCCACCACTGAGTTCCCTATCTTGATCTGGCAGGGGCACTTACGGGGGACACGATGGTACATCATCAATACACACCTATACAAACATACAACTCGAATTAGAATACGGAAACCATGTTTTTGTAACCTATTTTATGACTTTCATTTATATAGGCCACTTCCCAATGTGGCATTACTTTATATAGCCAACCTATCACGTGACATTATTTCATACAGGCAACCCGCCAACCTATCACGTGACACCCCTATAGCCAACCCCCCACGTGTCACCCCTATAACCAATCCCCCACGTGACCTCCCTATAGCCAACCCCCCACGTGACACCCCTATAGCCAACCCCCCCCCCCCCTGCTCTATTCCCAGCTGATGTACAACAAGTTTCTAGAAGAATCCATCAAGTCTGGCAGAGAGCGTCTCTTGCTGACAATGGCGGCGGCTGTAGGGATCGCCTTCATAGAGGCGGCTTATGAGGCTACGGAGATACACAAGTAAGAGGGGGCTCTTGTCAGTGGTTGTCAGTTGTCAGTGGTTGTCAGTTGTCTGTGGTTGTCAGCTGTCAGGTTTGTCAGTTGTCAGGTTTGTCAGTTGTCAGGTTGTCAGTTGTCAGGTTGTCAGTTGTCAGGTTGTCAGTATTTTACACAGGTTTGACGGGTAACTGATAAGTCCTTATATTTATGTATAATCCCTGTATTTGCTCAGGGCATCGTTAAAGACAAAGACCAAACACGACTTGGCATTTAACGTGGGTTTGGTGCCTAAATGTGCCATTTATAGCAGTTTAAAAAAACAGTACTAAGGGGGAAGGGTAGAAAACTCTGAACTAATGAAATAATGGTTGCTGCTTTAATAAATTTAATAAACGTGACTGACGTCTGAGATGTACTCGATCCAGGTACGTGGACTACATGCTGCTGATGACGTACAACTTCCATGGCGGCTGGGACAACTTCACGTCCCATCATAGCACGATGTTTCCTGGTCAGTTTGATCAGGGGGAGGACAGGTGGCTGTGTCAGGTAGGTGACATATGACAGGTGGCTGTGTCAGGTAGGTGACATATGACAGGTGGCTGTATCAGGTAGGTGACATATGACAGGTGTCTGTGTCAGGTAGGTGACATATGACAGGTGGCTGTGTCAGGTAGGTGACATATGACAGGTAGCTGTGTCAGGTAGGTGACATATGACAGGTGGCTGTGTCAGGTAGGTGACATATGTCAGGTGGCTGTGTCAGGTAGGTGACATATGACAGGTGTCTGTGTCAGGTAGGTGGCATATGACAGGTGTGACATATGACAGGTGGCTGTGTCAGGTAGGTGACATATGACAGGTGGCTGTGTCAGGTAGGTGACATATGACAGGTGTCTGTGTCAGGTAGGTGACATATGACAGGTGTCTGTGTCAGGTAGGTGACATATGACAGGTGTGACATATGACAGGTGGCTGTGTCAGGTAGGTGACATATGACAGGTGGCTGTGTCAGGTAGGTGACATATGACAGGTGTGACATATGACAGGTGGCTGTGTCAGGTAGGTGACATATGACAGGTGGCTGTGTCAGGTAGGTGACATTTGACAGGTGTGACATATGACAGGTGGCTGTGTCAGGTAGGTGACATATGACAGGTGGCTGTGTCAGGTAGGTGACATATGTCAGGTGGCTGTGTCAGGTAGGTGACATATGACAGGTGGTTGTGTCAGGTAGGTGACGTATGACAGGTGTCTGTGTCAGGTAGGTGACATATGACAGGTGTCTGTGTCAGGTAGGTGACATATGACAGGTGTGACATATGACAGGTGGCTGTGTCAGGTAGGTGACATATGACAGGTGGCTGTGTCAGGTAGGTGACATATGACAGGTGTGACATATGACAGGTGGCTGTGTCAGGTAGGTGACATATGACAGGTGGCTGTGTCAGGTAGGTGACATTTGACAGGTGTGACATATGACAGGTGGCTGTGTCAGGTAGGTGACATATGACAGGTGGCTGTGTCAGGTAGGTGACATATGTCAGGTGGCTGTGTCAGGTAGGTGACATATGACAGGTGGTTGTGTCAGGTAGGCGACATATGACAGGTGGTTGTGTCAGGTAGGTGACATATGACAGGTGGCTGTGTCAGGCAGGTGACATATGACAGGTGGCTGTATCAGGTAGGTGACATATGACAGGTGGTTGTGTCAGGTAGGTGACATATGACAGGTGGCTGTGTCAGGTAGGTGACATATGACAGGTGTGACATATGACAGGTGGTTAAGTCAGGTAGGTGAGATGACAAAGTGGCTGAATCAGGTTGGTAGATGTGTCAGATATGTCATATGACAGGTAGTTGATATGACATGTGGTTATGTCAGGTGCGTTAAATGCGCGTGGTCGTGTAGCTATCAGAACTTAACCACCTCATCTAACTTAGCCACCTCATCTAACTTAACCACCTAATCTAACTTAACCACCTCATCTAACTTAACCACCTCATCTAACTTAACCACCTCATCTAACTTAACCACCTCACCTAACTTAACCACCTCATCTAACTTAACCACATCATCTAACTTAACCACCTCATCTAACTTAACCACCTCATCTAGCTTAACCACCTCATCTAGCTTAACCAATTCATCTAACTTAACCACCTCATTTAACTTAACCACCTCATCTATCCTCAGAACTGGGCTCTCAACTACTGGCTGTTTATGGGAGTACCGAGGTCCAAAATACTTTTAGGTGAGTCCATGTTTTTATTGAGGTCCAAAATACTTTTAGGTGAGTCCATGCTTTTATTGAGGTCCAAAATACTTTTAGGTGAGTCCATGTTTCTATTGAGGTCCAAAATACTTTTAGGTGAGTCAATGTTTTTACCGAGGTCCAAAATACTTTTAGTTGAGTCCATGTTTTTATTGAGGTCCAAAATACTTTTAGGTGAGTCCATGTTTTTACCGAGGTCCAAAATACTTTTAGGTCAGTCCATGTTTTTATTGAGGTCCAAAATACTTTTAGGTGAGTCCATGTTTTTATTGAGGTCCAAATTACTTTTAGGTGAGTCCATGTTTTTATTGAGGTCCAAAATACTTTTAGGTGAGTCCATGTTTTTACCGAGGTCCAAAATACTTTTAGGTGAGTCCATGTTTTTACCGAGGTCCAAAATACTTTTAGGTGAGTCCATGTTTTTATTGAGGTCCAAAATACTTCTAGGTGAGTCGATGTTTTTATTGAGGTCCAAAATACTTTTAGGTGAGTCCATGTTTTTATTGAGGTCCAAAATACTTTTAGGTGAGTCCATGTTTTTACCGAGGTCCAAAATACTTTTAGGTGAGTCCATGTTTTTATTGAGGTCCAAAATACTTCTAGGTGAGTCGATGTTTTTATTGAGGTCCAAAATACTTTTAGGTGAGTCCATGTTTTTACCGAGGTCCAAAATACTTTTAGGTGAGTCGATGTTTTTATCGAGGTCCGAAATACTTTTAGGTGAGTCGATGTTTTTATTGAGGTCCAAAATACTTTTAGGTGAGTCGATGTTTTTATTGAGGTCCAAAATACTTTTAGGTGAGTCGATGTTTTTATCGAGGTCCGAAATATTTTGAGTAAATGTTTAATATCGGGGTCCAAAAATACTTTAAATAATTTTTTTTTTTTGGTCTTTCTAAGGAGGCCAAACTACTTCACTGTGAGTAACTTTTTGTAGGGGAAATAACTAGTCTTGTTATTCTCACAGTTACGTTTTTAATATTAAACATTTTATATATTAAGCAAGAAAAAGCCATTGTTGGCGTGAATGCCGGATCCGGCCCTCGTGCCGCATAGTTTGAAATTCTCACGTGTCTCTGCAGGTTTGGCCACCTACGGGATGACCTTCACCCTAGTGGACGAGAAAAACAATGGATTGCGTGCCCCTGCTCTAGGGGGAGGTAACGGCGGCAGATACACGAGACAGAACGGAATTCTGGCATTCTATGAGGTGAACACAGCAAGTATAGGACTGGTTGGGGGGGGGGGACATTTAAACCTACCTAAAACCACCTAATCATCATCAACCCTAATGACCCCATCTAATTATCATCCACCTAAATTTGTCCATCTAATTATCATCCACCTAAATGACTACAACCCGGACATTTAATGCGAGCAATAAACCAAACTGTGCACCGTAGATTGCCAGATAGTTTTGTCACCGGTCCCGAATGTTTTCTGGCCAAATATCCCATAATTCACAACATGCACAAGTAAGTCTTTGATGCATGGCGAATATTTAACCCCAAAATTCAAGACACGCACAAGCGAAATCTTGATGCATTTCAGATATAAAACAATCCGTTTCCAACTTGTTTGCTGTTCTGCGCTAAACAATTAAACCAAAGATAATTTGTCATTCTTTTTATCGTACATGAAATGCAGCATCAAAATTTGATTACGTAAATAAATTTTATTTAACTAGCACGCTGTGGGCATAAACTTTCTAAACAAGCATCAGATTTGAATATTGTAAACATTGGCTTGTCTCCTGCTTTACCCCAGTCAACTCCCAGCCTTAATCCGCTAATCCCCCACTAATCCCAGCCTTTTGTTGTTGACTTGTTTTGTCTCACACCTATGACGTTTACAGGTGAGTAATTTTTTTTTTGGGGGGGGGGGGGGGGGGGGGGGTCACGTGACACACATCTGACATCACGTGACTCACATCTCGACCTGTTCATGTCTCAAGTTAGGACAGCTGACAGTTTTACCTCGACACTGACATGATGACATCCGACGGTAGCACGATGACACATGACGGTGCACTGACATGACGGTGCACTGACATGACGGTGCACTGACATGACAACTGACGGTAGAACTGACATGATGACACATGACGGTAGCACTGACATGATGACGTGACGGTAACACTGACATGATGACATGGGGTGGTAGCACTGACATGGTGACATATGACGGTAGCACTGACATGATGACATGGGGTGGTAGCACTGACATGATGACATGTGACGGTAGCACTGACATGATGACACATGACGGTAGCACTGACATGATGACATGTGACGGTAGCACTGACATGATGACACATGACGGTAGCACTGACATGATGACACATGACGGTAGCACTGACATGATGACATGGGGTGGTAGCACTGACATGATGACGTGACGGTAACACTGACATGATGACATGGGGTGGTAGCACTGACATGGTGACACATGACGGTAGCACTGACATGATGACAACTGACGGTAGCACTGACATGATGACACATGACGGTAGCACTGACATGATGACACATGACGGTAGCACTGACATGATGACACATGACGGTAGCACTGACATGATGACACATGACGGTAGCACTGACATGATGACACATGACAGTAGCACTGACATGATGACATGTGACGGTAGCACTGACATGATGACAACTGACGGTAGCACTGACATGATGACACATGACGGTAGCACTGACATGATGACATATGACGGTAGCACTGACATGATGACACATGACGGTAGCACTGACATGATGACATGGGGTGGTAGCACTGACATGATGACAACTGACGGTAGCACTGACATGATGACGTGACGGTAACACTGACATGATGACACGTGACGGTAACACTGACATGATGACACATGAGGGTAGCACTGACATGATGACATGGGACGGTAGCACTGACATGGTGACATATGACGGTAGCACTGACATGATGACACATGACAGTAGCACTGAAATGATGACCCATGACGGTAGCACTGACATGATGACACATGACGGTAGCACTGACATGATGACATGTGACGGTAGCACTGACATGATGACATAAGACGGTAGCACTGACATGATGACACATGACAGTAGCACTGACATGATGACACATGACGGTAGCACTGACATGATGACATGGGACGGTAGCACTGACATGATGACATGGGACGGTAGCACTGACATGATGACATGGGACGGTAGCACTGACATGATGACATGTGACGGTAGCACTGACATGATGACATGGGACGGTAGCACTGACATGTTGACATGGGGTGGTAGCACTGACATGATGACACATGACGGTAGCACTGACATGATGACACATGACAGTAGCACTGACATGATGACACATGACGGTAGCACTGACATGATGACATGGGACGGTAGCACTGACATGATGACATGGGACGGTAGCACTGACATGGTGACACATGACGGTAGCACTGACATGATGACACATGACGGTAGCACTGACATGATGACATGGGGTGGTAGCACTGACATGATGACACATGACGGTAGCACTGACATGATGACACATGACGGTAGCACTGACATGATGACCCATGACAGTAGCACTGACATGATGACACATGACGGTAGCACTGACATGATGACATGGGACGGTAGCACTGACATGATGACACATGACGGTAGCACTGACATGATGACATGGGGTGGTAGCACTGACATAATGACCCATGACAGTAGCACTGACATGATGACATGAGACGGTAGCACTGACATGATGACACATGACGGTAGCACTGACATGATGACACATGACGGTAGCACTGACATGATGACCCATGACAGTAGCACTGACATGATGACACATGAAGGTAGCACTGACATGATGACATGGGACGGTAGCACTGACATGATGACACATGACGGTAGCACTGACATGATGACATGGGGTGGTAGCACTGACATAATGACCCATGACAGTAGCACTGACATGATGACATGAGACGGTAGCACTGACATGATGACATGGGACGGTAGCACTGACATGATGACACATGAGGGTAGTACTGACATGATGACATAGGACGGTAGCACTGACAAGATGACATGAGACTTTAGAGCACTGACATGCTGCAACTATCCCGCTACACACGATAGGTTTTCATAATAAAAACGTTGTTGAGTTTGCCATTAAAGCCTCTACCTGCCCCCCCCCCCCCCTGCCCAGATCTGCGAGAACCTGCAGCACCATAACTGGACGAACCATTGGATCGAGGACCAGCAAGTGCCCTACACCACCAAGGGAGATCAGTGGGTCGGGTACGATGACGTCAAGAGTATCAGGATTAAGGTCAGAGTTGTCTTCTCTTTGTATTTGTTTTATTTACACATGGGCATGTTGTTGGCTGTTTGGGGGGGGGGGGGGGGAAGGGTGGCAACAATACGGATAGAGCTGGTAGGAGGTGTGGGGGAATGTGTGGGTGGATGATGCAGGTGTGGGCAAGGTGTGAGTGTGTGTGGGAGCAATACAATGAGCAATAACAATGAGAAATAAAAATGAGCAACGAAGATGAGCCAAATAAAAAAAAACCATGTTCCACAAGCTCTAGAGTGTTGGTTGATGGAGTTGCTTGAAACAAACAATGTATGTACCTCTGGTCACTGGGTCAGAGCGGATGTTGTACATTTTTACCGCAGCTTTTGATAAATAATGTGACGTTTCAAGGCTGGGAATAAGTTGTAGAGGGTGGGGCGGGGAAGGTGGGAGGGGCAGCAGTAACCCCAGGGTGTCACCTCTCTACCTCCAACAACGACTAGGCATATAATATAGAATTCATGTATACAAATTTAATAAACTAGTAAAATAACAGCTACAACAGAATTTCGCATAAAAAATTAACTGCATTTCATTTTGGTGTCACCGCCATGGTTGGTGTCATCCGGTGCAGTCCACCCCCCCCCCCTTTGTGCTATCTTATTGTCATTTTAATAAACAATAGTTTGATTGTTCGCCCACGTTACTTCACGTAATAAGAAAATGTGGGGAGTGGGGGGAGGGGGGGGGAGATGGAGGTATGGAGGGGTCAAATATTCTTTAAAAAAATGAATGACGAGGCATTGTTTGTGCACGATTTAAATTAAAAAAAAAAAACATGCCTGTAAGTCATTTTTTTTTAATCTTGACAAACTGTCGGCTTGAAGAAATAAATTCAAAAATTATTTATGGCGGTAAAAAAAAAATTACATGCTTCATTCTGTCAGATAAATTACGTTGTTTATTTTCTCATTTAAAAAAAGCTTAAATTTAAGTTAATGTCTATGTTGGTGAGTTGAAATTTCCTACCCCATTTTTTTTTATCGTTGTTGCTAGTGTATCCAGTTTTAGCAGCTTTAGGATGGTATGGTCAGATAAATTTTCTATTATTTTGATCAAACCTTCCCTATAATTTGTTTAAACGGTGGTGTCACTGTGATTGTAACATAGCGTGACCACTAGAGTGGACAAGCCAGCATATGATGTCATGTGATCTTAACGATGATGTTCTTTTTTTTTTAAATTAAGTTTTTATTTAGAACACATTGTCCAGTTTTGTTGTTGTTTTTTGTCTGTGGGGAGTGGTGTATCTTGTGAATTGATTTTGACCCACTCAACTTTCCTGATACATTCGTCTCTGGTGATAATGCAAGAATATCTATTTTTAATCTAAATAGACATTATGCTAGTCATTCTATAATACAAGGAAAGATAACTAGCTAGAACGCGATCACCCGACCGTTTTGCTGGGTTGTGGTTCACGCCGCTTGTTCGGTCGCGGTTGGCTGATTTTTTTTCTGAGCGTCGACCACGAACTAAGAAGGGGCAGAGAAATGTCTTAGAGTCCACAAGTCGGGTTTGAAGGCAAATATTCCAAACCAATGACTAAAATTTGGAAATACAACAAATAAAAAACATTTATATTAACAAGCTTTTGAATGCACTAAAAAATAAGAAAATAAAACAAACTTGCTCTCTTTAATAAAAGTTTTGTTCGGTAAAATATATCAGAGATCTCATGCGAGACCAAAGCTTTTATTAAAGAAGGAATGTTTATTTTATTTTATAATTACAGTGCATTTAAAAGCTTGTTATTAGATCTATAAGCGTATTTATATGTGCTTTATTAAATGTAGAGTTTAAAAACAGATTAACGAACAGATTAATTAATTTTATGAACACAATATTTCTTAAGAACCTAAACAAAACATAAAGCTTTCTCCACTGTTAATTAAGATTTTGTGTTAAAAAGCAATTAAGAAACCCTTTCAAGTAACCTAAAATAAGAATAATTCAAGCTGTTGTTTTTCTTCTAATGACTCGGGCAGAAAATAAACACATTTAATGGCGTGAGGAAGTAAAAATTTGTTTTCCTTGTCCACTGGATAGAAAAGGCGCGCTTGATGCAGGCTTACGTCTGCTGGTATTTATTTGTGAGAGGCCCTAAGCCAGGTACTAGAGTGGGAACGATGCATCATCCACAAAGGCCATTTATTTTAATCGCGTAATTTTTCACTGTGCAGCATGGCAAATCTATGCCTGCTTTAAAAAACTTCCTTTGTAAAATTTAGGAGGTAATGTAAGACAGAGTGCTACACGACAGAAAAATGGATTGGTTTGCCATTTTTTAGAGAAAATACGGAATTATGGATAGAGCTGTCACTTAGCGTTTAAGTGAAAGATGGAACGGATGGCCAAATTAGCAGCCGGCTCGGCTCACATCGGTCTGTACCTGTATCCTGTGTCACATCAACACGGCGCGCGGCGTCGGCAAGTGTTCGCCATGGCCCGCTAGTTGGCAAGCGTTGCTAGATCTAGAAATGATATTTTTAAAAAAAAATAATTTGTACCGCTTCAGCAAGTTTTTTATTTTATTTCAGCAAAAGACCGTTTTAAAAATGTTGATGAAGTTTCCTTGAAAGGTGTGGTTAACCACAGTAGCGTCACTAGTGCAGGTGTCACATTTTCACAATTTTAACTGTATAAAATATCGTTATGACACTAAATTTTTCAAAAAAAATTCGGCTCGTTGTCATCTGGTGTGGACCGCACCCCCTTCCCGCCTTGTGTCGCTACTGAGTCAAGCAATGTCTGCTAAAATTCAACGAATGTTGTGAGAAACAAAGGTATGGTAAATAAATATTCTGCCAGAGGTAACCCTGCATTACGTCATGATTTCAATCAGTTCATTGCATTCACAGGCCGAGCGATTAATTAACGGCTATGGATTGGCTGGGGCGTTCGTCTGGTCAGTGGAGCTGGACGATTTCAATGGCTACTGCGGGGGTGGCAAGTATCCCCTTCTTCGAGCAATTAATGACGTCATTCGACCACGTAACCAATCTGGAGCAGAACTGCCTGAACCAGTGTTTAGTAAGTACTTCTGTAAATATTCATTCAACGACAGCTGCCCTCGGCTTACTGACCAGCCCCCTCACTTGACTCCCAGACTGACCCACCTCTCATCTCCCCTACACCCAACTGACTGGACCACACCCCCAGCTCCCCTAAACTAACCAAGCCACACCCCCAGCTCCCCTAAACTAACCAAGTCACACCCTCAGCTCCCCTAAACTAACCAAACCACACCCCCAGCTCACCCAAACTAACCAAGCCACACCCCCAGCTCACCCAAACTAACCAAGCCACACCCCCAGCTCCCCTAAACTAACCAAGCCACACCCACCTCCCCTAAACTGATCCACCCCTCTATTTCAGCTCAGCCCCAGCTCCCCACCCCCGTGTCCCCCTCGGCCAAGTGTCAACAACTGGGTACTGGCCTGTACAAACATGAGCCCAGCTGCCGCTGGTACATCATCTGCACACAGGTCGCTGGGGTCTGGGGTCTACGTACAGGACACTTACAGCTGTCCTGAAGGACTGTCCTACAACGACACATTCTTGACCTGTGATGTTAGTCCTGATTGTGTATGACATCACGTGTTTTCCTGATCTTTACTTTTACCATGAAATCAATGGGGGGGGGGGGGAATAATACTTTATTTACACACAGGAGCTGACCACATTTTTTTACCAACAATCTGATGAAATTATTTGACGAAGAATCAGATGAAATTATTTGAGGAAAAATCATGTAGAAGCTGGTGAAATTAGTTCACTGAAACCAAAAAGGAATGACATACATGTCTGTTTTCCAGCTCAAGGTGTGAGATGAAAAAACCATGACACTTTCTTCTACCAAATGAACAGACTTGACTCAACCAACTCCAACCTTACACACACTTTCTACAAACAAATAAACTGACTTAAACCAACTCCAACTTTACTCAACTCAAAAGTAGAAATAGTGACGTTTATTTCTTACGATGCAAAACAACAAAAATAGTTTATTTACAAAAATGGCAACGATATTTATCAAATACTGACAATAAATTATCTACATGTAACATGAATAAAAAATAAACCTTTTATTATCACTAGCTTTGTCTCGCATGCTGCCTGTCTTTAAGTATTTAACAGAGTTTTGTCTGCTTCATTTGTCCTGACATCTGACATTTTCAAACAACTCCAAATTTTAAAAATCCCTTACACCCAAGTTATAAACCATCCTTGAGAATGTCCACAAACAATTTTCTGACATCTCTAAACCATCTCACAACTTGATAGAGAGCCTACACCTTCATCACTTAATGGAATGGATCCACTTGCTGCAAGAAGGATTCAAACCATCAGTCACTCAGCCAATATGATGGAGCACTGACTACAAACCAGTTGAAACACAATTTTTTTTGAATCCATTCATCTCCCCTACCTTTGACTACAAAATCTCATCAGAAATCTCCCACTTGAGCAGAGTTTGTTATCCAAACTTCTGGGAGAAACACAAAGTCTGGATTTAGTTGAAAGTGTAGTCATGTGTGGGGTCAGAAGGTCACGGACAACGTATCCAGAGGTCACAAGATCAAGGTCAAATCCAGAGGTCACAAGATCAAGGTCAAATCCAGAGATCACAAGATCAAATCCAGAGGTCACAAGATCAAGGTCAAATCCAGAGATCACAAGATCAAGGTCAAATCCAGAGGTCACAAGATAAAAGTCAAAACCAGAGGTCACAAGATCAAGGTCAAATCCAGAGGCCACAAGATCAAGGTCAAATCCAGAGATCACAAGATCAAGGTCAAATCAGAGGTCACAAGATCAAGGTCAAACCCAGAGATCACAAGATCAAATCCAGAGGTCACAAGATAAAAGTCAAAACCAGAGGTCACAAGATCAAGGTCAAATCCAGAGATCACAAGATCAAGGTCAAATCCAGAGGTCACAAGATCAAGGTCAAATCCAGAGGTCACAAGATCAAGGTCAAATCCAGAGGTCACAAGATAAAAGTCAAAACCAGATGTCACAAGATCAAGGTCAAATCCAGAGGTCACAAGATCAAGGTCAAATCCAGAGATCACAAGATCTAGGTCAAATCCAGAGGTCACAAGATCACGGTCAAATCCAGAGGTCACAAGATCAAGGTCAAATCCAGAGGTCACAAGATCAACAAATCCAGAGGTCACAAGATCAAGGTCAAATCCAGAGGTCACAAGATCAACCAATCCAGAGGTGAGAAGGTCAAGACCTGGCAAAGCTCTTGAGGCTGTACATGAAGTTCTGGCAGCGCAGCTGGACAGCGAGGTCTGTCATGAAGGTGTTGATGACCGAGTCCTTCTCGTTCTTCTTGCTCTCAAACACAACTACCAGCCAGATTCGCACGTCCACGCGGGTGATGAAGTAGGAGCTGTAGGGTCTCTGGGGATGGGAGCAGGGGTGATGAAGTAGGAGCTGTAGGGTCTCTGGAGATGGGAGCAGGGGTGATGAAGTAGGAGCTGTAGGGTCTCTGGAGATGGGAGCAGGGGTGATGAAGTAGGAGCTGTAGGGTCTCTGGGGATGGGAGCAGGGGTGGGGAAGGTTGACATACATACATACAGAATCCAAGTTTTGACACAATGTCTATGCACATTTATAAATTTAACTCTTTAAAGAATAAAAAGACAGTTCTAATTTAAATATTTAATAGAAAACACATGCAAATGGGACAGTAGTTGGCTAGTAGAGTTCCTGACTGCCAACCCAAAAGTTTGAGTTCAGATCCTGGGATTAAGTCTGTAGGACATCCCTGAGTCCACCTGACTGTGGTGGGAAAGTTAAATGTGCACAGACCTGAACACACAATTCCTTTATGGCAGAGGTCACAGAATCAGATGACCTCTACTTCATCTACCATACAGGCAGGCCTGAAATGGCAACTTTTGTTTTCTCTACTTGTTGATAATAAAGAATTTAAAAAATCTGAGACTTAAAACATGAACAAATAGGGCGGACATGTCTGACAGTTGGCAGAAGGAAAATTTAAAATTATTTATTTTACACCTGGCTCAGGATTTCAGGTCAACTTGACATTTGTTGACCTTGACCTCAACCACTGACCTTTTCTGTGGGCTTGTCATAAAAATAATGGAGTTTATCAAAACTGTTTTCTGTTGAGCTGAGTAGCATGACCAATGCAGGCCAATGGATGGCATTGATGGATCTTTCCTGGAGGTCAAATCATAACAACTGTTTACGCAGTCAATTATTTATTGCACTAAACATAACTAAAGATCAGTAGTTTAATTGTTTAGTCCACTAATAAATAATTGTTAAATAATTTTGGCATTTACAACAAATTATTTTTCTTTTTAAGATATAATTTTTCTGTTGAAGCAATTTTGTTGTGCTCACCATGGGGTATGAAAATATGGGGGGGTAAGTGTCCATCCCCTGGGTGGTCTCTGCGTACTTGTTAGGGTGGTGGTAACCCCCCTCACCCACACGACTGCTCAGACCTTTGGCCTCTAGGATGAGGTAGATGTTGGTGGCGTCTGACTTTCTCTGAAAGGCTTGCACCCTGCAACATGTTCGTTCAAATTTCTAGTCAATCTTATAAAACTTTTTTTTTTAAACTAAAATCATTTGGAGAGCTATTGTTTTGTTACATGTTTAAAAATCTAAGTTCCACGCTTACTTTCCAAAAAAATCTTCTGGAGCTTTGGCGAGATTTGCTTTCATCTCTGCTGGGATGGTTTGCTTAGACAGGACATGATAGAAATAGAAACCAAACTGGGAAGAAATGTTTTAGACATGAGAGAAACACCAAACAAGATGGGAGACTTGTAGCTTTCATTTAAAACTGGCTGCAATTTCACACTCCATATAAAATGTGACTAACTTAATTAAACAAACAGAAAACAACTGTTTTCATGTCCAAAAAAATGTGTTGAAATTGTAGAAATACCTTTGATAAAAGGATTCCCTTAAGTTTTAGCAACCAGGCATGTAGTGGGGGAAATGGGCTGGTTTTTCCAGAAGTTCTGCCAAATGATGATTTTACCTGCAAATTTAAAAATATCATCACAGTAAATTATAACTTGCTTTTGAAAATTGTAAAAATGGGGTTGTAAAGAGTGGGTTCATCTTGCTTTAGGTGTAAGGGAGGGCCAGAGAGAGAGACTGACCTCTTTGACTGGGGTCATCTTGCCCCAGGTGTTGAGTTTGCTGTGCGCCAGGTGTAGCTGGAGAACGCTGGCTAGGTAGTCCCAGGTGGAGATGTGGATCTGGGCGTGTAGCAGGTGACACAGGCTTTCAACCTCCAGGCTGGGGGGAAAAGTTTTAAATCATTGGGGGACAAGTTTTAAATCATGTCAGACTGGGGGGGGACGGGGGGGGAGAGTTTTAATTGTCAGAATGGGGGGGGGGGGTGGAGAAAAAAAAGGCTAAAAGAAACGTGTGGTGTGTTAACCCCTATGTGTAGTGCAACTAAACCATCCCTACCTGAAGACAGCTTTGAGCGAGGCCACCAGGGGATGATGGAAGCCCTTCATGTGGTCCTTCATGATCTCCTCAGCCATCATGACCAGGTCCTCAAAGCTCATCCAGTTCCTCATCCCTCCCAGGCTGGACAGCTGCTCGTAGCTGCAGTCTGCAGTTAAGTCAAAAACTCAAGGACATTTCCGCAGTCTGCAGTTAAGTCAAAAACTCAAGGACATTTCCGCAGTCTGCAGTTAAGTCAAAAACTCAAGGACATTTCCGCAGTCTGCAGTTAAGTCAAAAACTCAAGGACATTTCCACAGTCTGCAGTTAAGTCAAAAACTCAAGGACATTTCCGCAGTCTGCAGTTAAGTTAAAAACTCAAGGACATTTCCGCAGTCTGCAGTTAAGTCAAAAACTCAAGGACATTTCCGCAGTCTGCAGTTAAGTCAAAAACTCAAGGACATTTCCGCAGTCTGCAGTTAAGTCAAAAACTCAAGGACATTTCCGCAGTCTGCAGTTAAGTCAAAAACTCAAGGACATTTCCGCAGTCTGCAGTTAAGTCAAAAACTCAAGGACATTTCCGCAGTCTGCAGTTAAGTCAAAAACTCAAGGACATTTCCGCAGTCTGCAGTTAAGTCAAAAACTCAAGGACATTTCTGCAGTCTGCAGTTAAGTCAAAAACTCAAGGACATTTCTGCAGTCTGCAGTTAAGTCAAAAACTCAAGGACATTTCCGCAGTCTGCAGTTAAGTCAAAAACTCAAGGACATTTCCGCAGTCTGCAGTTAAGTCAAAAACTCAAGGACATTTCCGCAGTCTGCAGTTAAGTCAAAAACTCAAGGACATTTCCGCAGTCTGCAGTTAAGTCAAAAACTCAAGGACATTTCCGCAGTCTGCAGTTAAGTCAAAAACTCAAGGACATTTCCGCAGTCTGCAGTTAAGTCAAAAACTCAAGGACATTTCCGCAGTCTGCAGTTAAGTCAAAAACTCAAGGACATTTCCACAGTCTGCAGTTAAGTCAAAAACTCAAGGACATTTCCGCAGTCTGCAGTTAAGTCAAAAACTCAAGGACATTTCCAGTCTGCAGTTAAGTCAAAAACTCAAGGACATTTCCGCAGTCTGCAGTTAAGTCAAAAACTCAAGGACATTTCCGCAGTCTGCAGTTAAGTCAAAAACTCAAGGACATTTCCGCAGTCTGCAGTTAAGTCAAAAACTCAAGGACATTTCCGCAGTCTGCAGTTAAGTCAAAAACTCAAGGACATTTCTGCAGTCTGCAGTTAAGTCAAAAACTCAAGGACATTTCCGCAGTCTGCAGTTAAGTCAAAAACTCAAGGACATTTCCGCAGTCTGCAGTTAAGTCAAAAACTCAAGGACATTTCCGCAGTCTGCAGTTAAGTCAAAAACTCAAGGACATTTCCGCAGTCTGCAGTTAAGTCAAAAACTCAAGGACATTTCCGCAGTCTGCAGTTAAGTCAAAAACTCAAGGACATTTCCGCAGTCTGCAGTTAAGTCAAAAACTCAAGGACATTTCCACAGTCTGCAGTTAAGTCAAAAACTCAAGGACATTTCCGCAGTCTGCAGTTAAGTCAAAAACTCAAGGACATTTCCAGTCTGCAGTTAAGTCAAAAACTCAAGGACATTTCCGCAGTCTGCAGTTAAGTCAAAAACTCAAGGACATTTCCGCAGTCTGCAGTTAAGTCAAAAACTCAAGGACATTTCCGCAGTCTGCAGTTAAGTCAAAAACTCAAGGACATTTCCGCAGTCTGCAGTTAAGTCAAAAACTCAAGGACATTTCTGCAGTCTGCAGTTAAGTCAAAAACTCAAGGACATTTCCGCAGTCTGCAGTTAAGTCAAAAACTCAAGGACATTTCCGCAGTCTGCAGTTAAGTCAAAAACTCAAGGACATTTCCGCAGTCTGCAGTTAAGTCAAAAACTCAAGGACATTTCCGCAGTCTGCAGTTAAGTCAAAAACTCAAGGACATTTCCAGTCTGCAGTTAAGTCAAAAACTCAAGGACATTTCCGCAGTCTGCAGTTAAGTCAAAAACTCAAGGACAATACCACAGTCTGCAGTTAAGTTAAAAACTCAAGGACATTTCCAGTCTTCAGTTAAGTCAAAAACTCAAGGACAATACCGCAGTCTGCAGTTAAGTCAAAAACTCAAGGACATTTCCACAGTCTTCATTTAAGTCAAAAAAACTCAAGGACATTTCCGCAGTCCTCAGTTAAGTCCGTGCTTTGATCAAAGCTTGCAATTTTTTTTTGCTATTCTAAGGCGACTTAAGACATTTATAAATTCTATCAGGGAAATAAATATTTAAATTGATGGTGAAGCTTAAACTCGTTAAGCATAATCAACTAATCTTCAATATTTAACTTCAGTGTTAAAATTTTAGTTCTTGACAAATGCTACAAGAAGGCAGCCCTGCCTATGTAGCTGTAGGACAACTACCCCAGCTACTGGACAAAGGATACAATTCTATCATCTTCAACCTGGCGCGCACGAAGAAGAAAAGCTGGCCACTTATATGGGCAAGTAACTGATCTGACTCATTGACAGGCTTACTCTCCCCTGACTCTAAGGGCAGAGAACCAGGGGAGAGAGAGTTCTCCATGCGCTGGAACTCATGCAACAACATGGAGTAAATGGACTTGGCACTCTGAAATAGGAATCAACATAGAGTAGATGGACTTGGCACTCTGAAATAGGAATCAACATGGAGTAAATGGACTTGGCACTCTGAAATAGGAATCAACATGGAGTAGATGGACTTGGCACTCTGAAATAGGAATCAACATGGAGTAGATGGACTTGGCACTCTGAAATAGGAATCAACATGGAGTAGATGGACTTGGCACTCTGAAATAGGAATCAACATGGAGTAGATGGACTTGGCACTCTGAAATAGGAATCAACATGGAGTAGATGGACTTGGCACTCTGAAATAGGAATCAACATGGAGTAAATGGACTTGGCACTCTGAAATAGGAATCAACATGGAGTAGATGGACTTGGCACTCTGAAATAGGAATCAACATGGAGTAGATGGACTTGGCACTCTGAAATAGGAATCAACATGGAGTAGATGGACTTGGCACTCTGAAATAGGAATCAACATGGAGTAGATGGACTTGGCACTCTGAAATAGGAATCAACATGGAGTAGATGGACTTGGCACTCTGAAATAGGAATCAACATGGAGTAGATGGACTTGGCACTCTGAAATAGGAATCAACATGGAGTAGATGGACTTGGCACTCTGAAATAGGAATCAACATGGAGTAGATGGACTTGGCACTCTGAAATAGGAATCAACATGGAGTAGATGGACTTGGCACTCTGAAATAGGAATCAACATGGAGTAGATGGACTTGGCACTCTGAAATAGGAATCAAGCATCAGTTTAAAGCTTTTAATGGTTTTTTTTTTTAATTTAAAGTTTAAGGGTCAGCCAAATTTATTTCATTAGGAAGTCTATACAACTCTCACTAAACACTTATCAAAATATTTTTGTTTTTATATTTCCTAAAAGATTAAGTGTTTTTGTCTGCATATTTAAAAAAAAAAGAATTTCTTAGCTAAAAATAATGATTTTGTATGAAAGTTTCATAAAAAAGTAATGTTCAGTCATACAGGATTAGTTTTTTAATCTAGCAAAAAGTGTGTTACAAGTGACAAAGTGAACTGACAAAAAGTCTGTGGTACAAGTAACAAAGTGAACTGACAAAAAGTCTGTGTTACAAGTGACAAAGTGAACTGACAAAAAGTCTGTGGTACAAGTGACAAAGTGAACTGACATCTTTAGAGCGCACAATCTGTGTGAACCTCTTCTGTCCCAGGAAAACAAGGTTGTTGTAGTTCTTCTCTGCTATGGCCAGCTGTGACAGGCACTGAAGAGTTTCTCCCCAGAAGGCTGCGTTGCTGAACTTGTGCCCATCTTTTTCATTATCCTGCAGGGAAAGATAACTCACTTTAAAGCTATTGTTTCATTATCCTTCAAGGAAAGATAACTTAATTTAAAGCTGTTGTTTAATTATCCTTCAAGGAAAGACAACCCAGTTTAAAGTAAATTAAAGCTATTTTTTTTAGCCAGTTACAAATGCAGCCTTAGGTTGGCTTGATAAAACCAACGCAAATATTCAATGAAAATATGGAATTTATTTCAATAGTTTATTCTACATCTGATTTCACATACTTTCTAATGCTCTAGTAATTGTGTAATTATAAAGTTTCTTAAAATAATTAGGCTCTTATTCATAGAAAATACAATTATTCTCATTAATAATGTAATGCAAATTACTTCACTGATTTACTCAAGACTTCATATGAAACAATTCCAATGAATACAAGATATTTATTCTGTCAGAGTTTGTACAAGATATTTATTCTGTCAGAGTTTGTACAAGATATTTATTCTGTCAGAGTTTGTACAAGATATTTATTCTGTCAGAGTTTGTACAAGATATTTATTCTGTCAGAGTTTGTACAAGATATTTATTCTGTTAGAGTTTGTACAAGATATTTATTCTGTCAGAGTTTGTACAAGATATTTATTCTGTCACAGTTGAATTTGCTTATGATCAACACAGCCACAGCCCAACAATCTACTTACCACACCACCTACTCACCAAACCAAAAATCTACTGACCACACCATCTACTGACCACACCATCCACTGACCACACCATCTACTGACCACACTATTTACTGACTTACTGACCACACCATCTACTGACCACACCATCCACTGACCACACCATCTACTGACCACACCATCTACTGACCACACCATCTACTGACCACACCATCTACTGACCACACTATTTACTGACTTACTGACCACACCATCTACTGACCACACCATCTACTGACCACACCATCTACTGACCACACCATCTACTGACCACACCATCTACTGACCACACCATCTACTGACCACACCATCTACTGACCACACCATCTACTGACCACACCATCCACTGACCACACCAACCCTCTACTACCACACCATCTACTGACCACACCATCTACTGACCACACCATCTACTGACCACACCATCGACTGACCACACCATCTACTGACCACACCATCGACTGACCACACCATCTACTCACCACACCATCTACTGACCACACCATCCACTGACCACACCATCTACTGACCACACCATCTACTGACCACACCATCTACTGACCACACCATCTACTGACCACACCATCTACTGACCACACCATCTACTGACCACACCATCAGCTGACCACACCATCTACTGACCACACCATCTACTGACCACATCATCTACTGACCACACCATCTACTCACCACCAGTTCCTTGGCCTTGTCGTAGTTGGCTTGACTGACCAGTACAAAATAATGTTCTAGAACAGATTCTTCATGTGAGATGGACGGAGAAGCTGGGTAATTTAGGACAGACTCTCTGGACGACATCCCTATAGCCTGACCCAGGGGAAAACAAAAACATCAAACATATACATCCACATAGATATTTAATAAATCTATTCACATATTTTGTTACATATATATATGTATTCCATCATAAAGGATCAATGTGTGGTAAAATCATGTTGAATTTGATATAATTGTTACTATTTTACAATACTTGCATTATTCTAACAAATAAAGATATTTTCATTGTAAAAGAGACCAAAATATGCATCGTTAATTATTTAAAATCATGGATGGTTAACATTTTAGATGGGACATTAAGTGTTGGGTAGACTGAATTAGATGGGAGACAGAATTAGATGGGACATTAAGTGTTGGGTAGACTGAATTAGATGGGACATTAAGTGTTGGGTAGACTGAATTAGATGGGACATTAAGTGTTGGGTAGACTGAATTAGATGGGACATTAAGTCTTGGGTAGACTGAATTAGATGGGACATTAAGTGTTGGGTAGACTGAATTAGATGGGACATTAAGTCTTGGGTAGACTGAATTAGATGGGAGACAGAATTAGATGGGACATTAAGTGTTGGGTAGACTGAATTAGATGGGACATTAAGTGTTGGGTAGACTGAATTAGATGGGACATTAAGTCTTGGGTAGACTGAATTAGATGGGACATTAAGTGTTGGGTAGACTGAATTAGATGGGACATTAAGTCTTGGGTAGACTGAATTAGATGGGACATTAAGTGTTGGGTAGACTGAATTAGATGGGACATTAAGTGTTGGGTAGACTGAATTAGATGGGACATTGTTGAGTAGACTGAATTAGATGGGACATTGTTGGGTAGACTGAATTAGATGGGACATTAAGTCTTGGGTAGACTGAATTAGATGGGACATTAAGTGTTGAGTAGACTGAATTAGATGGGACATTGTTGGGTAGACTGAATTAGATGGGACATTGTTGAGTAGACTGAATTAGATAGGACATTAAGTGTTGGGTAGACTGAATTAGATGGGACATTAAGTGTTGGGTAGACTGAATTAGATGGGACATTAAGTCTTGGGTAGACTGAATTAGATAGGACATTAAGTCTTGGGTAGACTGAATTAGATGGGACATTAAGTGTTGGGTAGACTGAATTAGATGGGACATTAAGTGTTGGGTAGACTGAATTAGATGGGACATTAAGTGTTGGGTAGACTGAATTAGATGGGACATTAAGTCTTGGGTAGACTGAATTAGATGGGACATTAAGTGTTGGGTAGACTGAATTAGATGGGACATTAAGTGTTGGGTAGACTGAATTAGATGGGACATTAAGTGTTGGGTAGACTGAATTAGATGGGACATTAAGTCTTGGGTAGACTGAATTAGATGGGACATTAAGTGTTGGGTAGACTGAATTAGATGGGACATTAAGTGTTGGGTAGACTGAATTAGATGGGACATTAAGTCTTGGGTAGACTGAATTAGATGGGACATTAAGTCTTGGGTAGACTGAATTAGATGGGACATTAAGTGTTGGGTAGACTGAATTAGATGGGACATTAAGTGTTGGGTAGACTGAATTAGATGGGACATTAAGTGTTGGGTAGACTGAATTAGATGGGACATTAAGTGTTGGGTAGACTGAATTAGATGGGACATTGTTGGGTAGACTGAATTAGATGGGACATTAAGTGTTGGGTAGACTGAATTAGATGGGACATTAAGTGTTGGGTAGACTGAATTAGATGGGACATTAAGTGTTGGGTAGACTGAATTAGATGGGACATTAAGTGTTGGGTAGACTGAATTAGATGGGACATTAAGTGTTGGGTAGACTGAATTAGATGGGACATTAAGTGTTGGGTAGACTGAATTAGATGGGACATTAAGTGTTGGGTAGACTGAATTAGATGGGACATTAAGTGTTGGGTAGACTGAATTAGATGGGACATTGTTGGGTAGACTGAATTAGATGGGACATTAAGTCTTGGGTAGACTGAATTAGATGGGACATTAAGTGTTGGGTAGACTGAATTAGATGGGACATTAAGTCTTGGGTAGACTGAATTAGATGGGACATTAAGTCTTGGGTAGACTGAATTAGATGGGACATTATGTGTTGGGTAGACTGAATTAGATGGGACATTAAGTGTTGGGTAGACTGAATTAGATAGGACATTAAGTCTTGGGTAGACTGAATTAGATGGGACATTAAGTGTTGGGTAGACTGAATTAGATGGGACATTGTTGGGTAGACTGAATTAGGACATTAAGTGTTGGGTAGACTGAATTAGATGGGACATTGTTGGGTAGACTGAATTAGATGGGACATTGTTGGGTAGACTGAATTAGATGGGACATTGTTGGGTAGACTGAATTAGATGGGACATTAAGTCTTGGGTAGACTGAATTAGATGGGACATTAAGTGTTGGGTAGACTGAATTAGATGGGACATTAAGTGTTGGGTAGACTGAATTAGATGGGACATTAAGTGTTGGGTAGACTGAATTAGATGGGACATTAAGTGTTGGGTAGACTGAATTAGATGGGACATTAAGTGTTGGGTAGACTGAATTAGATGGGACATTAAGTGTTGGGTAGACTGAATTAGATGGGACATTGTTGGGTAGACTGAATTAGATGGGACATTAAGTCTTGGGTAGACTGAATTAGATGGGACATTAAGTGTTGGGTAGACTGAATTAGATGGGACATTAAGTCTTGGGTAGACTGAATTAGATGGGACATTAAGTCTTGGGTAGACTGAATTAGATGGGACATTATGTGTTGGGTAGACTGAATTAGATGGGACATTAAGTGTTGGGTAGACTGAATTAGATAGGACATTAAGTCTTGGGTAGACTGAATTAGATGGGACATTAAGTGTTGGGTAGACTGAATTAGATGGGACATTGTTGGGTAGACTGAATTAGGACATTAAGTGTTGGGTAGACTGAATTAGATGGGACATTGTTGGGTAGACTGAATTAGATGGGACATTGTTGGGTAGACTGAATTAGATGGGACATTGTTGGGTAGACTGAATTAGATGGGACATTAAGTCTTGGGTAGACTGAATTAGATGGGACATTAAGTGTTGGGTAGACTGAATTAGATGGGACATTAAGTGTTGGGTAGACTGAATTAGATGGGACATTAAGTGTTGGGTAGACTGAATTAGATGGGGCATAAAGTGGTCGATGGACTGAATTAGATACAACAAACTGAATGAAATAAAAGATGTATTCCTAGTAGAGCTCACACATACAAAAAAAAATCAGATTATATACTTTTGAATCCTCAACAACATTTTTAGCAAGCTCTGTTAACATTTATGGAACTAAAGATGAAATGTAGCCCTTATTCAATGTTTTAGCCAACAGTGAGTGACAGATACTAGGGATACATGAGGTATAGACAATAAAAAGTGTCCCAAACTTGATAATTTAAGCAGGGTCACTGTGCTATATGGTGACAGACTAACTACAGTTGTGACAAGTAACTGGAACAAGTTTACACTTGTGTCACTGTGCTATATGGTGACAGACTAACTACAGTTGTGACAAGTAACTGGAACAAGTTTACACTTGTGTCACTGTGCTATATGGTAACAGACTAACTACAGTTGTGACAAGTAACTGGAACAAGTTTACACTTGTGTCACTGTGCTATATGGTGACAGACTAACTACAGTTGTGACAAGTAACTGGAACAAGTTTACACTTGTGTCACTGTGCTATATGGTAACAGACTAACTACAGTTGTGACAAGTAACTGGAACAAGTTTACACTTGTGTCACTGTGCTATATGGTGACAGACTAACTACAGTTGTGACAAGTAACTGGAACAAGTTTACACTTGTGTCACTGTGCTATATGGTGACAGACTAACTACAGTTGTGACAAGTAACTGGAACAAGTTTACACTTGTGTCACTGTGCTATATGGTAACAGACTAACTACAGTTGTAACAAGTTTACACTTTACTTTCAGGAAAACAAAATGATATCCTCTAATAAAAATAGTAAACCAATAAGAAAAAATTGACAACAAGAAAAAATGACAGTCACTAACAGAGTTGGTGTTAGTAAACAACAGAGAAAACATGCTAGTACAAACTTAATGGATAAACAACAATCAAACAATGAATGCAATATTTCTATCTTGGCTCAGAATTAAACCAACTTCGCTGTTGTTTATACAATTGTATGCAGAACATTCAAGAAAGTGATGCTAGTTATATGTATATAATGATATGTTTGTTATATTATAGTGTTAACATTGTTGGATGCTTTGTTTGTTATATTTTAGTGTTAACATTTTTGAATGCTTTGTTTGTTATATTTTTAGTGTTCACATTGTTGGAAGCTTTGTTTGTTTAGTTTACACAATGTTAAGTTTGATGGATACTTATTGAACCTCGAATTTTATACATTTTCATTGTGTGCTAAGTTTTGAAATGTCAATAATAAATGTTTCCAGAATATTCTGGAATAAATTAAATATTTTAAAATGATAATATTTCTGCAAGGAAAAAATGAAATAATTTTTAATAGTCCTAGGATTTACTAAGAAATAAAATATTACTTTGGATTCCTGCTTTAAAAATATGATCAAGCTGATGAATACAACATAGATTATAACAAAACTACTCATATTGATTAACCCAGGTGTAAAATATACTATTGCTACAGCTATAGGATATAGTTTAATTAACAAGTTATTTAGGAGAAATGGCTTTATTTTAAATTATTTAAATTAAAATTACCATTTTTATTTCTAAGTTATTTATTATCTTGTTTTAATGTTGCGAATTTAACAAACAGAAATTATATTATTATATACAGTTAAAAAAACAACTATTATAATGATTTTGCCTAAGTGATAAAATTATAGTATGAAAGAGTATCCTCTGAAGCATTATTTTTCAAGAAATAGAAACAAACATTTAAAATTGAATTTTTAAAAAGTATAAACATGTGCAAATACTTCTTTTAATGGGAGATAAACAAGACAAACACTGAACAAGAGTTAAGTTACCTAAATGAAGTTTCCAGTGATGTAAATAAAAACTATCTGTAATGTAGGAAGACTTGACAATAAATGAATTTTCACAACAATTCCGAGTAAGAACTAACATCATTTAAATGGTTGTCATTCCACTACTCCAGTAAGTATTAATATTATTTAATGTCTTTTAAATGTAACAACAGTATTGAATGCTTATCTTTCTACCAAATATTTAAATATTTGTAAAAAAAATTATCTGGCCAGTTAAACAATACATAACTAAGTCTCAAGTGTGATTAGATGGTAAACAAAAGTTTAAATAGGTGGTGATAATTTTTTAGCATTTTCAGATAAATTTTATTTTATTCTGAAATTATGTTTAATTTTCAAGGTAGGTTGTTTAACATAATGTCTATAATAATACAAAGTACCTATCCTCTATTCTCAATAGAAAACCTTTTATATTTAAAAATAAAGAAGAAAGTCATAACTTTAATGAATGTGAAAATGAGGTTTAAAAATGGTTACGTACCAAATCTCTAGGGCTAGGGTCAACTAGTGCCCATTTGTTCCCTTTCTTGGACCTGATGAAAAGGTGGTTGTATTTTAATTGTAATATAACTGGTCTTAAAATCTCTTACGTGATATAACATTAGAAACATTAACTCTACTTTTGTATAATACTTATAGAGGTTAAGTGTGTAAATCACACTTTTGATGAAAGTTAAGTCATGGTCAACTGTAGTATAGTCATATCTACAAGTAACAAATAAAGATTATTATAATGTAAAAGAGCTTGTCGGAAGAGATTATAATTATTTTATAGTGACCCGACAGGTTTTCACTAGTGTTGTGGCTGTCTCTGCATTAAAAACTGAAAGCCACCTCTCCCACTTCAATTCTGCAACTGTATCAAAATAATTTAAATGCTTTAAGTAGCTGGTATCATCTGTATTCCTACTGAACAATACTTTAAAAAAAAAAATTATTATTTCTATAGACTATCTATTTTTTAATGTGATACACTTATATAACAAAATCACATTGCATGTTTTAAAAATAAATTTATTTAATGTTCACCTCTAGGCCATATACGCCCTATTATTATTGCTAGGCCTAAAGTTACAGATACCCTTTTGATTCATTTTGAACTGGGTGGTCTATGTGGCTGACGATGTAAAGAGGGGTTGGAACTGGCATTGTAATGATAGCCAATAGATATGCAAATATTGTTATATGAATGACAAAGGTATGCACTGGTATGTAATATTATAAGCTATTAACATAATGTAGGCTACATAGAGTTCACCTGTTTCTGTGACCTTGGCATATAGATTCTAAAGGGATAGTGGAGTTAGCACTATGTCCAGCTGTCTTTACTTTCCTAATGTCAGTCAGGTACCTATTAGTGCTGGCTGAGATGTCTTTACTTTCCTAATGTCAGTCAGGTACCTATTAGTGCTGGCTGAGATGTCTTTACTTTCCTAATGTCAGTCAGGTACCTATTAGTGCTGGCTGAGTGTTTACTTTCCTAATGTCAGCCAGGTACCTATTAGTGCTGGCTGAGTGTTTACTTTCCTAATGTCAGCCAGGTACCTATTAGTGCTGGCTGAGTGTTTACTTTCCTAATGTCAGCCAGGTACCAATTAGTGCTGGCTGAGTGTTTACTTTCCTAATGTCAGCCAGGTACCAATTAGTGCTGGCTGAGTGGTCCTCCAGTACAGACTCAAGTGAGCCTAAGATCAAAACTTGAGACAAACATTTTTTGTCTTATGTGTTTTTTAATAGTTATTTTATTATAGGGCCCTATTTGAAAAGTTGTCAAATGTAGTATGTGTTACGTCCAGGTTTAGTTTAACGCAGAAAATGATTTGTGACAATCTTCTGTACTTTATTTGGTCTCAACTCTCCACATAACATGAGATCACACTAGTTGAGGGGGAGGGGGGGGTCTGTAATTTTGTGACAATGTGTGATAAAGAGGAGGGGGGTTCAGATGGTGGGATGTCACACTTTTTCATTATTAAAAAGCAATGTTAGAAAACGAATTTTAGCCGTTATTTAGTGTTTTAGAAAACTGTTTTAATAAATGTAATAGGAATTGATTAAAATACTCTGTTGACAGAGTTCAGACAAGATTTTGGAAAAAATATCCTATTTTAAGAAAAATTCAACTGCAATTTTGAGGGGGGGGGGGGGTGGTAGGCTGAGATGTGACATCATTTTAGGGTCTGGTTTTTTGTGACGTTGTGTGATGGAGGGGGAGGTAAAAATTATCACAAAAAAAGCGTGACTTCATTTAAGGATAACCTCTAGGCAGTAGAATCTAGATCTAGTCAATCTAGTGTGGTCACGTAGTATAGTTTAGTTATTAGTAATATTAGTAGGATTAGTTGATTCGTTTGGAACTTTCAGGTTTTTACTTGAGGATGATAGATCTACTATTTTAGTTAATTTTAGTTTATTTTAGGGTTATTCTTTTCATTTTAAATGTTCAATTAGGCTAAATAAAATGTAGGGCCTAGATCTAATAGTTTGGACCCAAAATCAAAAAGACAAAATGATGCTGCATTTTACATTTTAATTGCTTTTTTAACCAAACGACCTAGAAAATAAAAAAGCCATAAAAAATATAAATGACGAGGAAAGAGTCGAGATCGTCAGACCTGATGATCGCATTTTAATAATTTAATAATAATGAAATTTAATATGATGATGATGTATGAGAGAAAATTATATAGTATATAGATTTAGCTATGTTAAGGACAAACATTTTCAAATTCAACTGCGTTTGTAATTTTAAAAATATCCTAAAATAGTGCTAGACTAGATCTAGATTGTCTTAGTACTAGTACTAAAGCTCTTCGAAATAAATCAGGATCTAGAGTCTAGATTCTAGACTGTGAAAAAAGTTGTTATCGTTGTAGCTCTTCAATATGAAAACATTACTTTTACACTTTAGTCTACTTTATTCTTTTCGCACCAAATTTGGGCCCATACTTTTTAAATGTTACTTTTTGTAGGCTACATTAGTACATAGAATCATAGATCTATCTAAATTCTAAATATAAGAATACAATTAAAAATAAATTCTAGATCTAATCTAGATCTATATTATAATCTAATCTGATCTAATCTATATCTGGAATCTAGTCTAAATCTAGATTCAGATTCTAGTTAGATCTAGATCTAGATCTAGACTCTATAATTTTTTAATGTTATGAAAAGTTTTTTGATCTTACCGGAAGTCTCAAAGGCGCGTCCCTGTTAACCAAACTTAAAAAAGGAAGTGTGAATGAAATACATACATATTCTATCTAGATTTGATCTAGATCTAGTCTATATTCTAGTTCTAGTCCCATTTATTTAGTTCTTAAATTGTAAACGATGATATGGCAAAAAGAAAAGAGAAAATCGACAAAGACACACGTCTTTTGATAAAGCTCGTAACAGGTTTTCAGGTGAATTCCTCCGTGACTGACTCTTCTCTAGATTTCTACCTTCTCAGTCACACTGTTGTTTGTCACTGTACTTCTGCAGTGACTAGTCACTTGATTCTTCCTTCTTACTTTTCTAAGTAGCAGAATCTAGATCTAGTATCTTACTTTCCTTACCTAATAACACCAAACTAACTACTTTGAAAAAAAATTTGCAGTGTAGCTGCTACTATTTCTTTGATAAATAGATTCTACTTAGAAAAAAGTTTAGGATTAAATTTGATATTGAGTACTTTGTTTTTAAGGAAAGAGATGAAAATTTTCATTTATGTCTGACGTTTGCTGATTCCAACTTCAAGTACCACAGATACCTCAGTCCTGACAGCCATAAGATTCGTCGTGCTGTTGATGGGTCAGATATTTTTTTAAAATCCTGGCTTCCATTTCATTGATTATACTTAACTCTTCTTAGATGAAGTTTTTCCAAAAATTTCAAAAAACCAAATGTATTTTTCAGATTATGCGAAAAATTAGAAATTCACTCACAAAAGCAGAAAGCTACAGATTTAAGGGAGTTAACTCAGGCTTTTTTAGCCCAGCCAGGGCTTGATGGAAGGGATACTGGAGAGGTTTTGTACAGTTTTTTCTTCTTGTTGAAGGAAATTAGATTAGATTGTCTGTTACCTTTTGTTTTGTTTTAAATACCACAGTAAATTAAAAATTTGCTTAGTAACATCAGTAAAAAAAAATTTTAAATGTAGTTAGTAATTGCTGTTATGTGTATCTACTATCTAGTTAGTAATTGCTGTTGTGTGTATGTGCTATCTAGTTAGTAATTGCTGTTGTGTGTATCTACTATCTAGTTAGTAATGGCTGTTGTGTGTATCTACTAATTGCTGTTGTGTGTATCTACTATCTAGTTGTAAAGGCTGTTGTGTGTATCTAGTAATTGCTGTGTAACTGGTTACACTTGTAAACTTCAGACAGATGTTCACTATGCCCTGCTGTCTTTGTTGCTGGAGTTGTCTCACTCCCCAATACAAACTGATTTTCAAAGAAAACAGAAGGAAATAAAACCTGGTAAATATTTCAAATATTTCTGTCACTCCTCACCAGTTATTAACATTTTTAGCTGGGAATTTTCTAAATGCTACATTGACCCCAACTTTTAGCCGAGAGATTGAGATATTTCTAAATGCTACCCTGACCCCAATCTTTAGCTGGGAGATTTCTGAATGCTACACTGACCCCAACTATCACTAACATAAATTGTCAGATCTGCTAGTTCTTAACTGTAAACAATGTGAATGATCTGATGAGTTTGATGGTTGTTGTGTTAGAATAAAGTTTGTAGATTATGATTTTTTTTCTTCACCATTTTATTTCTTGCTGACAGAGGAAGTTGATGACTTTGATTGGAGCTCATACTTGTTACAAGACATCAACAGGAACTTTTGTTCCTATGCTGTAAGTTTGACACCCTTGTTTTGTTGGGTGGTGTAAATTTACTCTTTTAAACTTCAAAGTAAAAAATTATAATAATCCTTAAAATTCTTAGAATTTTTTAAATGATTAAAGCTATTTTTTTTATTTAAAAACTATTCTCATTTGGTGTAAGGTTAGTTTTTATTTAATCTGTTTCATAATTATTATTTTTTTATTGTACATATTTTTTGAATCACTGTTGGTGCTATATTTAATTTTGTAGTCAAGTAGTTGTGATGAATCTGACGAAAGCCTGTCTGAAGAATCTGATGAAGAGAAAGCAAATGAAGAAGATGAAGCTGACCAGAAAAGGTTTTTGTTTACAATTTTTCTCTCACCTGACTAACCCATTGTTTAGTTTTTGTTTACAATTTTTCTCTCACCTGACTAACCCATTGTTTAGTTTTTGTTTACAATTTTTTCTCACCTGACTAACCCATTGTTTAGTTTTTGTTTACAATTTTTCTCTCACCTGACTAACCCATTGTTTAGTTTTTGTTTACAATTTTTCTCTCACCGGACTAACCCATTGTTTAGTTTTTGTTTACAATTTTTCTCTCGCCTGACTAACCCATTGTTTAGTTTTTGTAAGTCTTTCTGCAGCACATTCTGAATCTCAGTTTTAAAATGTACCCAGCATGATTCAATAGTTCTCTCAGTGTTTGTATTAACTTGTTAATGAGGATGTGTTTGTTTGTTGTGTGAATCAGTGATACTAGATTTACGGTTTCTATTTGCAGTGCAATCAGAGAAGCTGAGAGAACAGATGAGGCTTATGGTCAGCAGTCATGTCTAAGATCAGTCATACAGTCACATGTGTCCTCAGTCACCTCGGCTGTCCATCATATGACTGTCAGTGATGAGTACACACAGCTGGAGCAGATGCTAGTCACAGAATACTGGAGGGGGAAGGGGAGGGAGGAGGATACAGCAGGGAGTCATGCCGCATCTAATCTAGCCAGAGACTGGTGAGGTTTTAGCTAGTCAGAGACTGGTGAGATTTTAGCTAGTCAGAGACTGGTGAGGTTTTAGCTAGTCAGAGACTGGTGAGGTTCTAGCTAGCCAGAGACTGGTGAGGTTTTAGCTAGTCAGAGACTGGTGAGGTTTTAGCTAGCCAGAGACTGGTGAGGTTTTAGCTAGTCAGAGACTGGTGAGATTTTAGCTAGTCAGAGACTGGTGAGGTAATAGCTAGTCAGAGACTGGTGAGATTTTAGCTAGTCAGAGACTGGTGAGGTAATAGCTAGCCAGAGACTGGTGAGGTTTTAGCTAGCCAGAGACTGGTGAGGTTCTAGCTAGCCAGAGACTTGTGAGGTTTTAGCTAGCCAGAGACTGGTGAGTTTTTAGAGAGCCAGAGACTGGTGAGGTTTTAGCTAGCCAGAGACTGGTGAGGTTTTAGCTAGTCAGAGACTGGTGAGGTTTTAGCTAGCCGGAGACTGGTGAGGTTTTAGCTAGCCGGAGACTGGTGAGGTTTTAGCTAGCCAGAGACTGGCCAATGTAAGCCAATGATCTGACCCCTGGCCAGCCTATGTCAATGTAAGCCAATGATGTCACTCTTGTCTGACCCAGGAACTGTTACCTGTCAAAACTGAACGAGTTTCACACTCCAAGGTCACAATGTGTCATCACTGAACCTCAGGTCATCAGGGAGGTCCTGTGGTAAGTTTAGGGAGGTCCTGTGGTAAGTTTAGGGAGGTCCTGTGGTAAGTTTAGGGAGGTCCTGTGGTAAGTTTAGGGAGGTCCTGTGGTAAGTTTCTTTATGGAGGTCCTGTGGTAAGTTTAGGGAGGTTCTGTGGTAAGTTTAGGGAGGTCCTGTGGTAAGTTTAGGGAGGTCCTGTGGTAAGTTTAGGGAGGTCCTGTGGTAAGTTTAGGGAGGTCGTGTGGTAAGTTTAGGGAGGTCCTGTGGTAAGTTTAGGGAGGTCCTGTGGTAAGTTTAGGGAGGTTCTGTGGTAAGTTTAGGGAGGTCGTGTGGTAAGTTTCTTTATGGAGGTCCTGTGGTAAGTTTAGGGAGGTCCTGTGGTAAGTTTAGGGAGGTCCTGTGGTAAGTTTAGGGAGGTCCTGTGGTAAGTTTAGGGAGGTCCTGTGGTAAGTTTAGGGAGGTCCTGTGGTAAGTTTAGGGAGGTCCTGTGGTAAGTTTAGGGAGGTCCTGTGGTAAGTTTAGGGAGGTCCTGTGGTAAGTTTAGGGAGGTCCTGTGGTAAGCTTAGGGAGGTCCTGTGGTAAGTTTAGGGAGGTCCTGTGGTAAGTTTAGGGAGGTCCTGTGGTAAGTTTAGGGAGGTCCTGTGGTAAGTTTAGGGAGGTCCTGTGGTAAGTTTAGGGAGGTCGTGTGGTAAGTTTCTTTATGGAGGTCCTGTGGTAAGTTTAGGGAGGTCCTGTGGTAAGTTTAGGGAGGTTCTGTGGTAAGTTTAGGGAGGTCCTGTGGTAAGTTTAGGGAGGTCCTGTGGTAAGTTTAGGGAGGTCGTGTGGTAAGTTTCTTTATGGAGGTCCTGTGGTAAGTTTAGGGAGGTCCTGTGGTAAGTTTAGGGAGGTTCTGTGGTAAGTTTAGGGAGGTCCTGTGGTAAGTTTAGGGAGGTCGTGTGGTAAGTTTCTTTATGGAGGTCCTGTGGTAAGTTTAGGGAGGTCCTGTGGTAAGTTTAGGGAGGTCCTGTGGTAAGTTTAGGGAGGTCCTGTGGTAAGTTTAGGGAGGTCCTGTGGTAAGTTTAGGGAGGTCGTGTGGTAAGTTTCTTTATGGAGGTCCTGTGGTAAGTTTAGGGAGGTCCTGTGGTAAGTTTAGGGAGGTCCTGTGGTAAGTTTAGGGAGGTCCTGTGGTAAGTTTAGGGAGGTTCTGTGGTAAGTTTCCTTAGGGAGGTGAAATGTATGAATGTGTCATGATTTAATTTAATTTCAGGATGTTAAGTGGAGTGAAGGATCTGTTTATTTTTAAATTCAATGGCCAAGAATTCAGCCTCAACCCTGATGTTTACCTTATGCACTTGACTAATGTGAGTTATCTTCTCTTCTCTTCAACATACTCTGCTTCCTTTCTTGAGTATAAAAACAGTTTCTCATGTTTTGTTTTTTTATGCATATTTATTTGATGTAAGAAGAAAAATTGTGACAATTTCTCTTACAATGTTGTTGCTTATAACTAATATATCTGTAAGATAGTTCTACTTAAAAGCTAGTTTTATGATCTTATGATTATTTTTGACTGAGTAACTAATGATGTTTCTATTGTTGCCAGGAATGACTAATGATGTTTCCATTGTTGCCAGGAATGACTAATGATGTTTCCATTGTTGCCAGGAATGACTAATGATGTTTCCATTGTTGCCAGGAATGACTAATGATGTTTCCATTGTTGCCAGGAATGACTAATGATGTTTCCATTGTTGCCAGGAATGACTAATGATGTTTCCATTGTTGCCAGGAATGACTAATGATGTTTCCATTGTTGCCAGGAATGACTAATGATGTTTCTATTGTTGCCAGGAATGACTAATGATGTTTCCATTGTTGCCAGGAATGACTAATGATGTTTCCATTGTTGCCAGGAATGACTAATGATGTTTCCATTGTTGCCAGGAATGACTAATGATGTTTCTATTGCCAGGAATGACTAATGATGTTTCCATTGTTGCCAGGAATGTCTGGAGAGCTGTATGAAGCCACTGATGCGTAAAGCCAGCCAGGTTGCTTCCCTGCACAGTTTTGTCTCCGACATTGTCTCCCAGATCAGCAGCGCCATCTTGTGTCAGGGGCCCACGTCCACGGGGCCCGTGGGGGTGCCACAGACGTACCAGGCCTTTGCCACATGTGTCTCAGAGTTCCTCTCACAGTACAGGGGGGAGCTGGTCAGGATTGAAAAGAATGTTCTAGAACAAGGTAAGACTTAAGCATGTTCCTTAACTTTAGATCATATGTCTGTATGATCTCATTACTTGAATGTTTGCTGTCTAACGCTCTACCACTCTGCCCCTTATAAAATATTTTTTAGATGACCTTATGACCCTGGCCAAGCTGACCTCTGACCTTGAAGCTTGGCATGACAAGGTTCAAACAGTCCACAGTATCTACATCTCTGGGGTGACCTCTGCCTCCAGCCTGTGCCAGACTACCCAGGTCAGCAACTGCTTCAAGTCAGCCCTGCTGCTGGACGTGCTGTACCAGGCCGTCTTTGAGGCGGACATGATGTCACTGACTGACACCACTGACAAGGTAAACTTTCTCTTGTGCTGGTTGCCTACCTGGTGGGGGGAGAGGGGGGGAACTTAAGTCAAGTTAAATATATGTAGCTAGGTATATAAATAAGGGAGGTAATTTTACAACTAAGGGGAGGCAACTTTATTTTTCTGTTAGTCTCTGCTCACATTAAAGATGTTGGTCAAGACGAGCCAGCCTCTCCTGGAGATGACCAGTGAGTGGATCAACAATGGTCAGTTGTGTGACTCGGCTGGGGAGTTTGTCATTCAGAGGTTTGTTGGGGCATAGGGGCATTTTATGTTGGGGCATAGGGGCATTTTATGTTGGGGCATAGGGGCACTTTGTGTTGGGGCATTGGGGCACTTTGTGTTGGGCATAGGGGCACTTTGTGTTGGGGCATAGGGACACTTTGTGTTGGGGCATAGGGGCACTTTGTGTTGGGGCATAGGGACACTTTGTGTTGGGGCATAGGGGCACTTTGTGTTGGGGCATAGGGGCACTTTGTGTTGGGGCATAGGGGCACTTTGTGTTGGGGCATAGGGACACTTTGTGTTTGGGCATAGGGGCATTTTTTGTTGGGGCACAGGGGCACATTGTGTTTGGGCATAGGGGCATTTTTTGTTGGGGCACAGGGGCACATTGTGTTTGGGCATAGGGGCATTTTGTTTTGGGGGGTATGAACAGTTTGTGTTTTGGCATTTGACCTTGATACTATTTGATATCACTGAGTCCACCCAGCTCTAATGGGAAAGTACAGGTGGCTGAACATGGTGCTGACCACACCATCCCTGCTTATGCTCAAGTCAAGAAATATGAACTCTACATTATCTGCCCTATGGATCTTAAAATGGAGCATTACTTTTTTTCACTTTACTGTGCCAGTCACCGTAACTTTTAGGTACAACAGCTGGGTGGATCAAATTTGACCTCTGTAGATCTTCTTTACTAAATTATCAAACCTCTGGTTTTTTACATTTCTGTGCTATTTCCTTTTCAGAAACAAAGAAATCAAATCTCTAGATGAAACATTTTGGGAGAAGGCTTTCATTTCAAACCTGCACCCTAGTCCCAACCAGACTTCTAGTTCTGAGCCTGCTGTTGTAGATCTGAACCCTGGGGCCAACAACCCTGGGGCCAACATCCCTGGGGCCAACATCTCTGGGGCCAACATCCCTGCCACTGCCCACAAGAACTATCAAAAGCCAGACTCCACGGAGTACATAATAAAAAATGGACCAAAACTTCTGCAGCCAATTTTGGCTAAAGTTATCCTGACTGGCAAGTCAATGGAGATGCTGGAAAATCTGGGCAGGCTGGGAGAAGTTCAAGACATCAGTTTTAGAGTTTGTAAGACAAGATTATATTAGAAGTTCAAGACATCAATTTTAGAGTTTGTAAGAGAAGATTATATTAGAAGTTCAAGACATCAGTTTTAGAGCTTGTAAGACAAGATTATATTAGAAGTTCAAGACATCAGTTTTAGAGTTTGTAAGACAAGATTATATTAGAAGTTCAAGACATCAGTTTTAGAGTTTGTAAGAGAAGATTATATTAGAAGTTCAAGACATCAGTTTTAGAGCTTGTAAGACAAGATTATATTAGAAGTTCAAGACATCAGTTTTAGAGTTTGTAAGAGAAGATTATATTAGAAGTTCAAGACATCAGTTTTAGAGCTTGTAAGACAAGATTATATTAGAAGTTCAAGACATCAGTTTTAGAGTTTGTAAGACAAGATTATATTAGAAGTTCAAGACATCAATTTTAGAGTTTGTAAGACAAGATTATATTAGAAGTTCAAGACATCAGTTTTAGAGTTTGTAAGACAAGATTATATTAGAAGTTCAAGACATCAGTTTTAGAGTTTGTAAGACAAGATTATATTAGAAGTTCAAGACATCAGTTTTAGAGTTTGTAAGACAAGATTATATTAGAAGTTCAATACATCAGTTTTAGAGTTTGTAAGACAAGATTATATTAGAAGTTCAAGACATCAGTTTTAGAGTTTGTAAGACAAAATTATATTAGAAGTTCAAGACATCAATTTTAGAGTTTGTAAGACAAGATTATATTAGAAGTTCAAGACATCAGTTTTAGAGTTTGTAAGACAAAATTATATTAGAAGTTCAAGACATCAGTTTTAGAGTTTGTAAGACAAGATTATATTAGAAGTTCAAGACATCAGTTTTAGAGTTTGTAAGACAAGATTATATTAGAAGTTCAAGACATCAATTTTAGAGTTTGTAAGACAAGATTATATTAGAAGTTCAAGACATCAGTTTTAGAGTTTGTAAGACAAAATTATATTAGAAGTTCAAGACATCAGTTTTAGAGTTTGTAAGACAAGATTATATTAGAAGTTCAAGACATCAATTTTAGAGTTTGTAAGACAAGATTATATTAGAAGTTCAAGACATCAGTTTTAGAGTTTGTAAGACAAGATTATATTAGAAGTTCAAGACATCAGTTTTAGAGTTTGTAAGACAAAATTATATTAGAAGTTCAAGACATCAGTTTTAGAGTTTGTAAGACAAGATTATATTAGAAGTTCAAGACATCAATTTTAGAGTTTGTAAGACAAGATTATATTAGAAGTTCAAGACATCAGTTTTAGAGTTTGTAAGACAAGATTATATTAGAAGTTCAAGACATCAGTTTTAGAGTTTGTAAGACAAGATTATATTAGAAGTTCAAGACATCAGTTTTAGAGTTTGTAAGACAAGATTATATTAGAAGTTCAAGACATCAGTTTTAGAGCTTGTAAGACAAGATTATATTAGAAGTTCAAGACATCAGTTTTAGAGCTTGTAAGACAAGATTATATTAGAAGTTCAAGACATCAGTTTTAGAGTTTGTAAGACAAGATTATATTAGAAGTTCAAGACATCAGTTTTAGAGTTTGTAAGACAAGATTATATTAGAAGTTCAAGACATCAGTTTTAGAGTTTGTAAGACAAAATTATATTAGAAGTTCAAGACATCAATTTTAGAGTTTGTAAGACAAGATTATATTAGAAGTTCAAGACATCAGTTTTAGAGTTTGTAAGACAAGATTATATTAGAAGTTCAAGACATCAGTTTTAGAGTTTGTAAGACAAGATTATATTAGAAGTTCAAGACATCAATTTTAGAGTTTGTAAGACAAGATTATATTAGAAGTTCAAGACATCAGTTTTAGAGTTTGTAAGACAAGATTATATTAGAAGTTCAAGACATCAGTTTTAGAGCTTGTAAGACAAGATTATATTAGAAGTTCAAGACATCAGTTTTAGAGTTTGTAAGACAAGATTATATTAGAAGTTCAAGACATCAGTTTTAGAGTTTGTAAGACAAGATTATATTAGAAGTTCAAGACATCAGTTTTAGAGCTTGTAAGACAAGATTATATTAGAAGTTCAAGACATCAGTTTTAGAGTTTGTAAGACAAGATTATATTAGAAGTTCAAGACATCAATTTTAGAGTTTGTAAGACAAGATTATATTAGAAGTTCAAGACATCAGTTTTAGAGTTTGTAAGACAAGATTATATTAGAAGTTCAAGACATCAATTTTAGAGTTTGTAAGACAAGATTATATTAGAAGTTCAAGACATCAGTTTTAGAGTTTGTAAGACAAGATTATATTAGAAGTTCAAGACATCAATTTTAGAGTTTGTAAGACAAGATTATATTAGAAGTTCAAGACATCAATTTTAGAGCTTGTAAGACAAGATTATATTAGAAGTTCAAGACATCAGTTTTAGAGCTTGTAAGACAAGATTATATTAGAAGTTCAAGACATCAATTTTAGAGTTTGTAAGACAAGATTATATTAGAAGTTCAAGACATCAGTTTTAGAGTTTGTAAGACAAGATTATATTAGAAGTTCAAGACATCAGTTTTAGAGTTTGTAAGACAAGATTATATTAGAAGTTCAAGACATCAGTTTTAGAGTTTGTAAGAGAAGAATATATTTTTATAGAACCCTTTTGTGCATGAATTAAAAGACATCAGGAAATAGCAAAGTAAATATTTACACTTACAACCTAGCCTAAACTAACAAAGTTCTTGCTTATTTCTAAAGTCAGTACCATTAACATTTCACTTTTTTACTCTAAACAGTTGAGCGGCCTTTAACTCTTTATGAACATTTTGTGCAAGATTTGAAAGCCAAGCTGGAGATTTGTGAGACTCCAGTGGTGCAGGAGATTCCCCCACCCAAGGAGATTATGTACCAGGTGATTTGATGCATTTACCTACCATCATGTTGACTGTTTCTTTTGTCTTGATATGTACCAGGTGACTTGATGCATTTACCTACCATCATGTTCACTGTTTCTTTTGTCTTGATATGTAGCAGGTGACTTGATGCATTTACCTACCATCATGTTGACTCTCTTTTGTCTTGATATGTTCCAGGTGACTTGATGCATTTACCTACCATCATGTTGACTCTCTTTTGTCTTGATATGTTCCAGGTGATTTGATACCTACCATCATGTTGACTCTCTGTTTCTTTTCTCTTGGCTCTTCTAATGTTTAAGCATTTTTCCTTTCAAACTGTTGGCACTTGTCAAATAAAAACAACAACAATGTAAATAATAAATAATGTACTAAGTGGTTCATTAGTAAACTCAACTCCCTCAGTCAATTTGCCAGCTGTTAATTTTAATTTGTTGATGTGTAATCAAATAGTTGGTGTGTAGTTAAATAGTTGGTGTGTAATCAAATAGTTGGTGTGTAATCAAATAGTTGGCATGTAATGAAACAAATAGTTGGTGTGTAATCAAATAGTTGGTGTGTAATCAAATAGTTGGTGTGTAATCAAATAGTTGGTGTGTAATCAAATAGTTGGTGTGTAATCAAATAGTTGGTGTGTAATCAAATAGTTGGTGTGTAATCAAATAGTTGGTGTGTAATCAAATGGTTGGTGTGTAATCAAATAGTTGGTGTGTAATCAAATGGTGTGTAATCAAATATTTCCAAAACTGTTTCCAGGATAAGCAGGTGAGAAAACAGCTGCAGATTAAGGGTGACCTTGACCCACTCCTGAACATCAACTTTTCTGGCCTGTTTTCTCATGAGAAATCAACAATGAAGAAACAAAAATCCGAACTGTAAGCTCATTGTTTTAAATAAGTGACTAACACACTTAATTAAATGACCTGCCTGTATAAGCTAATTAAATACCTGTATCTTTAAGCAGTTCTAACTTTTAAAATGGGGGACTAATGTTTTAAGCTTACATAATTTTTAAATTAATCATGTTACACTTTAGTGTAACCAATTTAATAAAATGTAAAATTAAATTAAAAGTTACTTTAAATAAATTAAACCAAGTTCCTATTCTTCTTCCATATTTTTCTGGAGGTTTTTCAACCTAGATCCACCTCTAACTGTTGCATTAAATGGCATTTTATTCAGAGACTGAATGACATTTTATTTAGAGACCAAATGACATTTTATTCAAAGACTAAATGACATTTTATTCAGAGACTAAATGACATTTTATTTAGAGACCAAATGTCATTTCATTCAGAGACTAAATGAGATTTGAATCAGTAGCTTTTGCTTCAAGGTGTTGTTGCTGTGTATAAACTACAAAACTTGTATTTTGTTCAGGAATCTGCGAGGCACCAACCGTGGCATCACGCCGCTGCTCAAATTGTGTGAGGGCTGCTTGTACCCACATATCAGCTGCCGCTATCAGACTGTCTGTCTGAAACTTGTCCACATCCTCAAGACTGAGTACCACCTTCTGGACTGTCTTCAAGCTATGCAGGTACAAAATGGCACCCATCATATTTTTACCTGCTGTGGCAGGTACACACAGCACCCATCATATTTTTACCTGGTGTGGCAGGTACACATAGCACCCATCATATTTTTACCTGGTGTGGCAGGTACACATAGCACCCATCATATTTTTACCTGCTGTAAACCTGTGGCAGGTACACATAGCACCCATCATATTTTTACCTGCTGTAGCAGGTACACATAGCATCCATCCCATTTTTACCTGCAGTAACCTGTGGCATGTCTGGGCCCTAGAGTTTTGATCCCAGGCCTGAGAAAACAGGACGCCCATAGCTAGTCCATCCAGCTCTGATGGGCCACTTTGCTGATGTAAGCTTTTAAAATCCACCTCGCTGTAAGGATAGAAGAAGTTATATTGATTGTATCAGACAGTATTATTTTTTTTTTTTTTATGCAGTAGTTTTCTTACAAAATTGTTACATTACAAAATACCTCAGGAAAAAATATATATTTTGAGATAGATTGTTTAGTTTGTCATTTTAGTCTGAATCCCCGTATCACTTCAACTGAATGTTGCACATCACAGACGGCTGAATGTATCACTAACTAGCAAAATTGTCTCTAGGTAAATACTTTCAATTTGTTTTTTAACAATTTTGTTTTGTTTCCAGAGATACTACCTCATGTCTTCAGGGGAGCTAATGTATGACTTCTACACACCCATTTTTAAGAAGGTGAGAAAACAGTGTTTTAATAACTTTACATTAAAGTAAACTGTAAAGTTATCTCCCTTATTGTCTAAACCGAAAATTTGAATCTTGCAACTGTTGGTTTTCTCCTTGGTCTGTAAGGAAAAATATTTGGGTGCTGAAAGTATTGAAGGTATCCCCAAACTGCTGCTCTAATATGGTGTTGACTCAATGTTTTTCAACTGACAGATAGAAAGCAGAGAAGACTGGCGAGATTTTTCTCTGCTGGAGATTTATTTACATGAAGCTGTGGCATGCAGGCACCCTAAGGACATATCCAGGTGAGGCATTTAGCTGGGGCACCCTAAGGACATATCCAGGTGAGGCATTTAGCTGGGGCACCCTAAGGACATATCCAGGTGAGACATTTAGCTGGGGCATCCTAAGGACATATCCAGGTGAGGCATTTAGCTGGGGCATCCTAAGGACATATCCAGGTGAGGCATTTAGCTGGGGCATCCTAAGGACATATCCAGGTGAGGCATTTAGCTGGGGCACCCTAAGGACATATCCAGGTGAGGCATTTAGCTGGGGCACCCTAAGGACATATCCAGGTGAGGCATTTAGCTGGGGCACCCTAAGGACATATCCAGGTGAGGCATTTAGCTGGGGCACCCTAAGGACATATCCAGGTGAGACATTTAGCTGGGGCATCCTAAGGACATATCCAGGTGAGGCATTTAGCTGGGGCATCCTAAGGACATATCCAGGTGAGGCATTTAGCTGGGGCATCCTAAGGACATATCCAGGTGAGGCATTTACCTGGGGCACCCTAAGGACATATCCAGGTGAGGCATTTAGCTGGGGCATCCTAAGGACATATCCAGGTGAGGCATTTACCTGGGGCATCCTAAGGACATATCCAGGTGAGGCATTTAGCTGGGGCACCCTAAGGACATATCCAGGTGAGGCATTTACCTGGGGCACCCTAAGGACATATCCAGGTGAGGCATTTAGCTGGGGCATCCTAAGGACATATCCAGGTGAGGCATTTAGCTGTGGTGTAACACTACACCATATATACCAGGTGAGGCATTTAGCTGTGGTGTAACACTACACCATATATACCAGGTGAGGCATTTAGCTGTGGTGTAACACTACACCATATATACCAGGTGAGGCATTTAGCTGGGGCACCCTAAGGACATATCCAGGTGAGGCATCTAGCTGTGGTGTAACACTACACCATATATCCCAGGGTGTAACACTTACCATATACCTGCCACAACTACCTCAAATAACACGGTCAGGTGAGAAGAAAAAATCTTATCCTAGTCCTGATGATCTTCAACAGGTTGTCTATTGAGGTGTTGACTGGGTTACAAGAGAGGACCCCCATCTCAGTCACTGATTGCATACACTTGAAATACAATGTAGGTCTATTCAAAGTACAATTTAGAAAAAAAAAGGATGTAGAGTTACATACTTCTAATTTATTTGTTTAAAAATGTAGGTCATTGAAAAAGAAAGTAATTTTTGAGTTATGTCCCTTATACCACTCAATGAAAACAAATCATAAATTAAAATTTTTTTTAAACCCCAAATGTTTACCTTCCTCTTAATATACAATATGCATCACTTTATATATTTTATTTATATATATATATATATATATATATATATATATATATATAAATAAATATACATATGTATTTATATATTTATATATACATAAATTAAAATTCTAAATCTATATTTGCTTCACTTTCTTGAAGCCTGTACCATGCAGCACATAATACATAAATTTATAAATTGTTATTATTGAGAGTGCTAACAAAGTGTTGTTATTTATATTTTTCAGGTTCCATGGCCAGTGAATGTTGTCATATCAGGAGATTGTCAGTTACTCTACAACAACATATTTTCATTTCTAATCCAGGTTTTTTTTTTCATTTCTACTCTAAGTTTTTATTTTAAATTGTTTTTTATCATTTGGTTCTTATAACTTGTAGCTAAGCACTACTAAGCAGATACTTGTAGCCCTGTATCACCACTGAGCAGATACTTGTAGCTCTGTGTCACCACTGATACTTGTAGCTCTGTGTCAACACTGAGCAGATACTGTGTCATCTTTGAGTAGATACGTGTAACTCTGTGTGTGTCACCACCTAGCAGATACTTGTAGATCTGTGTGTGTCACCACTGATACTTGTAGCCCTGTATGTGTCACCACTGATACTTGTAGCCCTGTGTGTGTCACCACTGATACTTGTAGCCCTGTGTGTGTCACCACTGATACTTGTAGCCCTGTGTGTGTCACCACACCCCCAGTAACAATGTGTTTGTGTTAATTGACCAGGTGAAAAGAGCCAAGTTTACCCTGGATCAGCTGAGGTTTGAGGGTAAGTTAACCTTGACCTCACACCTTTCTGCATGTGTCTTTTTAATTGTCGGATTTAATTTACTCAAATTTTTAAAAATTAAAATAAACTTTTATAATTGTTAAAATAACAAGCTGTTATACATGCACTAAAAAGAAGAAGAAAAAATATTTTTAAAATGTAAATAATTTTTTTTTAAAGTTTGTGTTGCTATATTAAGTCCTAACTAAATTTTATAACACACACTGTTGTTTAGAATTGAAATACTGGTGCACTTTTATATATTTCAAACATTTAAATTTCTTCTTGTGCATTAAGCTTATTGGTGAAAACATTTCTTTTGTTCCTTAATGTGGTCTGTGTTTGTTACGACCTACCATTGTCTTATCCATGTCATACATGCAACGTTATCTTTAAATACTTTTTATCTATTCATTCCTTCATTGATCATTTCATTAAAAAACAAGCTTTTGAAAATTAAAATTGATGCTCATTAAAACATATTTAACTGTTAGCTTAAGGCAAAGAAATTAAACTTAACCTTTGACCCCAGAGATCTCCCGAGCGCAGAAAGTGAGCAGACACGAAGGGGAGACAATGCCCAGAGAGAAGAGGATCCACAGGTTTCAGCTCCTGAGGTTTCGACTGCTCTACTTCATCAACAGCTTACACAATTACATCATGACCCGCGTAAGTGGGTTTTTTGGGGGGGTCACTTCATCAACAGCTTACACAATTACATCATGACCCGTGTAAGTGGTTTTTCTGGGGGTCACTTCATGCGTAAGTGGGTTTTCTGGGGGGGTCACGTCATCAACAGCTTACACAATTACATCATGACCCGCGTAAGTGGGTTTTCTGGGGGGGGTCACTTCATCAACAGCTTACACAATTACATCATGACCCGCATAAGTGGGTTTTCTGGGGGGGTCACTTCATCAACAGCTTGCACAATTACATCATGACCCGCGTAAGTGGGTTTTCTGGGGGGGGGGGGGGGGGGCGTCACTTCATCAACAGCTTGCACAATTACATCATGACATGGGTAAGTCGGTTTTCTTGGGGGGGGGGGGTCACCTCTTCGTTACACAGTTATACATAACCTGTGTAAGTGGGGTTTTCTGGGGTCACTTTTATTTCTTGGGGTCACTTATAAATGAATTTCCCATTTTGAACCTGATGGTCCATGGGGCAAGTGAAGTAGAATTTACCAGTTTTCTGTGACCTGCATATGAAAGGATAGTGTGGTCAGCGCTATGCTCAGCTGCCTTTACTTCCCCTATCATGAGTTAGGTACCCATCAGAGCTGGGTGGACTGAGTTAAATGACCTGTGTAATTAGGCTTTCTTGAGGTCAGTAGTTTCGGTCAAGACAGTCAGTTAAAATGTCAGAAATTTTAATGAGGATTTTTGTTTTGTTGATTTATGATTTCATTTTGTGATGGGTCTCATAATTTACCCCTTTTTTGGTTTCTTTAAACCAATGTGCCTTATTTCTTGTCTCAGTTTCATTTCTGTCTTTCACTTTGTCTTATATTTTGTCTGTCTGTTTGAGTTGATATGTCTTATATTTTGTCTGCTTGTTGTCTGCCTTTCAGATACTCCACAGTAAAGGTCTTGAGTTTGCCACCCAGCTTGAAGGGGTCACTGACCTAGAACAGATCATCTCCATCCACCGTGACTACGTCAACGCCATCCATGAGCGCTGTCTGCTCCACCCCAAGCTGGCTTTCCTGAAGGAGGCCGTGATGAAGGTCTTGAATCTGGCCCTCACATTTGGTCTGCACTGGAGGCAGGGTGTGGATTTTTTCAGGTCAGTAGCTCATTGTTTAAGTAGGATGTTGATGGTGCTTGACTGAGTACCTCAACATTAAGACAGCCTCTTATCTAACTTGCACACCCCCCTGTGTTTCAGTGGAGATTCTATTGTGGAGATGGAGGTGGAGCTGACGCGCTGTGTTCATTTCCTGGCTGCCTTTTTAAACAATGTCATCAAACGCGGGTCTTTCCCACACTGTAAGTCTTGTTTACCATTCAGTGTGTTACAAGGTGGACGTTGGTCAGCCACCTTGACATTAACCAAACCTTAGCTTATAAAAAATACCCCCACATTAAGTTAACCAGCAATTATTTTTGTTACAGTGGAATCTCTGGCCTTTGCACTGGTGTCTTCACTACAGAATGTGACCAATGGATAGCACGCACACACATACAGACTTTTGTTATGGTTGTCTCCCTGTATCTATCATGATTTATTTTCTCAAGACTCAAATAAAATGTTCATGTATCTATTTTATTGTGTGGCGTTATTCCCTTGTTGCTGTAAAACTCTTGTTTAATAAAAACATTTGGGGGGGGGGGGGGGGTGGCTAGCTAGATGGCTGTACTGGTCTACACACACAACTTCCACACCAACAAGAAAAGAAAGCAACAATCCTCTCAATGGAACAGTATGTTTAATAATTGACTGCCCTCCCCTCTCTGCTAAACTTGATCTACTAGATGACATGAAGCTGGAGCAGCTGTGGGCTCCAGAGGTGGACAACACAGTGGACACAAGCCACACACCCATACCCTGGCTAATGGACAGTTGACCAACAGTAATGGCCTGACCTTGCTGACTACCATGAGTGACCACTGGTGTTGAGGTCATCTCTGGGACCCACGCCACTACTTTAGCGTACAGCACAAATAGAAATAACTAAAGAAAATGATACATAGATACAATGCTTGAGTTGACACACATCGAAGCAAGATGATTAGAAATGTTAACACAAAAAGGCTATACAATGTGACATAATGATTGACACAATATATAGGCTACCACAGCTAACTATTCATACCTAACTGTGCCTGGACTAACCAAATCTACCCCAACTGTGCCTGGGAATATGACAAAAGTTTTCAGTTTAAAGTACTCATTTTACTTGTCTTAATTTTCCTAAATTATCAGTCTCAAATATTTCACTTAAGACAGAATTTTGCTGTTTGTTTTACTTCCTAGTGTCCCAATGCTTATTAAAATAAAATAGAAACAATATTTAAATGCTGTAAAGCACACAGAAAAATAACTTGCCAAATGGCGGTGATATTTGTACAGGTAACTACATAGTGGATTACAATTTGACAAACTTCATCAACAAATATAAAAACAATCAATTGAACCTGGAGCTTGGCTAGAATCAGCACGTAACTGATCTCAACTGGAGAGTACACAATCACCCCAATCTTTTGGGTTTATACACCCCCCTGTTCAGCCAATGATTGTACAAGCTCCGAGGCTACACCCACTAGTGAACATCTATCAAACACTTTCAAACAATATTAACATGAAAAATATCCTATACATTAAGAATATCATTGGTTGCCATAGCAACCTTCATAAATGCTGATTGACAACAAAAAAATTTTTTTAGCAAATGACGCTATGCCAATGTAGTGAATGGTGAGTGACAATTAGAGAGGCTACACATAAATACATGCAAATCTTTACAGAAAAGAAAATAAAAGCTTCTCACTTGCGGTTTTCACAAAAAAATTAAATAATGATTATGGCAAAAAGGAGGAAAATTTTATGTATAGAAATTTTAAAGAGAAAAAAAAAGCAGATCAATTGAGTACATCAATTTAAACATTGAAAACTAAAGAAAGTCATACAAGGTTTACGACAATTTTTAAACAGATAAACAGGAAGTTTGAATTATAATTAAAATATTAAACAGATTAAGAAGAAATTTGAAATATAATGAACATATATATATCCTTTCTACAGAAATTGTATAACACCCTTTCATTTACTCTGTGTTTCAAATTTGAAACTCATTGACATTAATTAATTACACTAATTAACTAATTACACTTTTATGGTCATCAACTGACAACAGCACAAAATAAGACCAAAAATATCTGAGTGACCTTCAGTGCAGTGTCTTGTGAATGGCCCACAGCTGGTGTGGATGGCCCACAGCTAGTGTGGATGGCCCACAAGCTTGTAGAACAAATGGCAAATCTTACTTGGAATGCTATCAGAACTAAAAGTGTCTGTTTGAAAGTGATCTACTATGATATTGAATATCATGAATTTCTAATGTACAAGGACAAAAAACAACTTCTCTAAATTTAAAAATTTTAGTCTTTGTGATATGTTTAATACCTGAGTTTCTCTTAAAGGTTAGAAAGTGGTTTTGTACAGATTTGTTTCAAGTCTGTAAATGCCCCAAAACTTTAAAAAATGTCTGAAGCAAATTTTCTCTCAAGGACCTGACAAGAACCAAACAAGAGCCGTTGACAACCAGACTCACTGACCATAATTGGACACAGTAGTTCATGCTTGACCCTTCCATTTTACAGCAATTGTCGGCACACACAAAAATAAACTAGGCCAAACAAAACTGCCTGTAACTTAGCAACCAACTTGAACATTGGATACAAAATTATTTTTAAAAATATAAACAAAGCATGTAGAAAAAAGACATGAAATTTACAATCAAATTTTCAAAGCTGTCATATAATATACAAAGTTTCATAGCTATTAAATATACAAAGTTTCAAAGCTATCAAATATACAAAGTTTCAAAGCTATTTTGGTATACAAGTATCACACTGAATCCATTTATTATGGCCTGAGTGAGGGGGGAGGAGGTAAGAGGGGGTGGGGACAACTTAGCAACTGCTAACAACAGGTACAACAGAGTTTGTATAACAGAAAATGAAAGCCATTATTTAAATTTCAGTTTTAGGACCAGCCAATTAGCTATAAATAGCCAGTTATAAAGTAGCATGAATGGACAGTGACGAGGTAGTGGGTGAAAAATATTATGTCATTAGAAAAACAGTAGTCCATAATTTGATGAAATCAAGTTTTCCCATGAAACAACAAGAACACAATCTGTTTCATGAATGGGGATGTGAAATTATTCTCAATGCTGATTAGTTTTTACAAATTAAAAATGTTTCATAAATACTATGTTATGTAAACAGAACAGAAAACTGAACATTAAATTGGATCCAACCATTCTTCATCTCATGAGTCGAGGTACACTTGGAAAAAATTTTGAAAAATTGACTGATCTTAAACATTATGTTTCAAGTTAATACCAGAGTTTACTGAATAAAAGTTTCTGTGTAATTTTAACATAATGAATGCAATGAATAAAAGGTTGGTTTAAATAACAAGCTTTAGTGTTTTTCATTATTTTTCGTCTGAAAAACCAAGTTATAATATGCTTATGTTTCATTCCTGAGATCAGCAAGCCGCTACCATTTGAATTATGCAAATAAGTTATTAACAAGATAATTAATTAATACAGGTGATAAATTTGTGTTATTTGTTCTGAGATTTCCTTCTGCTTAAAAATTACAAAGCAATAATCGCAGAAGCAAACTTTAAAAGTCAACAATGTTAAAAAATGCTGAATGTACAACTAGTCATTTGATAGGCGGGATGTGGGCAAGCAATAGAAAACTTTTCTCAATGTACACAATTTGTGGCAGCATTTATATTTGATATCTAAATGATAGAAAAAGCTTTTATTAAAAATGAAACCTGAGGTCCAACAATTCCTGAGCTACAAAACTTGGTGAGTCAACATTGCACCAGAGATCAAATTTCTCAAGATTTTTTAGATTTCTGTTTTTAATGTATTACAAAGTGAAGGTGGCACAAAGGAAATCAAACAGATGCTCATCTCTAAACATGTGTGTAGAGTGAGATTAAAGACACATATTTACAAATAGTTCTATGGATCACCTGAGTTGTCTTTCCTGAGTTTAGATATATAGAATGCATTATCACTGCAGAAAGATATGCTTAAAAAAACTTGGGTTGACATTAAACATTGAATCTAGGCAGACAAACTAACAAACAACAGCGGAAACACGCAAGATTCAAATGGTGCAGAAATAAAATCATTAAAATTTTTTTCTAAATGCAGATTATTAAATTTAAATACTGTATCCAGAATTTGATATTTTCATTGGACTGATTTTAACAATAAAAAACAGTCTGAATGGGCATGAAAACAATTTTTTAATGAATATAGCTAAGGCTTGGCCATATTACTTTATAATTTGACAAAAGTCCATGCTCTGACAAGTTTTAGTTATATAGGATCTGTCATTTTGTTTTCATACAGATAGGAACTGTCATTTGTTTTCATATAGGATCTGTCATTTTGTTTTCATACAGATAGGAACTGTCATTTGTTTTCATACAGGATCTGTCACTTAGTTTTTTCTGTTCATTATATAGATAATCTTTATCAATTGGTTTATATCAATTCATTACAAAATGTTGAAACAATGCCCTAAACATGTAACAATCATTTAAGCAATATTAAAATGTAATGGCAAACTGTAAATACCTTTTTTCAAAATAATAAATAATACATTAAATTATAGATTTTAGAAAATAGGGAAAAGTATATTTACAATTTCCTGAGAGATTACTTACAATAAGTTTAAATGAAACAATTTGTTTCTTTTCAAAAAAATGTGAATTTTTGTTTTTAATAGTGCATTTAAAATTATCTGTAGAATAAAAACAGTGACTATTGACAAGAAACAAAATTGCAGTATAAAAAAATGCAGTAGAAAGCCTGAGATCTAATGCAAACATCACAAGCTGTCGCTCACTGGACTTTTGTTACCCGTATTGTCAGTACAAAATAAATAAATTTATTTGAAAGAAAAAATCTGTGGCTACAAGTTTGGTCAATCAAGTCTTGGACAAAATTGAAAGAAAACGTGTATACTAGTGCACCCGTATTCATGTAATGATGACTTTTGTAATACTGTCTCCACCAGCCTACTCTAGCCATGTATGATGGGAGAAACCAACTCAAACAGCTGGTGGTCAAACTGGCAACTTATTAAAAAGCTGGCAACATTGACTATTCTATTTTGAGGCTTGGCTAATGACCATGGGGCCAGTTAAATGCAGTTTTATGATCTAGAAACACATCATCTCATCTAGGGAGAGCCAGATGTAGCCAAGAACTGTAGCATCTAGACATACATTCATTTCAAAGCTTAGAAGCAAATGAACTGTTTGGCAGTGACTTAGATTAAAAAGGAATTTCACATGAAACATGCATATTTATTTTCAAAAAGAAAACATGAATTCAATGGCGTATAAAGCAATATATCCCTGCATTGTGGTCATATATAAATATACATAGACAATACTTGAGGTAGTTTTATAGGAAGAAAAGTTGTTTCTGAAAGTTTAGGTTTCTTTTTTTAAAACAAGTAACAATGTCTCAAGATAGTTACTATTTTCTTACAATTCTCATCATTCAAATATTTTCTCAAAAGTTTCAGCAGTATCATTGAACTGATCAAATTTTTAATTCAAAATTTTTACTTTTTAAACTGTGGCCAAAAATGAAAATCGAAGCTGAAGAGCAAGCAACAGTGTAAGCATGACAAAACTATATGATCCCATGAGGTAACAGCAGTGACAAGACATTCAAAGTTGAAAAATAATTCAACCTTACACAGCTTCATTACCCGTAGCATTATGCAAATTGGAAACGTTATCAGCATCTAAAAGTAGCTCTTGAAAGCCTTGAAAAGACAAGCAAGTTCAACAAAGGTCAAGATAAACAAACATTCCCTGATGATGATTATAGAAAACATCTGAAAGATCGGCCGTCAGCACAATGAAACAATTACAAATTCAGACAAATAGAATTAGAATCTCCTGCAAATACACAAACTATATCCAGTAGTTTTAACTACAGAATAGTATCTGAGAACATCGCCATCAAACAAAAACAATGTCTTCATCGTTAACACAACTTGTTATTTTAACCTCATGATACTATCTTTCAAATATATTGGCATTGTTTATTTCTCAAATATAATGGCTTTGTTCATTCTCAAGTATAATGGTCTTGTTTATTTTCAAATAAAATGGCTTTGTTCATTTTTCAAAATATAATGGCATGATAGATTTCTCAAATATAATAACTTCGAAAATTTCTCAAATAGATGGCTTTATTCTGTGAGTTTGGCCACAAGTCCTGCCTTGTTACCAAGTCCCAGGTGTTCAAGCAAGTCCTGCCTTGTTACCAAGACCCAGGTGTTCAAGCAAGTCCTGCCTTGTTACCAAGTCCCAGGTGTTCAGACAGGTGAACAGTGAAGTAGGTCTTGTCCTTGCAGTCCTCCCCACACACAGAGCACAGGAAAGGCCGCGTCATGTCGCACTGGTGGTACTTCTGGTGCAGGCGGAACATGGCGTACTCGGTGAAGTAGATCTCGCAGTAGCCGCAGCGGAACATGCGGCCAGCAGCCAGCAGGGACACCAGCAGCTCCTGCAGGTGGTGCTCGCTGATGTTGTTGGGGCTGGGGGCTGAGTGGGTGGAGTTGGCTGGGCTGCTGTGTGAGCTCAGTCCAGATGGGCTGGCATGGGGGTGGTGGTTGGTGCCATTGCAGGAGGGGCCAAGTGGACTTGCAGCTGGATGAGATGAGTGTGGACTAGGACAGCAGATATTTACTTGAGCTCCGAAGTCTTCGGTTGAGATTTTTAACTCAACTTTACTTTCAAACAACTTTTCCTGGTGCACGCCATTCTGGTTGGAGGCTGTACTCTGGTGTAGTTCAGCTTTTGGAGAGAAGTTGAAAATAAATGGGTTTGATTTTTCTCTTTTGATCATTTCTCCTGGTTCTTCTGCTTCCACTTTGATTTTAGGCTCTTGACTCCACTTTTTACTTGGGCTCACCCCATTCAGAACTTCGGGTTCTCTGCGCTGAACTTTCTCTTGGATTTGGCTATCTACATCCTCAAATGGGGATTTTCTTTTTCCCAAACTAAGATTCAGGGCATCTGATTGGACAGCTGGAGCTATACTTGAAGCATAAGCAGAGTAGCCCATGAGCTGATTGGCTGAGGTGTAGAACTGGTACAGATGTGGGGCCGCAGCAGCAGGGTAGGCAAACAAATTGGCAGCGGCCACGGCTGCCAGACTTCCAGACATGGCCTGGGTGCTCAGCTGACTGGGCATCATCCTAGGGGACAGGTTCTGGGGAGTGCTTTTGGGTGGGGTGCGTTTTCCCGTAGGGGTGCACTTCTCAGTCTCTGTCACAGGTGGGGCAGGTCGTGTGTAAGCTGACGTCTGCTCAGTAGGAGTCTTCCTGCTCTGTGTAGTGTAGTGTGAGCCAGCAGAGGGAGAAACTGTGCTTGACTTGCTGTTGACAGCAGGCCTGGATGAAGCTCCTGTTTGGTCGTACAGCACGTAGTCCAGCATTGAGTTCCTGGAGATGTTGTGACGACGTCCATGGCGGCGGAGTGTGGAGCCCCTGGTAAACCTGGCTCCACAGATCTGGCACTGGTACGGCTTGAGCCCCTGGTGCAGCTTCATGTGAGACTTCATGTTGTTCTTGTAGCCAAACCTCTTGTTGCAGATTGGACACTCGTAGGGTTTCTGGTCTGCATGCGCCCTCTCGTGGAAGCGGATAAAAGATTTAGCAAATGTTTTGTTACAAACTTTACACGTCTCTGTGTCTTCGTTAGCCAGGTCACCGCCAGCTAGGGAATCGATTTCGTTGGTTTGAAGTTTCTTCGTTGTCTGGTCAGAATGGTTGAGGACATCTGGCAAACTGTCTGCACTTCGGCGCTGCATCGACATATTTCTTTCCTTTGAATCTGCTTCCCCGTCTGACAGAGCTGAATTGTGTGGCAAGCTTGGGTTGTTCTCTGAGCTGTCCAAGAGGGGGAAGTACTTGAGGGAACACATCTCCTGCTTGGGCAGAGAGTGTTCAGAGATGAGGTGATCCTTCAGGGCCATAATCTCTTCAAAGGGCTGGCTGCACTGTTTGCACTTGTAGGGTCCCTCATTGTGGTGTCGCAAGAAGTGGATTTTAAGACTGTAAGCACAGTGAAACGCATTGGAACAAAGTGAACAGGCAAAAGATTTGGTCTGAGAATGGAGAGCCTCGTGTGCCTGGCGGGTGATCGTGTCAGAGAAAGATTTTTGACAGAACTGACAGACTAAAGGATCAAACGAGGGGCTTCTCTTCAGAGGTGCCTCACATCCATTGGACTTTTTATCATCATCATCACCGAGGTTGTCCTCATTGAACTGCTCTTCGTCCTCTTCTACTTCTTCCTCATCTTCCTCTTCATCATCTTCATCCTCCTCTTCATCATCAACTGGTTGCACTGACATGTACTGTTCTTGCGCTCGTTCAACCCTAGCTTTGTTGCTCCACAAGGGAGGGGGTGATGCAGATGGCATTTTTAGCCTGGCTCCAGATATGTTGGCTTTTGTGATCTTTTCTGGGCACTCTTCCTTGGGCCAATCCCGCTCATGACCTGATGCCCGTTCGTGGAGACCTGATGCCCGCTCATGATGACTTGACGCCCGCTCATGATGACTTGACGCCCGCTCATGATGACTTGACGCCCGCTCATGGTGGCCTCTGGTGAAGTCCTGTGGGCTGGCCCTGGACCTGTCCATCATTGTTCTATCTGGCTTGGTCTCGCCTGGCTCAGGTGAGCCGGGAGATCTGGGCGTGCTGTGTAAGGAACTTGTAGGGAACACGGGCGGCTGGGTCCTGATGCTGAAGTCAGCGCAGTATTTGGCCGTCAGGTCAACACCAGAGTCCAACACTTTGGACAAGGACGCTATGCCGAGAATAGAGCTGGGGTTGACGTGGTCTCGACCTTTGGAGGAGGGTGAAGGGGAGGAGGTCCATGAGGTGGAATCTGACTCTTTCTTTGCTTGGAGTGTGTTGCTGTTTTGGTCAAGGGAGGCTAGCGCAGCGGCTGATATGGAGTTGTAGAAATGGGAGCCGTAGTGTGCGTAGCTGTAAGCTGTAGCAGCACTTCGGGATGGACTCGTGCCTAGAGCTGTAGTGGCAGGGAAAGATGTGGGATAGGCTGGGTGGAGGGTTTGTGGAGGGGGTGATGCTGGGGTGGGGGCTGAGGGCAGACTGTTTCTCTCCTGGGAAACGGCCGACATGGAGGGATTAGCTGTACGTGGAGCAGACGGGAGGTTGCTGGAAACTTCCTTGTGCCTCTGCTGCTGCTCTTTCAGGGCTGCTGCGGCTGCCACTGCTGCAGCTGTGTTGTTTTCTTCATTTTTGGCCAGGCTGTTGGAGGCGCGGAGCAGAGGACATCGCCGCTCGTGATAGCGTCTGGTTGTGGATCTCGTGAAGACTTTGTTGCAGAACGTGCACATTCTAGACTTCCTGGGGAAGCCATTGCTGACGTAGTTGTACAATTCTGAGCCAAAGTTATAGGTTGGCATCTGGACTCCAGACAAACCGTAGGGAAATTCATTGACGTTAGGGTAAGCCATGGTTAGGGCCTGGTTGGTGGAGGTGGTAGATCTGCTGTAGGCGGAGCTCTCTCTCCCGATGCTCCTGTCTGACAACGATCTTGGAATGGCGTCGTAGGAAAACTCTGGACTAGACTGCGAGTTGGAGTTGACCCCCACACTACTCCTGGATGTGGACAAGGATGTGTAGCCAGGTAGTAGTCTGTGGGGGGCGGTGAGGTAACCTCTGTTGGCCATGGGTTTGGCCTGCAGATTCACAACGGTTTCTGCTACTGAAAAATCTGGGATTCCAAAGAGAGTGGTAAAGATTTTGTTTCGAAAATTGTCCAAAAAGTCCGATGATGTGTATAGAGCGTAGTTGTGGATTTGTTTGGGCAAGTTGTTCTCCTAGATGCATCTCGCATCATGCTGTCCTCTCATAAGTGCTCTGAAAATGTACAAAAAAATGGTTGAAGTTCTACTTTCATCTCAGTTTTTTTTTATCTTTTCAGTCTTAGTATTGTTTAAATGGTCAAATCAGTACGTAATAATCTTAAAAGCCGGTCTGAATATTCCATAAACGGTCTAAATTCTAAACCTAGCACAAACTTTAGCCAAATCCATATTTTATTTCTGAGCGATATTAAGTAGTAAACTAATAAACATGGCCTAAGTACAATAAAATATAGGATTAATGATTAGGGTTAGGATTAGGGTTTAGGGTTAGTGTTAGCAATGTATGTGGGGGCAGCTGACCGACTAGTCCCTCTTCTAATATAAAAAGTCACGTGATTTTGTGTGCTCTTACAACAGGTTATTTTTAACTTTTTTTTTTGGGCCTAAAATTAGGCAAGAGAATCCCCATCGACATAATTGGAGGGTATCTTCAGCAGGCAGCCTCATCTTTAGCCCCACTCATGCCCCTCCCCAGCGGCCGGAGCCTTCACTTAACTCCCCATGTATATCGACTGGGACCAACTTTAACAGCGCCGGACCAGTCCACTTGTGCATAACTTGCAACCTCAGTAGGGGATGGGGTGGGGGGCGCGACAATGGAGGCAAGAAATTGTTATGAGTAGCATACGTTGATGGTGGTTTTGCGTGGATGATGTAGCCACCCTAACTATAGCCACCCCTAACTATAGCCACCCCTGACAATGCTGTAGCCACCCCTAACCATGGAGCCACCCCTAACCATGGAGCCACCCCTAAAAATGTAGCCACCCCTAACTATAGCCACCCCTAACTATAGCCACCCCTAACTATAGCCACCCCTAACAATGCTGGAGCCACCCCTAACTATAGCCACCCCTAACAATGCTGGAGCCACCCCTAACTATAGCCACCCCTAACAATGCTGTAGCCACCCCTAACCATGGAGCCACCCCTAACCATGGAGCCACCCCTAACCATGGAGCCACCCCTAACCATGGAGCCACCCCTAACCATGGAGCCACCCCTAACAATGGAGCCACCCCTAACAATGGAGCCACCCCTAACAATGGAGCCACCCCTAACAATGGAGCCACCCCTAACAATGGAGCCACCCCTAACAATGGAGCCACCCCTAACAATGGAGCCACCCCTAACAATGGAGCCACCCCTAACAATGGAGCCACCCCTAACAATGCTGGAGCCACCCCTAACAATGGAGCCACCCCTAACAATTGAGCCACCCCTAACAATGGAGCCACCCCTAACAATGGAGCCAGCCCTAACAATGTAGCCACCCCTAACAATGGAGCCACCCCTAACAATGCTGGAGCCACCCCTAACAATGGAGCCACCCCTAACAATGGAGCCACCCCTAACAATGGAGCCACCCCTAACAATGGAGCCACCCCTAACAATGGAGCCACCCCTAACAATGGAGCCACCCCTAACAATGCTGTAGCCACCCCTGACCATGTAGCCACCCCTAACAATGCTGGAGCCACCCCTAACAATGCTGGAGCCACCCCTAACAATGCTGGAGCCACCAGTGGCGTAGCGAGGTCGGGTGTCACCCGGTGCGGCACTTAATGGTGTCACCCCCCCCCCCCCCAGAGGCATAGAGACCCTTCCCAGGGACAAACTTTCAAGTTTTCGATTTGCACCCCTCTTCAAACTTTCGATTTGCACCCCCCTCGAGTTTTCGATTTGCACCCCCCCCTCAAACTTTCGATTTGCACCCCCCCCCTCGAGTTTTCGATTTGCACCCCCCCTCAAACTTTCGATTTGCACCCCCCCCCCTCGAGTTTTTCTCTATATATTTTGCTATTTTTTGCCTTGGTGTCACCCCCCCTAAATGGTGTCACCCGGTGCGGTCCGCACCCCCCGCCCCCCCCCCCTCGCTACGCCCCTGGGAGCCACCCCTAACAATGGAGCCACCCCACTCTCCCAAACAGAGCAACGGCTGTTACTAGAACATCGGTTTTTTATTTAATTAATTAGCTTAAAAAATCTAATTAGCTCAGCAGATACATGTAAGAACAGTCAGCTAAATCTCACCCCCCCCCCCCCCCCCACCCACCACCACCAGACGGTCATGTTTTAATTCAATTAATTGTCAAAAAAATTCAGCCAATACACTGTATCTTCGCATCGGGTCTATTTTTATCTTCCCTGATCACGTTCTATATTCCCTGACTTTTTACTTTCACGGGCCCAGCGGGGGGAGCGATGACAAAAACACGTCGTAAATTCTGGTACGATGTCACAGTCGTCTGCTCGCCAATAGAAATCACAGCTGCGCCGGATCAGCCATACGCGTAAGTGCATGCTTGTCACGCGACCTGCTGAACGGAGCAGACGACGCAGCAACTTATGATTTGCCTGCACGAGAACCTAGATGCGATTTGCCTGCACATGGAGGACGCCGATTGGAGATTTTTACTGTAATATCTTTTAGAACTCCCCGTGACACGCGCGCGCACGCATGCGCATTGATTACGTTGCGATGTAAGAGTTCACGAGACAACGAACAAGCAGGCGTGATGCAAACTGCATAGATAGATCCACCCACAACCGCCTCGCGCAATCGTCTGCTGTCGTACACTTGCAGCAGATTTCGATCAAGATAAAATGGGTTGGGTGGGGGAACAGACTGCCTCCGTGTATCGAAATAGACCAGTGTAAGACCAAAACTATTGAGCTATTTAATAGTTTTCATTAATTGGCATATACATGAAAGGGCGGTAATGTTTCTCAACATGAAAGGGCGCTAATCTCCCACGGGTCCAAACGTCTGTTGACCGCTGGCCAGCAATAGTTTAAAGCCGGTGTGTGACCTAAATGTATTGGTCAGTCGGCCATGTTTCACTCACTCACGTCTCATAATCGATCTCACAGATAGGTCCAGTGTTTCTTTCAGACTTTTTTCTCCGAAGGTGGTGGGGGGGGGGGGGCTTATTTTCGGGGAAGGGACGGACTAAATTTTCCGTTATAAAAATATAATTTCTTCATAAATTCTATTTCGTTCATACATCGCGAATAGATGCATGAAAGAAACTATGGTTGGGTTGGAGGGTTGGACGGGTTGGATGTACCTAACAAAACACCACATGCTATTTGTTGCCGGCCGTGACCCCCCACCCCCACCAACTCACACAAGCCAGCCCATGTTGTTGGGTGCCGGCCATCCTTAGGTAGTACAACACGCAACAGACGAAAGCTTGAATCTAGAGGCTAGAACTGCTTCATGTGATTTGGTGAAATCAGTATGTTTTTCAGACGTTTTTCTCCGGGAGAGGGGGGGGGGGTCACTTAACTAAATACATGTCCTCTGAGGTCCTACCCTGCAACAGTCAGAATGATGGGATAATGAGGTCTAAGGTAGGGGGGGGGGGAGCGAGGCGGAGGCGGAGGCCACGATATCGACTGCACGAGACGGCGGCTTGACTGCATCCCGCAGCCTGCCTCACGCGCTTGCACCCTGCAGCAACAGGGAGCGATACACAACACGTGGGGTGGGGGTGGAATTCTGGGTAGGGCGGGGGGAACTCCCCGAGGGGGTATGAGGAGCATTTTTACCTGTCAGTGACTTGCCTGGACGGCCCGGTCGATGACCTATCGGACAAGAGCACGTTTTAAGTGAGTAAAAATAGATGCAAGCAGGGCAGGCAGGGTTAGATCATGTGACCTGACATGCGGGCGTGTACTGGAGGCGTGGGAACGTCCAGTCTAAGGCCATGGATAGTGGCCAGCAGTTTGTTGACGTGGGTTAGTGGCCGTGGGTTAGTGGCCGGGGGTTAGTGGCCGGGGGTTAGTGGCCGTGGGTTAGTGGCCGTGGGTTAGTGGCCGGGGGTTAGTGGCCGGGGGTTAGTGGCCGGGGGTTAGTGGCCGTGGGTTAGTGGCCCTGGGTTAGTGGCCGTGGTTTAGTGGCCGTGGTTTAGTGGCCCTGGGTTAGTGGCCGTGGTTTAGTGACCGGGGGTTAGTGGCCGGGGGTTAGTGGCCGGGGGTTAGTGGCCGGGGGTTAGTGGCCGTGGGTTAGTGGCCCTGGGTTAGTGGCCGTGGTTTAGTGGCCGTGGTTCAGTGGCCGTGGGTCAGTGGCCGTGGGTCAGTGGCCGTAGGTCAGTGGCCGTGGGTCAGTGGCCGTAGGTCAGTGGCCGTGGGTCAGTGGCCGTGGGTCAGTGGCCGTGGATCAGTGGCCGTGGGTCAGTGGCCGTGGGTCAGTGGCCGTGGGTTAGTTGTCGTGGTTTAGTGGCCAGCAGTTTGTTTTCGTGGGTTAGCGCTGACATCGCTAGAGATTTTTTTAACATGGTATTTAAACGGTTAAGAATTGTAAATAATAAAGCAATTAAGGAATTTAATTTAATGGGTGCAGTGTGATATAAAAAATATAAGTTTATATATACCTACAAACTTTATTTTCTAAAATTACATTATAAAGAAATAGTAGGCAACTTTTGTGAAGACATGAAATTGTGTGGGCAAGATTGTGAAATAATGGAATAGATTTGTGTCTGGGTTTAGCGGCCACGCTGGTAACGTATTTAATACCCCCCCCCCCCCCCCCCCCAGTTAGATGGTAAAAAAATATTTCAACCCTGGTTTGACGAATGGTGGGTTGATGGGCGGAGATAATCTTTCAACTAATGCCCGGATTATCGCCGGGTCCCGGCCATCTCTCGTCATAGCCTGTCCTGCTGGCCGGCTTCAAATCCCGGGGACGGGATAATGGCGCTGCGGTTTTTGGTACAATCATTAGACTGATCCACAACTAGGTCTTGCTGTTATTAATATCGATTGGACCATACAGATAACGGTGGGGCAAGCGGGGGTGGGGCTAGCGGGGGTGGGGCAGGCGGGGTGGGGGACCAGCCATCTTGAATCAGCGCGTTTTTACTTAAATATTTTGTTATAAAACGTACCAAGAAATGCCCCCCCCCCCCCCCATGCCACACAAAAACAATGGAAAACGTGTTCACAGAACTTTGTGAGGACAGAAAACATGCCAATAAAGCTGGG